TGAATATTCCAAAATATGGTTTGAAGATTTCTGATAAAACCAACAGCAACTGAACCACTGGATGATTCCAGTCGTGAAACAAGTCTTGACAACACGATGCCAAACTAATGATATTGTTCAGTGTCAAGTATACAATCAACATGACATGACACTGTCCAAACTGATCCAATATTGTATCATTGTAAACATACATTTTCATCGTCAATATCATTGCAAACTTGCAAGAACAGGTCAATTGCCAATCTGAGCATTTCTTGATCGGACTCATGAACAATAATCTCAACCATAGACTTGATGTCAAATTTATACTCCTCACTCCAGCGTCTACAATTGAACAACTCTGTACATGTTTTCATCGCCTATATGCATATTGATACCAGATGAGTTGAATGTCAATCATTTGATCAATATCAATCATGACTTGCCATCATTTTGACTTGACGGTTTGGTGATTGCATGCATTGTGAGAGTTGGTTGCTTAGTCGATGTGATACTTTGAACCGATCATCACTGTATACCATATTCGCAAATACTGTAGTAAATTCCATTACTTTGATCTACACAACACATGTTGATTAGTTTAGTCATGAACAATCCATTATTGTTACAATATATGAATACCTGTAAACTGGGTCGATTATACTCCAAATACTTGGCTGCAATATCTTCTAGTTGAGTACTCTGTAAGCGCTGCACTACATCTGTAGACCCTGTCATTTCAAACCAACACAAAGTCAGCAACAGTTTGAACTCATCAATAATACAATTGCTATTAAACTTACTGTAGTCCTGTTGTTTCAACTCCATTATCAATTCAAGCAGTCTGACCCATATTTCATCAGCCTTGTGTAGTTGAGCATCCGCTGTTAATAGTTTCAAATCTTCCAGGTGTTGAATCAACTCTTTCATGTTATCATTCGACTGCATGTTTGATAAAATTAGTAAAGTTGAATTTTGATGACAATTTCATTCATGCGAATGTTCAACAATTGCCAAGAATTGTTCATGTTTGGATTGTTGTAAAACACACAAACGAGTTGTTCCATTTTAGTATTGTTTTGATCAGTTTTTTGTAACAAAATTGGATTGTTATCAAACATGCATTTAGAAATACTGTAAATTAATATTCTGAATGTGATCGTTGTGGATTTGGCTCAATAAACAAGTTAGTTTACTACAACACATGGTAATGGATTACTAAACATCATCATAAATCGGATGGACTGGACTGGACTGGAATGAGATGAAATCAATGACAATCGCATTACAAATAGTGTGGTGATTAAACCATCGAGTATTTCCAAATACAAACTTGGATGAAAAGTCTTGTCACAAGACTGATCAACTGTATTACTGTTTACACTGTGGTATTATTGATGTATTGTAGTATTTGGTGATCAAATACACAATGATAATGGTAGTGCAACTCATGGCAGTTGTACAAACCAAACGTGATTAAAGCCAATAATAATGCCAGACAAGATTGGATAATGAATTAGCGTGTAAATCATCAACATTGACCAAGATTGATTGAAATGGTGAGATTGAGTTGGATGGTGATGAACACAACAAATGTGTGTACAGAGTTGTATTGACAATCAAACACAATACATGAATGTGAGTTCAAACTTGGTGATCGTACAATGTATGATTACTAAGAGTGCACAAAGTGTAGATTCAACACTATAGTATGATTGTGTCATATGATGATCGTTGTGTTTATTGAACAATCAATTCGTAATATAAATGTGAATATTTAATCATTGTTTATCCCAAAATAAAATAGTGACAATCACCGAGATAAATGTGTTCCATTTTACGTGAATACTGCTGTAAATGTATTCAAAACTAGAGTCCATATTCTCACACAACAAGAACTGAAAAATGCCATCATAGATATTAATCACAAGGAATCTAAAGCCCCAAGTTGCACAACTATTATGCTTTAATTCGAGTAGATAAACAACCATCAATGTAACAACCCAAAAAACAACCGTCATGTTTTAATATTTACACTGTAAGCCATTTGTTACAATGTGTAAACCAAAGTCATGTCTAGTGTCTGATCAACTGGTTATTTGGATCAAAACCGTGTCTGTTCAAGTTGATGATGCGATAAACCAAGAAATACATCAAATCTCGGTAAATGCTGTCACACTTTCCAGGTTGCTGAGACTCACATTACGCACAACTTGACATGAATGGCAATGTTGATGTCGAGACTATCAATGTATTACAATGTATTGGTCGACAGTGACTGCGATCAATGACAATATTGCAGTCAGTCCAATTCATTTGTTGACACACACATGAATGTCGATACTCGAATCAATGTGTTGACTGGAACAATCACCATCCGCTTGTCAGATTCAGCATGCAAATGCATTACTGCTGACACTGATCGACACCATAGATACAGTCAGGCAGCACAACAAATCACCAGCATGCCATTGACCGTACTACATCACAATTGACCAATATATCATGCTGTATGTTGCACCAAGTCACGACATACAACAATATTACTGATTGACTAGTCGATCATCATCAATTGCATCAGTGACTGGTATATGCAACTGATATACACCGTGTCCGAGTCTGATACATGTTGATATATGCGTATCGATCAGTAATGCATATTTATGGCCACTACAGTCGAATGTGGCCACAAACTGTGTAAATGTGAGTCGAGTCGATCATTAAACCAATAAATTAATGACTGCATTCTAAATGTAGTGCGATTTGGTGCGACATGACAATATATTGTTCAACATACACAACATACACAACACCGATATCCAATACATCACACATGTATGCACTGCATATACAAGCAGTAGCAATGACCAATCCAAACCAACAATGGCCGAGTTACACATCAACATATACTCGATCATCAGTCGAATCTGCATATATCAACCAGTTGCAACACGTCATAATCAATGTGGATTGTATTGCTCACCAATCGATCATGACAGCTAATCAATACCAATCATGTAGTCAATACAATCACCAACATATCCATGACTGTTGACTGGCGGATACAACTCGTCAATTGCATCCAATGTTACAGGTGATGCACATCTGATTACTGCAAATCAACAACTTGTCAAGCATATCATAGTGTGTATTGCCAACAGACCATGCAATTACAAATCAATGTATACGTGATCAACATTTGATATTTGATGGTGATGAGCCAACCATGATTGATTGTATCATACAACTAATACAGTTGCATTGTCTGGTATTGATGATTGACCCATTCATGTCAAACAGTAACTAATGTGTGTATATCGAGTTTGAGTTGCATGGACACATCAAGGTGTTTGATAACGAGTCCAACGTGATGATACAAACCCAATATTATATGAATATCCAAGTTGATGAATCAAGTCGGGGTTTGCAAAGTGTCAATATGTCAGGTCAATCAAACGAACCAGTCAACCATTATATTGTGACTAGTGATGACACGGTTTGAATGTCAACGAGTTAGACAGTCGACAATATGGGTGATTGTGATTTGGTCAAACCGCAACACTCGCATATCACTGAGTCGGTTTAATGTATGTGGTGTAAGCAGTATGCATAAACTCGTTGATATCATGGACTATAACCAATATACATCACACATATACAGTGGTAAACACCGACGTGTGGTGTATTCAGTGATCGTATACTAGTTGATTGGTGCAATATGATCACACATGCTAATGGAGTGTAATAATCATATACTTGCAACAACATATCATATTGCACTGTTGATATCGTGCATCCAATGTCAATGCAATATATCAACTCACTCGATATGGTTGGTATCGATCGTTGCAGTCGTCGAGTGCCGTCATTGACCATGTATTACCAGCTGTGTGTGGTTGAAATTGACCATCATGTCATGTATTCAAATGCAACATATCAACATACATTGTGGTATGTGTGACATGTGTGATTGACTATAACTGGTGTGGATTACAATCGATTGTGCACAATAGTTTGATATCGATTGCAGTTGTTGATCGATACTTGACATGACTGGTCATATATGGTTTGCACAACAATCTGGATTGTACAATGATCACTGTCTAGATGCACATGTCAAATGCGTGTATAACCAGGTTGACGATATTGACCAGTTGATACATGCTGATCAACGCAACTGGTGTACATTGTATGTATTGTGTGCATATACATGTATGGCTTGATCACTCGAATGTACATACTTGACATATACTGACACGACAACCATCATCACAATCAGATTGCATGTGGATAATGCTGTAATGTCGAATGACTGGATCCAATTGCAGTGTATATACGAGCCATACAACGAGTTGCTCGAGTGATGGAATGAGTGCATCAATCCAGAATACGAGTCAACCATGACATATGATCATGATGTGACATTGTGGTTGCAACATGAACTACATTGTATTGATTCAGTTGATTGATTGAATTACTGGACAATGTGCAGCGATGACTGATCGTGCCGAGTTGAATGTAAAGTATCACCAAACCACATGTTTGAATCATGTCAATCAACTGTGATTGTAAACCATACAATATCACAACACATCGATGACCGTCATATCGACTTGATACCAGCCATTTCCATATAGTTATATGACATTATTTTGAACCCAACTTGCTTTCCTATATTGTGACATACTGTCCCTCTTTAGAGTGGAAAAGGATGGGAGATGCGCAATCAATCAACCATAAATAATTGAGCGCACAACCAAACATCAGCTCAACCAAGATTGCGGATCATTGCATGAATGGATATCCCTTTAAAGTTGCTTTGACACTCGACAACAGTAAATCTACATCAACTCTAACCTCGGCAACAGTAAATCTATGTCAACCCTGACAACAACAATAGTCCCTTGTGACGGCTATTTAAGGAACATGCTTTTAACACTATCCACTCAATACATATAAATGCAATCCAAAAAGCAACTTGATGAATGACAATCATTTACAACTTGCTCGACCAAACTACTATGATGAAGTTACTGATTGCTATATTGTCATCAACGCTGATTGCTTGTTCAGTTACTACAGCTACTCCAGTTAATCCCAGCAGGACTACAAACTTCGAGTCTAGTTCTACGGCTATTTACACTGCAACTGCAACTACTTATCCCAGCACTTCGACATTTCTTGATTTAAATGTAAACTCGGTTAATTGTGGTGATTATTCAAGGGAGAAAAAAGGCAGTCAAAGAATACGCAAAAGCAAAATGTAGCTTCAAGACCATACATAAAAAATACGAATCGATATCAATAGAAATTGTTGATCAAAAAACAGTGGTAAAAGATCTGCATAAAAGAGTCAAGCTATTGTCGCCTGTAACTACGCCAAGTGATGGTGGTCCAGACTATATGGAAACACAATCTCTCCTTCAAAGTGAAAATGATGCTCTTGCAGATCTTGAAAGCCAGCAGAGAATATGCAATATACAACACTATGCCGAGTACGAGAAATTGCGTTTAGCCAAAGAAAAACTTGCAAGAAAATTTTTTGGCACTTTTAACTTCAGTTTTGGACGGGTTAGTAGTAGGCGCATGATGGACCTTTTAGCAAGTCAGACCTTTCTGAATTGTTTTAGTCAATTTTACCCTAACATACCGAGTTCATCAACAGACTCCGAGGGTGCCTCTACTAGTGGAACGCAAGGTTCATCATCACGACCTCATGGTCCACCACCATCATATGGAGTTGTAATGAGGAAACCTAAACTTTATAAAGTGACTCAATATAGCCCAGGTGATCAACCTCCATCGTATCAAGATGTAGTGCGCAACCCTCAAAATTTCCCCAAGGTCTTGGAAGATCCTGATGTTACCCAATCGTCATCGATGAGTCCATCTATAGTTCATCCTACTCAAACATCTTCCAGTGTTCCACCCAGTCAAAATACAGCTTCATCCACTTTACGGAGAGTTGCATCCACTTTACAAAGAGCTTCATCCAGTATGCGAAGAGTTTCATCCACTCTACGGAGAGCTGCATCCAATGTGCAAAATGTTGCATCCAGTCTTACATGGAAAGTCGATCGTTCTTGAGTCGACACTAAAATGAAGATCGCGAGTTATTGATTCGAGTGCTAATCCGAACTGATTCTAATCTAATCGACTGTCATTCTACAACCACATTACTGATTCAACTTGTAATAAATACACTACAATGCATTACAATACAATGCATTGAGCATACATGTGTTGAGTTTGATCACTCCAGTCTTGATCAACATGCTTGCTGATATCATTGTACTTTGACACTTGTATTTTAAATACAGTTGGTTATATATTATATGCCTGTACAAATTGATGATCCTGACATACATGTGTTTTGTTGATATAATATCAGTTGACAAGTCGTATTTACACATCATGTATCAAGTAGAATACCGAGATTAACAAAATAGTTGTGTGTTGATATCAGATCAGATCAACTCGACCAGTTTGACTTGTTCAAAAATGACGAGTCATTGGTATACTCGCTGTAGTATACCATATTACACTATTGATATCGCATATCTGGTGTCATTACAATGTATCAACTCACTCGATATGGTTGGTATCGATCATTGTGGTCGTCGAGTGTCGTCATTGGTTATGCGTGCACCAGCTATGTGTGGTTGGCATTGACCATCATGACATGTATTCAAATGCAACACCATCAACATACACCATGACATTTGCTGCGATAATTCAACTTTATAGTAAAAAGTAAATGTAAAAAATTGATCAATGTTGTTTATCTTTCAAGATATAATATGCCGCTATTGACAAGATCGGTCAGAAGTGAATTTGAAGATAATTAGGAAATTGTCAGATAAGTTTGAATCAACAGACGTCAATAATAAACTTGATGTATTGATTCAAAGTTTATTAAATGCCATTTATTTAATAAAGACAAGAGTGTCTTGTATAGGATGGGAAGAGTAGTGAAGGGTCAGTAAAATGAGGTATGTGGTTCACTGCTCAAGCATTATTGCTGAAAGTCCCTGATTACTTAGTTTTTCCATAAGAGTTGGCTGTAACTACTGATTGAACATCCGAGTTATATGTAAACGGTCAATGTCTAACAACTTTAACAGTTGATACAGCTATAATGACAATCGATATTGATATAATAGCACACAACATGAAATGTCAACACAACAGTTGCAAGTCATTGATCATCAATGTGACATTGTGGTTGCAACATGAACTACATTGTATTGATTCAGTTGATTGATTGAATCCACTGATGACCGTCATATCAACTGAATTTCAGCTCAGTTACATACAGGTTTACATGGCATGCATTGATTTCTTAGGCTGTGGTTCACTGACCCTTTTCAGAGTGAATAAGGGTGAGAAACTACACAATCGATCAATCAATCGTACGATATTTGAATACATAGCCAAACAGCGGTTCAGTAAAAACTGTTGATCGCCATATAAAGGGATATCCCTTTTGAATCGCTTTGACATTGATAGTAAATCAACATCGACCCTGACAATAAACCTGATTCTTTGGAACGGCCATCCAAAAAGTATGCTTTTAATACTATTCACTCAGCTGATATAAATACAATTTAGACCCGACCTGTTGAATGACAATCATCTGCAACTCGATCAAACCAGTAAAATGAAACTACCAATCGCTGCATTGTCATCAATTCTGCTTGTTTGTTCAGTCACTATCGCCAATCCAGTTGTTCCCAGTACGACTGCAAGTACAGAACATGTCTCATCGACAGTTGTTCCCAGTTCAACTACAAGTACCGAGTCTAACCCATCTGCAACTCCTAATACAAACGGTTTAGACTTGAGCCGTCACGATTCACTTTCAGCTAACATGAAGAATTTGCTTGAAAGCTACTCAAAAGGACAACAGGACTGTAGTAGACAAGAAGAAGAATGCAAATTTATAAATCTTAAAGTTGGGAATCAAGAGAGCCTGATAAGCCATTTCAGGAAAAAGATTGACGATTTGCAACGTAAATTCTACAAAAATGGTCGCGACAATTCAAAATATAAGAATGAGATGGAACAGCTTAAGCGTGAACTTCAAGACGGATATTCCAAATATACCAAACTTGAAAATATGTACAAAGACTGCATATTCAAGCATATTCATTCTACTCGACAACTGGAACTCTTCAAAATAGATCTTGTGAAATCCGTTTTTGGAGCATCTTTCAGTATCGAATTACTCGAGGAGCAACTTTTGCTTATCCTCTCACAGTATTCCGTTAAACAATACCTCGAGAGAATATGTAGTGGTGAGCAATCATCAGCATGCAGAAACGATTTTGGTCAAGATCCTGATGCTGAACAGCAACAACAAGATCCTGATGCTGGACAAGAAAGCTAAGGTTTGCAACCATCACCAGCAATACCATCTGTATCTCGTTCCATCAGACATACAGTTTCTTTCAGATTTGGTAGTGGAATTAGATCGCTTATCAGGCAAATCAGTTGTATGAATTCATACAACTGATTTGAATGCTAGTGTGGTCTGGTCCCAACCCATTCGATTGTCATTCTATAACTGCATTTCTGATTTAGCTTACAATAAAACTGAATTTACATGCATTGTATCTGATTATTCTACAGTCTTGGTCAGCATGTTATTGTGTTTTGACACTTGTATATTTCCAATACAATACAGCACATTGTATATTGCATATTTGTACACATTTATGTCAATAAACTACCCATTCAGATCTGGATCAATATAAAACTTGTGACAGCCATGATCCAACTCGGTACAAAACAGGTCAACTCCAACACATTCCACCATGATTATGGTCACATCACATCATGCTGATATATGTCGATCGGTATCACATTGCAACCAGTTATCATCCAATGACTGCAATGCAATACCGTGCATGTATTGTGACTGATACGCTGTGCACCATCAGCAAATGTGCAACTGTCACTCGATATATCGAGTCTGATATGCAACAATATGCTGTGTTTACCATGATCAGGTTTTTGATCAATCTCTGACTCATGATACATGATTTGTCATGTTGGATCGTGTGGATGTGTCATGGACTGCAATTTAGTTGCAGACACACATATGTTGAACATTGACTGATGCATACTGTGCAACGACTGATCAGTGCGAGTGTGATTGCACACTTGGTGGTATTGTGCATTATGGTTGTTTGACAATGTATGAATGCTGGATTAGTCGGTTATATGCAACCCATCTGAATCGATCTATTTGGACCATCACTTGATGTAACTGACAAAAAACACTGCCAGCCATGTGGTGCTGATATTTGAGTCGGAGTGATTGATTGCAGAATATTGGCTGTTCGATTGGTCAATCAATCGAGTTTGTGCTGGTAGCGTACCATTGATAACACAGTTCTGGCACCATCATCGAGACCACCATACAACAGTTGACCAATAAACTTGTAAAATCACCAGAATATGTTTGTATGAATATGGCCTGCTTACATGAAATCATATCGTATTCAATACTCGAGTTTATTTTAAAATTCATTCAAAAAATGAGTACCAAAATAATATAATCGTGTCCAATCACCATGTATTCATGAGTGATAGCCTGGTACAAAACTGTCAGTTATTGATTGCAATCTGGGACGTCAATACTGGTAACACCACAGTATGTGTTTCTAAACCTGCACAAGTTATCATATTCACGCTTTATATGCTGATTAATCAGGTTCAACAGTTTGGATCGTTACTATACAAAGCCATTCGACTCAAAACAACCGTTCGTGATTAAATACATTCAAAGTCATGTTATACAATATCAACCAAATATCATTGTAAAGTGGGTCTATTTATTCCAAAATTCAAGTTTAAGCTAGTTGGTGCGACCTGAACAGACTCTAGAACGGATGCTGACACGCAAATATAGCCAAAGCATTTATTCAGACATGCAGACTCCAAACGATTGACTATTGGTGATTTGGCATTTTTCTCCTAGGTTACATTCATTTGTACCACTGCAAAAACGTGGAGCAAAATACGGGCTAGGAGCAGCAGTGACAGATACGACAAGAGCAGCGATGAGTGCGATGACAGTGAATTTCATGGTCGGTTGATATATTGGATTGGGTTGAAATGTAGTGGAGTAGAGTAGATTGGAGTATAATAGACTGAGACGATGGTGTTTGATGGATCCAAGATTCGGGTAAAACCTGGCTTTTTATATTGCAGATTTTCCCGAAACAATCTTGAAAGTCGTACTTGATGTGATCACATAACTTTGCATGTAGATAAGGGATGCTCACAGCCAAGGGAGACTGGATTAAACTAGTATAAAGCCCAATAAACTATATTTGGCCACCCATTTCAAAGTCAAATAAAGCACACATGTATTTAGGTACTATTTAGCAGTGCATTCAAACACCAAATTGCAGAGCGGCCTGATTGTCAGCATAGACTATGCAAACAAAAACACTCAGGGCTAAAAGGGTGCTTTCGACTTTAGTGGCCAGGGTTTCAGGGTGTCCGAATGCCAAGATATCAGGGTGGAGTATTCGTTGCTGATATCTCCATTTCGCTTGACCAACACAGCTTGGTTACGACCACAATGGTATTTATCCATTTAAGCTTTAGTGGTAATATTCTGTGAAAGCATATTGGAATCAACAGTCAAAGACTCGAGAGTACAATTCAACTCAAACTATTACTATCCAACAAGAGCATCGACACAAACATGGTCGATCACTGTGGTACTGTACAATTGGAATTCACAAAAAACTCTCAAAATGGCGGTGAATTTACACTAGACTCTTGAGCCACAGGTTGTATGGTTTGCTGTGAACAATGGCTTACAAACTAAACTATACCACAATTCAAGAGTAGTCATCAAGCACAGACGACTACAATTCAGGGCGTTTGCACAGTCGATCTGACTTGCAACATCAAATGTATGGAGCAAATAGTTGCATTACCAATGTCATATTCATACCTACATGCTCAGCAATCTCGTTTCCAAAAACACGATGCTTGACAAGGCTGTAATATTTTGGTCTTCAAAAAAAGGAAAATATATACCAATACAAAAAATGCACCGCTGATGACTGCATTTCAAGCAAATGGCTCGACATGGCTGATTTCAGGGTGTTGTCCAGACAAACAACTTTCAATAAACATCAATCACCATGCATCAAGTTTGGAATGTCGAGTGTCAGTGGATATAGACACACAGTACAAGAGATTGGCCATATTATCAAAAAGCATCAGAGCGCTTCAAAAGAGTCATGACTTGGCGTTGCAACAAATACCGAGCATGAAAAACGCAGCATGTCATGCACCAAAAGAAAGTCGACGAAACTCCCATTCACTGAAAAGTCAAATCATTGGTAAATACAAACCAACGTGCTCCCGCATATGGACTTGTCAGGTTTCTTGTCCGTTAATCAGCAGTTCAATCAAAGTGCTGTTATATCATTGTATATGATTTATGAAAATATGCACATCTGTGTATGCTACACTCCAAACATCAAGTGTTGGACGAGTTCAAGGAACATGTCGTTCTGGTTGACAATCAAACTGAATTACCAGTCCGGATGATGTGCACCGACAATAGAGCAAAGCTCAGGTTTCTGCTATTCGACCAGTACTTGGCGGGAACAGGGATCAAGAGGCTGCCAACACCCTACACATACTGGTAAAATGGTGTTACTGAGTGCAAAACTGACCCCGATCATGGATGCGATAAGGTCCATACTAGTCGAAGCCAAGATCATAAAGTTATGGCAGTAACAGTGATGACGGTGGTATACCTGCAAAATAGGTCGCACACTTGGCTATAAACAACAGGACGCCTTACGAGCTATGGTATGTATTCGAGTCAGTTATGGCTCACCTATGTCCAGATGGATGTCAGGCACATGTACTTTTTCCAGTATCGTCACTCGAGAAATTGACTCTGGGACGATACCATGCGTCGGAGTTGAGTACTAACCGGAATCAAAGGCATACACATTCTATAACATCGAAACGGCAAGGTTTGTTGTATATCGTGATGAATACAGATTTACGCTGTTAAGCTACATTGCTTTGTTACCCACACCAACAGTATTTCAGAAAGCAGTCATGGGTATATACAACAATGCTCATATGATGGACAATACTGAAAATGACTGAATTCACAGCAGTGGAACACATGTCGACACACAGAGCATGCCACAAGACTCGAAACAGCCCAACCAACAAAATCAGTTGAGAAATGAACATAGAATCGAGTGTCCCAACTGGAAAAGACTCGATCACTGTCATTGAAAACACTGGAAACGGGTATACCTCGACGTGTCCAGATGGATGACCGAACAAGAACTGTGGAACCTCGATAGAACGCAGTCAATCGAGCCAAGTCGATCCACAAGTAACCAATCAATCAAAACTGATTGGTTTATGAGACTCTAAACACTCGAGCAAGGCTACTGATACTCTAGTCAATCCGACACAATCCAATATCAAACAATCAACTGCAGACAAATCGTGGATCCAACTGCACAAACATCAGTAATCCAAGACCAAATCGACTGGATTCAGTCATGTATGACCCTGACCAAGTCATTCGATTGTAAAGTTCTTGGCACAATACATTGATATAGTAGTACCGCATTTCTGGCAAAAAACCATGCAATATTCAAAATCAGATATTTGGAAACCAGCAGATGCATAAATGAACTCGTCAACTCACAACACATGGACAGTGTAACACATACCACCAATACAAAATGGGTCAAGACATTGACCACAAGATTGACGGACCAATCGACGGATCAATCGACAAGTCCAAAGCAAGACTCGTGACAATACAGTTCCAACAAATTCAAGGAATAACTTGCACGAAACCTACGCATCGATACTCGGGCTCACTTGATTAAGCATATTATCAACATTAGCGGCCATCAGCAACTGTAACATTCACGACTGGATAGTTGACCGTACGAACAACACATTCATCAATGCAAACATTGACGAGTCTTACTATTTGGATCTGCCAGGTGAATACAAGCGACAGAGTGACTCGGGTCATACAGTTGGCCGTCACAACAAGTATGTGTTTGACATATGCATTGATACACTTCAAACGGACACTTTATTTGTTGCAGTCGCTATATATATCGATGACATTGATACCAAGTGATGATTGCGCATTGCTAGATTTGATCAAGTCGCGACTGTTCAAGGTATTTTCAAACATTTTGAACCAATACATACATGTTTCGACATCAAAGTTGACCGAGATTGTGTCGATCAGACCATCTCAATCACACAGACACCACTTTAATGACGTATTATCAATGTTTGGAATGTATGGAATGTGTTGTTGCAGACTGCTGCACATTGTAATCGAGCCATGACTACAGTCGAAGGTAGCTGAAAAAGGTGAGTTTACCACGACTCGGTCTGATCATGAAGCAGTCCAATTACTAGTGTATGCAATGGTTGCAACATACCCAGACTTACAAACAGCTGTTGGACAGCCGTCAAACAAGTGTCGATGTTGATACACAACCCGACTGACAAACATTGGAACGCTGTGATGTCAATGTTGATAGCAAATACACGATGAATACATCACTCATACTTGGTCAATGTACCACTATACTGTCCATCCACTGCAATGCCAACTGAACCGGAGATGCTGGATCTGAAAATCCACGATTGAATGTATGTGGTGTTTAGGTCACGGATGTATTTCATGCAAGTCTGTCAAGCAGACATGTGTCTTGATCGGCAATGCAGGTCGAGTTTATAGCAGCACAAATCACATTGACAGAAATGATCAGCACAACACAATGACTTGAAAAACTCGGTTTCCAACAACATGGATATACAATGTAACACTGTGGTTCACAATCAGCAACATAGCTGGGTCAATCATATGCAGAAAATACATGCTTTACAAGATCGTGCAGCAATAGGTTATAGTAATCAATCTACATCAGCACAACACAACAGATTGCTGATATATCAACATATGGTTACCAAAGTCAAGTCGGCAGTTACCAAACTAACAGTCATGTTGGGATTGAAATCTGGTAAAGTCATATACTGTGTTAAATTGGATACACCATACTTCAAACCAAACAACAAACATCGATTGTATAGGCAACACCAGGACATCACAGGACCACTATGCAGTATAACTGACATGCTGTGATACGCTGACACCCATATTCCACAGATATTTCAACATTACTACATGACAAGTTGTAGACACCAAACATCACATGTATCAATAAACAGCCAAGTATGTTCAATCACTGTTTGATCGTATAGTTGAATGTTTGATTGCTAATACCTGAACATGAATATCATCAACAAATGAGTGAGAGTTGTATTGACAATATTGACAGTCAAACACAATACATGAATGTGGGTTCAAACTTGGTGATTGTACAATGTATGATTACTAAGAGTGTACAAAATGTAGATTCAACATTAGTCTGATTGTGTGTCGTATGATGGTCGTTGTATATCGAACACGCAATGCAGTCATTGCAAATGAATACTGAAGTGATCCATTTAAATCAATACGGCTGTCAATACGACACTACCAATACCATGCTGCGTAATACCACACCGCATACATTACATTGCAAACTGACACAACACTAATTGATCAATATCGAAGCGGTTGATGTTGCAATCTGCATCCGACTTTGAACATGTGTATTGCTCAATTTGTTGTACAGCGCACGACATGGTCAGTTGGTGATATCATGCAACCATGCAACTGACAAGTGATTGCAAGTGCGATTGATAGTTACAATCAACACTGGTTGTTATCAGGTCATTGATGTATATGAAACAAACCATGTCAATGTATCAATCAACAATCCAGTAACTGTTGATGTAATACTCAACACAGTATACGCAATCAATGATATGGTTGTTGACCCATTCACAATACTCGATAAATATCAACATATCAGAAAGTTTAAATTTATTCAAAATCAAAATCATCGACAAACCATCAATCTGAATCTACTTTCGGCTCTTGAGATTCTAAACCATGCTTTGCCATATAGTTTTTCAAATTTCGTCTGATAGCGTATATTTTTCTCCTTGCCTTTTCATACTCTTCTTTCAATCGCTTTTCAACCTCTGGATTGTGCATTGGTTCAGATATTTCTTTGCCCATTGCTAACGCTAACTGCTGACTGAATTTGAGGTCTGCATATTCACGATATTCTTTCCATTTTTTCTTTTGTATTTCTTTAGATGTTACAAGTCTTTTCTTTATACGATTAAAGGTTCTCTGATATCTTTGGCTTAATACAGTCACTTGATTTGGAACAGTATTGGCAGACTCGCCTTCGTTTATTGGTTGTTGCTGGTCTTGTCTGGAAGTGCTTGGACTGGGTTGATCAGCTGGCCGTTTCCGACCTCGTTTAGGAGTGTTTGGATCAACTACATCAATTGGTCGTTTTCGACTTCGTTTAGGAGTGTTTGGACTGGGTTGGTCCATTGGTCGTTTTCGACCTTGTTTGGAAGTACTTGGATCAACTACATCAATTGTTTGTTGCTGGTCTTGGTCATAGATTTGTGAATTGACTGCATCAACTATTTCTTTCCAGTCTTCAGGAGTGGTTAAACGGATTTCATTCATTATGGATTTCCAATATTCATCAGAAGTGTTTGGAATGGGTTGGTCCATTGGTTGTTGCTGATCTTGGCTTGAAATACTTGAACTGGGCTCATCAATTGGGTCTTGCCAGTCTTGACTGAAAATGCTTGAATTAATTGCATCCACTATACTTTTCCAGTCTTCGTTAGGAATCTCTGGACTGGGCTTATCAGTCGGACCAAACGCTTGACTGGAAGTGACTGATGCTTTGGGTGAACCATCGTTATCAGTCTGGATCAGTATTGCATTAACGGTTGTTGCCGCAGTCAGTACGAATAAAATGTCAACCAATCTCATTAAGCCGATGAATAGTTTAAACTATTAATACAAAAATAGAGTGTTGAGACTGATGTCGATTATAAGATTGAGTGTAATCGATTGTATTTGTATGTTTTGTATAGCAAACCAACCCTTTTAGGTTAACCGACTATACAGGGTTACTTGATTGCTTTTAATGAGCTAATATCAAACCATAGTATGCTGCTCCATAATCACAATATCATATTGATCGATTTGATGATCGTGTCGATTGAATTATGCTTTTACGACCCTTTTATCAGGTATATTGAAAAGCACACCCTTCAAGGTGTTGTGTAACCGCAAATGCTCCTTTTTACAACCGTATTCATGTAAAATGGATCGCTTTGGTATTCAGCATGCAATGACTTTGGTTTGAGATATACAATGGTTACTACACATTGACTGCATTATGTGTTCCAAATATAACAACCATCATATGACACACAATCAGACTATAATGTTGAATCTACACATTGTGCACTCTTAGTAATCATACATTGTACGATCACCAAGTTTGAACCCACATTCATGTATTGTGTTGGACTGTCAATAATGTCAATACAACTCTACACACATTTGTTGTATTCTGAATCTCGGATACGATCGCAATCTAGTTCAACAATAATCATGGCACATGTCAGTAATGCAGCTGTCTATCACACACCAACACTGTTATTTAGTGGTCTATTTACATCAATATGGCTGCAAGTTGTTGTTATATCACATATTCTGGACATGGTTTTGATATTACGCATCCAGTTCCATCATATTGTTTCTGACCCATTATTGTAATGCTGTATGTCCCCATAATCATGAACATGAACATCAATATGTGGTTTCACGTATAATATTACAACCACGCATGTCGTTGGTTGAATCATCACTACTAGTGTATACTGCAGTACATGTATGCTGGCATGCGGTGTACCAAGTTGATTACATTGCTACAATGTGGCATGCTCCAGCCTGTTTTAATCACAGTTGTGCAACATATTGGTATTGTACACATGTGATACTGGCCACCAACAAAGTGATCGACGGTATTCGATCGTATTATCCAATTGATCATCCAATCCCATAATCAATGCATTTCGACATACTCCACTGCATGTACTGGGTCATAGCAACAACCTATCCAATACATGTCAACTGATACAATCACCAGGCATTCCATGATTTCAGTTGTCAATCAAGTCGATATTATGATATTGTTCAATGTCAAGTATACAATCAACAACACAAGACACTGTCCAAACTGATCCAATATTGTATCGTTGTAAACATACATTTTCATCGTCAATCTCATTGCAAACTTTCAAGAACAGGTCAATTGCCAATGTGAACATTTCTTGATCAGACTCTTGAACAATAATATCAACCATGGGTTCAACGTCACAGTTATACTCATGATTGAACAGCTCTGTACATGTTTTTATCGCCTATATGCATATCGACACCAGGTGAGTTGAATGTCAATCATTTGGTCAATATCAATCATGACTTGCCGCCATTTTGACTTGACGGTTTGGCGATTGCATGCATTGTGAAAGTTGGTCGTTTAGTCGATGTGATACTTTGAACCGATCATCACTGTATACCATACTCGCAAACATTATAAACTCTGAACTACACAATCAATATTGGTCATGACACGATCAACAAGCAATGATGCTTGTAAAATACGTTGACCATACAATACATGAATGACTGACATTTCATCGTCCTACTTGGTCTGTACCTGACTATGTTGTGGCTTGCTAACCCTTCAAGGTATAAAAAAACGGAAAAATACATAATCGAATAGCCATACGATATTCGAATACAGTCAAACAGCGGCTCAGTCAAATTGCGGATTATTATATAAGGGATCTCTGTTCGAAGTTGCTTTGATATTGATAGCAATAACCCAATACTAACCCTGACAATAACACAGTTCCTTAACGGCCATTCAGGAAACATGCTTTTAATACTATTTATTCAACACAAAATATAAATGCAATATAAAACCCGACTTGCTGAATAACAATCATATGCAACTCTTGACCAAACCAACAAAATGAAATTCATAGTCGTTGTATTATCATCAACCCTGCTTGGTTGCTCAGTTACTATTGCTACTCCAGTTCTTCCTACTGCAACTACAAGTGCCAAACCTAGCACTTTAACAGCTTATTATCAACCAGATATGTATGTAAAGATTCGCAGTGCAGGACATGAATATAAATATAATTTAAAGAAAATTACAAGTGAGGATAAACGTTTGATCAGAAACTATCTTACTGAAATGACGAATCATGATCCAAGCATATTTACAGAATGCAAATCTGCAAAAGATGCGGTTACTGCTCAAAAACGACTTATGGTTGATCTAAATACAGGATATGAGCGGTTTAAACATAAACACGAGCAGGATCCCCAGAATTCGAATCATATACTTCAACTCAAGAGCTTTAAACTTGAGATTCGAATCCAATCTTCCAAACTTGCTGAGCTTCAAAATAACATGCAATCCCTCGAGTTCAAGCGTGATAGCTCGTTGTCGAAACTGCAACATCAAAGAGAAAGAGTCTTATTACTCCTATTCAAAAAGTTTACAGACGCTTTATCAATTACTTTGTATGCACTCATTGAATCAGGATACGCTCATACAATACTCGACCGCCAATCATACGAGGCAATATTGAACCGATCAGTGGAATCTGGAGGTGCCTCTAGTAGTAGGACCCAAAGTTCATCACAACAAGCAATTCAAAGTGTGTCTCCATCACATACAAGTGCCAAACCTAGCACCTCAGCAGCCTCTTATCAACCAGATATATATGCAAACGTTTACAGTGTAGGACATGAATATAAATTTGTTTTAAGCGGAATTCCAGATGAGGAGAAACGTTTGATCAGAAACTATTTTAGTGGAATGGATCATCATTCCACTAAAATACTGCCAGAATGCAAATCTGCAAAAGATGCTGTTACTGCTCAAAAACAACTTATAGTTGAGCTAAATACACGATGTCAGCAGTCTAGACATAAACACGAGCAGAATCCCTATGACTTCAAGCATATACATCAACTTGAGAACCTTGAACTTGAGATTCAAATCCAATCTTCCAAACTTGTTGAGCTTCAAAATAGCATGCAAGCCCTCGAGTTCAAGCGTGATGACTCGTCGTCGAAACTGAAACATCAAAAAGAAAGAGTCTTATTACTCCTATTCACAAAGTTTATAAATGCTTTAGCAATTACTTTGCATGTACTCACTGAATCAGGATACGCTCATACAATACTCAATCGCGAATCATACGAGGCAATATTGAACCGATCAGTGGAATCTGGAGGTGCCTCTAGTAGTAGGACCCAAAGTTCATCACAACAAGCAATTCAAAGTGTGCTTCCATCACATACAAGTGCAGTGGATAGTTCTGAGCAATATGGAGCGAGTTCAGAAAACCCTGATGATTTGCCTCCATCATATGATGAAGTAATGCGGAATCCTCAAAAGTTTCCAGGTCCTAAAAGATCCTAACAAAGTTCAACCTTGATTGGAAACGTCCACAGTTCAATCTGCTCACACTCTTCAGCCTTACTCAGTTTTATACAAAAGATCAATTCATACTTGAATCAACCTAAACACGACAATCCATCCGATTGATTTGAATGCTAATCTGGACTGGTTTTAGCCGAGTCTGCTGTATTTTTGCTTGAATACAATACAATAAAATACAATACAACTGCCACTTGATACTTGATATTGGACGTACATGCATTATATATGATTATTGTACACAGTCTTGATCGGTATGATATCATATTGTACATTGACACTTGTATTTCCAATACAATACAGCTTGCTTGACATGTCGTATTCACACATGGCATGCAACACCAATACCAACAATATGGTCATTATACACATGTTGATGTATGCAGTGATCGTATACTGGTCGATTGGTGCAATATGATCAGGCATGCTAATGGAATGTGATAATCATGATATTTGCAGCAGTATACCATATTCCACTGTTGATATCGCACATTCAGTATCGACATGATCATGCAGATATACAGTGATGGATTCCAACAATGCATACCATGATTGATACACTTGGATCATGTGTATTCAATCCATGCCATGTATTACCAATGCAATAGTATGCGTGATCATTGTGTATCAAACAATTACGATTCACACTGAACTGATCCAATACATGCACGGCTTGAACATATCACACAAACTACAATACAATGCATGACATGATACATGCATCAACTCCATCAATATTGGATTGGATTTTGAACCATTTATTAACATCACCCAATTCAATGGGTGATCGTTTTGATAGCATATTGTTTGATTGACTGGCAATTTCAATTGGTGAATGTAATGCAATTCGAACTGCAGCAACCGCTTGTAACGCAAGTATAACGCATTTTAGAGTAATCAACATTGTATCGGGTAGTGTAACGGAAATGTTTTGAACCTGATACATGATTGCCGTTTTATAATGACGGCAGCTTCAAGAACGACAATCAACATCTTTCAAATGAATAATCATAAAAAATGCAAGTACACCGTGCAGAATGAATCAATACACAAACATCACTGTCAGTGTAAAATCAACCTCAGTAGTACGCTGGAATGATCTTTCTGATTGCAGTGATATATTCAGCAATCAGGTAGTGTCAAATTGCCATCCTGGTTATGGATAGCTATCATCACATATACAATCCATTACTACAGAATACATTGATCCATGTTTTAGTATACGATATATTGTGCTGGAATACAATATTTCCAGTCATGTAATGCCAATACTGATATTACTCTACACATACAACACTGATCATCAGCAGTGGTATAACAAACACTTAATACCACTTTTTCAATATAAACTGTTAAATTGATTCGAAACTCTAATCTGAACATTGAATAATCCAATGTCGAGTAAAAAACTTGACCCGAGCCATTATATGAATGGTGAAATGTATTAAAATGATAGTATTGACCAGTTGGATTGACACTTGATTGAACAATACAAATAAACACATGACAAATGTTTAATTTGATTGTAATTTCACACAAAATTGCTTAATTCAAAGTGTGAATTTGTCTCATTCTTCACACGCCATTAAATTTTGGATTTAAAGTCCAATTTTGTCTCTTTTACAAACTAAATGGAAAACAACACTTTACATTCAATACCTCAACAACCAACCAATGGAAATAGAAACTCACTTTGATGGAGAATTGGATAGCAAAAGACCACTTGACGATGTTTCAACACTAATTGCAGCCTTTCAAGCAAGACCAGGGTCGCTTCTCGGTAACACTGACTCGGAACTCATCACTCCACTATGTGATGGATGGGGTGGAGACCAACTACAACGCATGGGACTCGCTTGCTGCACTTGGGACAAATGGGACTGTTGGATCCAGTCCAATCTTCATCAAATCCAAGAATGATGTTGGCTCAAACCCAACAATCACTGATTCATACAATTATTTCAAGAAAACTATCCAGATCAATGGTATCAATGTTTCTACAAATCATCTCAAAAGACCTGATCAACTTGACAAACTCGTATACTTGGTTTGAGTATCGGTTTGTCATATTGACTTGTTCATCTGATTCTGCAAAACCTATATTCATTAATATGTATCAACATAGTCTCAAACAAATGTCATTTGGATTTGTTTCTTGGACAACATTGCACGACACTTTTGTTGGAAATGCATTGATTGTTCCAAACAACAACGGATAGAATTGGAAAAAGTAAAACTGTTGTTTCTTGATGATGCTCAACAGTAATTACAAGACACAAGTTTATGGAGACTTTTAATCAAAGCATCGCTGAGTTGGTTGTCATTAAGCATGCGATTTATCATTGCATCAAACCATATTTTTGTTGGAGGAATTTCAAGTCCTGTTGAACTCGGTAGTCTTTCAGGTCTTGAAAAGTGATTTTCTACTTATTCCAGCCAAACTCTGTGAATTTCATGAATTCTATGAATTTCTGGATTTACTCGTTATTGGGTTGCCAAACAACATGAACAATGAGACCTTGAAACATGTTCTTGTAACGGAATGTGATGGTCTTGTTGGTGCGCTGTGTGTGTCGATTGATGATCTAAAAACACAATGTCTAAACAACATTGAACCCACTCGAGCAGATCTACTACAATACTGTCTATCAAACAATTCCATGTTGGGTATGACTCGTTGTTTTGGAAGCGACCATTCAGATCTGATTAGAAATGGTTTTAAACTGTTACTCAAGAAATGTCTGACAAAAATCATCGATTGGACAACTTGGAAACCCAGCAAAATATGGAATCTTATTCATCACTCAAAAGGCTGGAATATTGATGGAGTCGTTCGACCTTGAACTTGCTTTTACTTTGCTGTTGGTCAAAAAATACTATTCAAATGGACATTCACAAACTGCTTTCCATCACAACATTTGTCTCTTTAAAAACTCATACGCAATGTTGTCTCATCAATATCGACCAATGTATTGGAATCTGTTTCGTCATGCGGTTTTCCAAATGAAACAACTTTACAGCACATGTTTATGGAGATATTGGTTTACTTGACTAAACCAGATTGTTCAATCTAACCAAAACTATCAAAAGTATTTCCCAACAACTCGAATGTGACGGACACTATTGCTGGTGGAATTGATTATTATTTGGTCAATGGACTAGCAATCAATCAACACATTGACAGATTTGTCATACCAAATGGAAACAACGACAATCCAGTTGTAATCCATATTGAGCCTTGAATTCAAACAGTCGTGAATCAAATCATTAATAAACTACAAAAACAGTCCAATATGCCAACTCGCATTTATCCATGACTCGATATGTGATGTTCAAATGTCTAATATTCAGACTGTGCTGATTGCAATTGTGGTTGTAATTGTGGTTGTGTGTAAATATCAATCCAATACTCGATTCAATACTTGATTCAACTTGAGCATGTCCAGTTTTGTAGTAATCCATTTGATCACATTGACAGAATCAAGCAATGATCTGATTCAACAACACCGAATGATGCATCCATATCACTTGTATCAATCAATTGTACACAATCAGTCAATATAATCAACAATCACTGTCATGATTGACATGATTGATTCAATTCATTCAATTTATTCGATCCATTTAATTGCATAGATCCGACTGGCATTGCAACTCATTGTTGTAAAATCACAACCTCACAATCAATCACCAATCACTATACGCCCGCTCATATATGTATTTGTTGTATGCCGCTGTGATTTGAATTCGGTCGTTTGTCAATTCATCTCGATAGTGTTTGGCTTCAGCTGGTGATTGAACACCTTGAATATACTGCGTGATATCATTCCACAGTTCAGGTGGTATGGGTGTCTTGTCAAGACTCGAGTTGCACCATTGTGGTTGTTGTGGAGCCACATGCGCAGTCGAAACAATCCGACATGCTGGATTCACTACAAAAAATGTCAGAATCTTGCAGTGTCCTGGTTGAGTTGGATCTGCAAGTTCAAATGATTGTTCTTTGTGTTGGTATCGATTGGGATAAACTACACACCGACCATTTGGTAATTCAAGCGATCCTATATACTGATTGCGTGGTGATTCTTGATCAATGTCACACACATCTTTCCAATACATATCAGATGCTCCTTGATAATCAAAACAATAAACAGCCTCGCGGTAATCGAGTTTGGGTGTGGTGATATTTTCCACGTCATAGTAATACAGTCCAGTTGCAACAATCGATTCGTTAATTGGACCTTCAATGTGCCAGTTTCCCTTGTCGTATTTAGGTTTGGATGGTGTCAGTTGAATGTTGGTGAGCTTGACAATGACTTGTAGATTACGACCACGCAGTGACACTGGCTTTGCCGATTCATATTTGGATTGGAAATGTTCCGGAAGTGTTGGTACATACACGGGACGAATGACTTGAGTGTCTGATTCCATATCATCATGATCTGATTGGCTTGGTAACTCATATCCATTTGTGCCATTGTGAATATCAATATACTTGAACATTGGATCCATCGTTCTGAACAGACTTTCAAACATTGGGACAAAACATTTGAATATTTTGGCAATGCATTTGTACATGTCTCGATGCCATATCGGATTCAGATTGTTGATGTATGAGTTGATGGTCACACTGCCATCCTGTTCGACACGGAATTCACTCGGAAGCCATTGAGACTTGCATGATATAAACTCGGAATCACCTTCAATAATGGGCACATTTGAAACAAGTCGAGTCGATAACAATATATCGCATGGTACCATTGTGGTGTATTTGAGTCGTATACTCAGTGGTGCAATCATCGTTTGTCCATATACAACACTGTACATTGATGCATCAATCAGATTGTGCACCATTTGACCAGTGTTGTGATTTGATCCATGTTCAATATCCGATACATTTGTCATCAATCGCGTATGTACATTGTCAGGTATGCCATTGTCCAGTATATACGTCAGTTCAACAGGTCCTGGGACAATTGTGCCAAATCCATCACTGCCATTACAAACAAGCTGTTTGACAAAAACACCGAGTTGTTCCAAGGCAAGATTAAATGTTGATGGCAATATATTCCGATCGAGTGAGTCGACCCTCCATTGCTCCACAATATGCTGGTTTGTGATATCGATCCACCACATGGGTTTGCAAAGTATACATTGCAGATACTGGATATACCGCATCTCGACAAGTGTGCGTACCTGTTCATATGGATATCCGGCCATTCCAGATTTCATATTACTTTTAGCATTGTCATCGTATGGCTGAATGCTCGAACTAGCAGTCTGAACCAGATGCTGAAAACACGTTTCAATGATCTGGCCAGCAGCCCTTCTTTTTATGTAGTCAGTATCATCCGATTGTACAATAGCCGTTAGATTTTCAAATATCCCGCCTTGTTCCAACTCGGCACGTATTGAACTGTCGGGATGATTGTCGGCAAAATCAACAAGTATTTTGAGTAGTTTTACAACACCATTATAGTCATACAAATCTATATCTCTACGTGAATAAATAGTGTTGAGCTGCTTTACAATTCCATAATCTTGAAACACCTTGATCATCTCGTCCTTGTTTGTAGATTTCTGAATCATGTCGCTGACATATTCAAACAGGTACAAAAAGCCACCCATATCGACATCACACATCGATATCGTCAATTGCTCAAAAACCAACGATCGTACAAGCGATACAGGAAAATTGCGCATTTTGGATGCAACTGTTCCAGCCATCTTGATTATGCGTGTTTTTAGTCCAGAGTTGTTGCTGTATCTGATACACAAGTCGTTCAGTGCTTGAATCAAATCCAGCCTTATCAACTCGGCTAAAATTGCTTCACAATCTTTATAGTCGCATAAACTCTGAATAGTATAAATACTCCCATAAATCACTTCTTGATCGACACTCCTGTATTCATGTCATGTCAATCCAACCATGTCAAATTTACCAACTGTGATGACTGGACACACATTCATGCATAACCCCACATACCTGAGCATATTGACCAGTGCTGGAATGATGCCACATTCCACTGCTTTTACTGGCTTATGGTAATGAATACTCGAAAATATGGTTCGGAGATTTTTGATAAAACCAACAGCAACTGAACCACTGGATGATTCCAGTCGTGAAACAAGTCTTGACAACACGATGCCAAACTAATGATATTGTTCAATGTCAAGTATACAATCAACAACACAAGACATGCCACAGTCCAAACTGATCCAATATTGTATCATTGTAAACATACATTTTCATCGTCAATATCATGACAAACTTGCAAGAACAGGTCAATTGCCAATGTGAGCATTTCTCGATCCGACTCGTGAACAATAATCTCAACCATAGGCTTGATGTCAAATTTACACTCCTCACTCCAGCGTCTACAATTGAACAACTTTGTGCATGTTTTCATCGCCTATATGCATATTGATACCAGATGAGTTGAATGTCAATCATTTGATCAATATCAATCATGACTTGCCATCATTTTGACTTGACGGTTTGGTGATTGCATGCATTGTGAGAGTTGGTTGCTTAGTCGATGTGATACTTTGAACTGACTATCATAGTATACCATATTCGCAAACACTGTAGTAAACTCCATTACTTTGATCTACACAACACATGTTGATTAGTTTAGTCATGAACAATCCATTATTGTTACAATATATGAATACCTGTAAACTGGGTCGATTATACTCCAAATACTTGGCTGCAATATCTTCTAGTTGAGTACTCTGTAAGCGTTTCACTATATCTTTAAATTCTGCCATTTCAAACCAGCACAAAGTCAACAATGGTTTGAATGCATCGATAATCCAATGGCTATTAAACTTACTGGATCTATAACTGTAAAACACCTGTATCAACACAAGCAGTCTGTCCCATATTTCATCAGCCTTGTATAGTTGAGTATCCGTTGTTAACAGTTCCAAATCTTCCAGGTGTTTTATAAACTCTTTCATGCTATCAATCAATTGTATGTTTGATAAAATTAGTAAAGTTGAATTTTGATTTGACAATTTCATTCATGCGAATTCAGTCATATTTGTGATTCTTCAACTGGATAACACGCCTGACATCAGACTGTCTAAAATGGATTATGCAGTTGTTGTTCATGTGGTTTTAGCGACTCTGGACAGTCCTCGAGAAACTGCTATTGCATTGGTTAGACAAGCGACCAAGATCGCCTTGGCTTCAAAAAACAACACTCAATTCAATACTCGGCAGTCTCCGAATTCTCTATTATGCATTCTAACTATATCTAATCTGAATCAGATTGTTGGCAATACAAACTGTTGGAAGTCTTTTCAAAGTGTGATATCTTCTCTGTATTTTGCAGCAGCTCAAGAAACGTTCAACCCTGAAGGGGTTGAGAGTGGGAGTATATGGCTGCCTATAAACATTATCTTGCAGGGATGGTGTGGATATGATGTTTGGGATTTTGCAGCTGAGAAAGTATGGGTTTGCATGTTGGTTGAAGCTAGATCTGGACAGATAAAACCAAAGGTAAGATGCTGCCATGTGTGTTCTCATGAATGTTGCCTTGTTAATATTATCCATTTGGTTGCATTGACTGCTGTTAGCTTCATTCCGATCCAAGATTTCTTGATGGTAATGTGCCAGAGCACATTCAGTTGGATATCTCTGAATGGCTTACCAATCATCCCAACGATCTGCAAGAATCCAGCGACTCTTCAGAACATGCTACAGATCTTCCTCCCGTTTTTGGACATGTGGCAGTTGGCGGTACATTTGACTATTTGCATGCTGGTCATCGTATTTTGCTAACTTGCTCCGCATGGCTGACCTCAACTCGGTTGATATGTGGTGTTACAGGTATCAATATAATGTTCATTTTCATGCCATCGTACCACCAACTCCTTGAATATGCGTTTTATATAAGCTATGCCAATCTCAGTTTATTAATGACTATTCTGTTTCTAGATCTAAACCAAACCAGTTTGGAGCGTAAACAAGCATACCAAAACATGCAATCGCTACAGACTCGACTCGATGGAGTCAAGACGTTTTTACATCGTATCAAACGAGATATCATGTATGATATAATTCCTATATACGATGACTACGGTCCTACTCTTACAGATGAGCTTATAGAGGCTATAGTATGCTCCAGAGAAACAATTCGGGGCTGTAAACTAGGTACTGCCATATTATAATCTTTTCATGTAAATGTACTGTTTAATTCTGCAAATTTAATCATTTTTAATCGCCATTGTATTCGATAGTCAACGATCTTCGACAACAAGGAAACCTCAAACCATTGCATATTTTTATTATTGATGTGATTTCATCATCAGTAGGAGTCATCACTTCTCAAGACTTTCGATCCAAAATCAGCTCAACCTATCTACGTCTACATATGCCTACATGTCCACACTCTGGTCTCGATAATTAAATATGACAGTAATATCATTCATGTTTAATGTTCATGGTTACAAATGGGCTCGACTATTTGTAAACACTCATAGTATTGATGACATCAGGGTTTTATTATCGAATCTACATGCAAAATCGATTGAACTGAAACGTGATAACATATCTCTACTTAAATATATAGCCATTGAGTTAATGTAGAGTGGATGATTTATATGGGACAAATGATTAAGTGAATAAAATAATGAGAAATCGAAACAATTGTTCCAGACACACCAACTTCATATAATTCTCTCTGGCTATTCGAGTTTGTACTTGTAGTAAATCTACTGCTTTTGAAATATGGATACATGTGGCAAAACTCGAGCCATTGCGACAAGTAATGACAAAAGTGTGACTGCATAAAGCAGCAGAAACAGCAATAAAAGTTATAAACTATCTGAACCGTCTGAATCCGCCTTTAAATATCCGTGACCACCACGTTGCAGGCTTTTTTTTGCTTAATCCAGCACCGCCAGCAATAGACCGGTCAAGATCGGAATATGGACCATGCTCCAATAAACTCTTGAGATCGGCAAAATTGGTCATAACGGATTGAGCAAGATTAGCATCAGCAATGCCATAAACACGCTCTTCAACTTCTCGCTCTACTCTATCTATACTTTTCACTAAACATTGAAAGAAACCAGTCAAATCTGCTTCAACGACGGTTGCAGACAGAATCTTTGGCTGCGAAATGGTAGAAGATCCACCTGTGAGTGATGTCAATGGATTTGTAGTTTTTTGCAAGTCTGTCAATTTATAAGTTCCGCTCAATCGTTTCCCTGCATCTGAAGTAGAGCAACTTTTTTCCTGGCTCAATGGTACAGTATCACCAAACGGTAGCTGCGGAAGCGTGTATTTTGTTGGTGTTGTTTGCACCGAATTATCTTTGTCGGCGACATCCGTATACTCATTTTCCAATTGTTCTGTCTTGTCTTTGAGCAGCTTTGCTTTCAACTTGGTGTCAATAATCAGTGATGGCATAGACCTTGAAAGTGGATTAGATTTACTCATACAGTCTGATTTTTGCTGTCCTGGCTTTACTTTTGGTCGGTTTACTTGTCTCTGAAGTTTAGTACATTCCAAAGCCGTGGGTAATGGAGCGGAAGATTCAGTGGCCGAGGTATTAGCGGCTAAAGACATGTCCTTGACTTTCAGCGATTGGTGTGTATCTGAGCTAATAGCGGGGAAATTTTCCTGAGTGACAGTACTTGGTGAACCCAAAGGATCCGAATCATCCGAGTGTATACCTTGTGCTGGCTGGGATCCTGACACGCTGGAACTCAATTGAGCATTTACCAAAGCCACTCCAGCGTCATGTGTAAACAAATCAGGTACGTTGACTTTGAGGGTAGGCGGCAGCTTGGCAGTATCCGATTTGAGAATGGCTGTCGGCGTTGATTTTGTTATTGTTAGATCACGTACTAATCCACGACTCGGTGTAGTAGGTTCTGGGATTGAGGGTTTCACGCAAGAAACTGTTTCCGTCTTTTTGAAATAGGATTGAAATGCAGTGTATGAGTTAATGAACTTGAATATCACCTGCATTTTCAAATGGTAGAACTTGAAATTGATTTCTACCATTCAGTACATGACAATTTAACTTACAACTGGATCTGGGGTTGAAGCAAAAGCAATGTAATCCTTCATGGCTTCCCGATAGTCTTTTAAATACTCGTTAAACACCATAAGATAGTCTTCCTTGTTTCCAAACTCGATATCATTACAAAGAGCAGTCAAAAGCTTTCCACACAACACGAGACCACGCCTGCGAGGTGTCGTGAGTTTTTCAGCAAGCAGTAACGCATTTGACTCGGGTGATGTAATGGCTACACATTTTATGGGTTTCCAAATGATAATTAAACAAGTGTTAGTGTGCGCCATTCTCAGATTTGTCACTCAAAATAATCAGTCTTGTAAATACCTGGAACAAAAAATCGAAGAAACAAAAATGATCCAACAACTTTCTCCGCAATAGTAAGACATCCAGCAGACCTTGGAGACGCGCTAAACATGGATACATTGCTTATAGATCCAGCATTCTTGCTTGTATTCGAAAGTGTTGGTTGTGAAGAATTTTGTGTTGTTGGAAATGCTAGTGAAAAGGGTGATATTGAGCTAGTAACAGTGCTATTTCGACTACCTGATGTTGAAGATACTTGAGCATCAGCCCGTGCAACGCTGTCTAGTTCACTGCCAAGCGGTTTACCACAAACACTGTCACTGGATTTTAAAGGTTGGGTGGCAATTGCTTGTGTTGAAAAACGCATCATGTAACTTTCTGCTGGTGAACTTAGCGATGACAGTGCAAAAGAAGTAGATAAAGGGTTTGACTCTGAAGCGACTTTATCTGAAGAAAGTTCTGTTGTGGAAATGCGATACCGTGGACTGTGTTTTTTCATGGTCAATTTATCAGCATTCATTGACAATCCATGCTCTCTAAGCTGCTCCACATTATCCCTGTGTTTCGATATTGGAAGCTGACCAGATCCTGATTTTTGAATTGATCGATCACTAGAAAAAGAATTTCCAGTAAGATGCTCGGTTTCTTTGACATCTCTGCCACCATAACTCTGGGAGCTGCTATGTGCGCTGCCTTTGCTCAAACAGTTTCCTTGGTTGCCATTTCCTGTTATACCACTAAAAGTATTGGGTTTTCCACTGCCATCTTTAACTCCCAAACTTGTACTGGATTCGGCAATCTTGTTCTTCTTTTTAAATGATATAATCCGCATCAGTTTTCGCTGCGCAATGACTGGATTAGTATGTAAACTGTCGTGACTACCACCTCCAATTTTAGCAGTTCCAGACAGGCCAGTTAAAACGCAGGTTGGTCCATCAGTACCTTCTTCAGGTTGACCAACCATAATCTCTGCAACCGTCGAGCTTTTACCAATTGTTTTAGGTAGCGCGTTTCGCTCAGATCCAGTTCCAGTTCCAGTTCCCAAACCAGCCATGAAAGACATCGTTTCATTTTTTTTCATCTTGTCCACCTTGCTTGGAGGTGGGTAGACAATCGACGCACGTCGTTTGACCTCTCTTACTCGATCGGCTAAATCTGCTGGCGAAATAGTTGCCATTTCATTCACTGTCTCGAAAATAAACTGACACATGCGACGAAGACTTGGAGGCATACGCTTTCTATTTTCAAAAACATGCGTAAACAGTCTTGTACATGCTGCACGTAAATTTTTCCTATTGGTTTCCAACAGAGTTTCAACCAAAGGCACAGACGAAATAGTTTTCAAAGCAGCTGTACTATTCAAATCTGTCGAGACTGTTTGTGCAGATGTTTTGGCTAGTTCTGGCGTTGCTGATGTTTCGATTGCTGGTTTTAATTCCTGTGAGTACTCAAGTTTTGTTGGATCAATTTCACAAGAGTCCAATGTATGAAAAATCTCATTGAGTGGAGCGGTGAGTGATATACTAAGCAATCCGTATCCATCCGACTTTTCAGATGTTTTGGCTAGTTCTGGTGTTGGTGATGTTTCCATTGCTGGTTTTGATTCCTGTGCATACCGAAGTTTTGTTGGATCAATTTCACAAGAGTCCAATGTATGAAAAATGCCATTAAGTGGAGCGGTGAGTGATATACTAAGAAATCCATATCCATCTGATTTTGCAAATGTATTAAGAAGCATTGTCGCCATTGAATTGTCGCGGATAATGTCACTGAGATCCCTGCTTTTGCAAACTAGTTTAATGATGTATATTGGCAATAATCCAAAGTCAGTACAAGTAAATGTGTTTTTAAACATCGTATTTATAACATGGTTCACACTAATCATATGAATGCATCCAAGACAACAGCAAGTGTTTAAAATATACAAATTTTACCATATTCGATTGCTCGAGTTCGAAATATTCGTTTCAAGAAGCTTTCGACAGATTCGGGATTACGATATCGCAAAAGAGTAAGAACACCTTTTGAAACTGCTGCAGCCGTATCGCCTACAAATGAACTCAAACATACAATCTCGAGCAAGGATGCATCATCAAAAAGTAAAAGGTCTATGATACGCTGGTCATACGCACTCAACTAAATCATTTCAACAAAAGCGCATAAGCATGCAAGGTCAATGGTTGGATGTATTGAGCCCAAGATTTACAAATACATGGCAAATCAGGTTAAAGATTGGCATTTATAGAGTATGTAGGAGTAAGTGGTTAGTACCAAGTGCGTTATATTTTATATGAGTAGTAAATGTTTGTTATTCCACATTGTTGTAGCAATCAAGCGTAATACATTATACCCATGACCCATAATAGACGAGTTGGAAATAATTAGGTCGAGGCGTGTAATTTAAAGTGATATTCGACCAACACAGAGTCGTTGTATCCAATAGTTAAAAACAATACGTCAGTGAATACGAGCAAGTGGTCGATAGTTGCGTGTGGGCAGATGTAAAAGACGGTATAACAAATAAATATATAATAAGTAAATCTGTGCGTCGATAGGATAGATATTGATCGGACAAGGTAATACGCTTGAGCTGTATAGGCAACGTGGCCAAATAGATATATGTGTCTATGCAGTGTCACCACTATCAGCCAAAACACTTGCTAGTCTCGGGTTTTTAAGCATAGCTCAAGACAATAAAAGACACATCTTCAGCAGACAACGTACCGACAGTCCTGCAACCAATGGCGACACACCCATACGGTGTGAATAGGTTGTCAATTCAGCTGCCGAGGCGCATCGTAAGTGTCCTGACATTTAGATGTGACTTGGGTAAATGGGTTTAGAATGTATAGTCGTGTATCCAAAACAATATCCAACTCGCATGTCAATATCGTGTCTAAAATTAACAAGTGTGCAGCCACCAAAATAAAATCTGGTCGAGACCGTGTTTCAATATATTCCAAAGCGAATCCTTAATATTATTGCTCCAATTCGTTTTAAATCTACCCACCAAACAAAAACAATGCAATAAAAACTTTTAAAGAGAACATCAAGTTACATTTAAAACTAATAAAAAGAAAACTAAAAGGGTAGATTGAAAACGACAAAAAACCAGTAGCCATGCAAAGATATAGCATCAATCAAGTGAAAGTAGAGGGATTGAGACTTGCAAAAAGTTTGAAAAGTAGCGAAAAAAGATTAGTTGAAAAGGTAAAAAATATCAAGTTATTTCAATGAAAACTTCCAAAAGGTAAAACTAGTGAAACGCCAAAATGCCAAGAAACGACGTAGGTTCTTAATTGCATCCAGAGGCATTGGTTGTGGACAGAGACCCAGATGTCGAAGTTCGACGCATTCGAGACCCTAATGTGTGGGCAGATGAACTAAGACTACGGGCACGTATAGATCGCGATACTGGTGCTCCAGATGAATCTGTTCCTGTAAACAAAACCTCGTCAGAGTGGCCAGATCCAGAGGCATCCATGAGAGCATGTGATGATTCGGATGGAAGTGTTGCATTAAGAAGTGCGGGAGATGAAGCCACGAGTGATTTGTCCCCATTTAGTTTGATTTCAAACGTATGCAAGACTTTGGTATTGTATCCATTGCAACTCATGCATTTGTGGTATAAAAAGTGGAACTTGGCATTGGATTTTTTTTCACAGTCGTTACAGTAGACATGACTTTGAATATTTGCATATTCAGGTGGCATCTCATGCTGCGCAAGCATTGCATCCACTCGCTTAAAGTACTCGCTCATATTAGCCAATGATTTGAAGCAGGTTGGACATTGATACGATGTTTGGATATACTCTTGATGGCATTTGAAGTGGATACAGTGTCCGCATGGCATAAAAATGACTGTAGTGGTAGATGTAAACATATACTCTCCACAGATTGGACAGTCACTTTCAAGATTGCGTTCAATGCATTTGTGGCGACCTATCAAGCTAATGGCCATGCAAACGTTGCATTTTTTGCAGTGGAAATAGTCTTGTCCAAGCCCTTTTCCAATTCTACAGATTCCACAATCCTTGCAATGGTAGATACTCTTTTTAGGATCATTGTCCCACAGCTTACACTCGTGACAGTAGTAAAGAGCTACTTTTTTACCGCATGTGGCATTGATACACGTCTGTCCGGCTGGTTGGACAGTGTTGCAATACATGCACATCATTGTGGTTGTAAATGTTCTAATAAGGTGTGATTAGAATCATTTTAAGCATCCAAATTATACAGATTTAGATAGCCTACCTAATGATATTATGATCAGACACCTCGTCGTGGCAAAATCGGCAACTAAACCAGCGACCGCAGCAATGAGCCTGTAGTTTAGTGGCACGTTGATAGTGCTTGCATCCCAAGATATTGGCTTTCTGATCCTATATGTGCATAGTGACAAATCGCATTTTAAAACAAAAATAGTCCATGGTGAGTGTCAAGCATACAAAAAGCAGCAGAAAAATAGCATTACAGTCAAACGCAATAGTGATATAGACTAAACAATCAAATAGTGCTTACATGCCAAGTGGGAGTTTTATCTAATTCAGTCAGCGTATCAAAGTTGTCAAGTTTATTTTCAAGCTTGTTTGAATTGGGCGACACATTGTTTGCCTGTAGTCTCTGTTTTTTGGTCCATCCACTTGACATTAGGTCCTATGACGGATGAGTTATATTTCACAAACACCAAATCACAATCGCATTTAATGGTCAAAAACAATTCGGTTAGTTTTGATATTCAGTACAGGAATGGACTTTTGAGCTACTTTTAATTTTATACAATAGGATAGGATAGAATAGGATAGGATAGATGAAATAAAAGGCACAGTTGGATGACCATATAATATGACAATGTGAGTTGATTCACCTGAATTTTACGAGCCTTTTCAGGTGGAGTAAGCGTGATGTCCTGCTGAATATTAACTATTTGCTTACGCAGTTCTGCCTGATTATCGCCAAGCTTATTATCAGAACTACCGGATGCTAGAACAGCTTGAGACGCAGAGGCAGTGCCGGAGGATCCGTCGGTCTGACTGATTTGTCGAATGATAGATGGCGTAGCAGTCTGCCTATCTAGGGATGTGTGACCATGTCCAAGGCCGTGATGAGTATGGTTGTGATGATGGGAAGAGTGATTGCGAATGTGGTGGTCGTCATGAACATCCAGCATCATATCATTGGCATCCATGTCTGATGTAGTCACTTCATCGTTAAAATAGTCGCTGTCAGAGATGTAGCTGTCAGAGTCACTGCCCATACTTTCGTCGCTGTCAAAGGCATCAGCATGAGAAGTGGTCATGACCAAATCGGATTGATGAAGAGAAGAGGAATCAGAGATGAAATACGATGATGACATGGGAAAAGGTGGATGGCCAAGAGGCATCAATAAGAGTCTATTTGAGTAGTAAGGAAAAGCGAGCTAATGTGACGAGTAAAGTAATAAACGGACCCTAAGTTTGAGGATATTTCTGTGGAAAAAACTGGAGCACCAAAACTGCTTTTCAAGGTTGATTATATACGCGGGTTGCAACACAACTCGTTCTTGTGTTACAAAGTGCGTTACAAGGCGGGTGGCCGCAGTATGGTACTTGAAGATGCTGAAAACTTGAACTATTTGCAGTTATTCTGTGCAATGGTTTGTATGGATGGCTGTAGAGCCACTCTGGTTAGTTTGAAAAGTGAAATTCAAAACTAGTGTCAAGGGTGATGAGGGTTGATGGGTAAACTCTGGCTATTTTATTCGGTTTTTAGCTCTTAATTAAACCGCAATAATACACTTGAAAAAGTCTGATCAATTCCAACGATGCATGACGGATGATGCTCTAGCACAATTTCATCTACTGTAGAAGCGTGAATACGCATTGGTTTCAATTCGTCTGAAACCTGCCATGAGAAAAACATGAGCATTGACGCGTCATGGAATTATGCTTTGCATAATTTTGTCAATGGATTGCCAACTAATGGAATGGCTAGCTATACAACTATCCTAATCAATATTACCAATTCATTGTTTTGTGTATCTATGCATAGTTATCTACTCAGTCTTTTCTAACCATGTATTCTAGTCTACTAGCGAGTCGATACCTGTCCATTCCATACCTTGATTTGCATAAATGCAAAGCAGGGTCGACTCTTGCATTAAATGGCAGATGTGTATGCAATCAGCCAAATAAATAATTGTTCCGATTTTATCAAATGTATAAATACAACACAACGAGTTGTTCGCTGATGCTTTGCTGTTGTTTTTATTCGAGTGGAAATACAATAATGCTGTTTAGCCAAATTTCATCATATTTGAATTTGGCAGAATTCAAACCTTGGACTCGAATCAAGCACCGACTTTGAAAAACTTTACCAATATTCAATGGATAAAATTAAGCATGGCCAGAGTGTGCTCTTGATTGGCAATCCTGCTGCTCAGGCAGAGGCATTGCAGCTTGCACAGTCTTCTCTTACCAGCAAAGTATCCACTACTGGAAAAGTTTCTTTTGAGCAACTGGATAGAATACCACTAGGTATAAACGCTTGATATCTTGAACTGCCTCGAGTGTTTTACATAGTGTATCAAAAGGATTGAAAGTGGAATAGTACCGACGATTCATGGCTTACACTAGTCTTGTACTTATGCACAATCCATATCAGCCATTTACCAACTAACAATCATGATAAATGTACTGTAAATCATTCTAGTCAACCTTGCTTCTTCATCCTTCCATGCAATTGTAACCGGCTCAGTAGTCCCAACAGCCTATACTCATTCCAACCTGGTTCTTTCCAAGTTTGCAAAAACTCTTGCACCTAGTGGCATACTGATTCTTACCGAACCAGTTTTAATTGATTCCTTGGCAGTCATATCGATTGAATCTGCTCTACACAACCAACGTATGCCATTTAGAACAGAAAGATCATTATTGTCTGATTTAAAGGTTAATGGATTCATCAATCCCCAGTTGGTTTCTTCCTTAAATGTCGATGATGATACGGTGCGATTGTGGGCCTCTCAATGCTGGGGCGTGGGTGAGGATAGCATGGCTCAAACAATCGACTTGCTGCTGGGTAAAGTTGTACTGGTGACATTTTCAGTCGCCAAGCCTGCATATGAACTGGGTGCTGCTGCCCCACTCAGATTCGGCAAGAAAAATACTACCGCACCTGCTGTGACAAAGAGTTCCAATGCATCGGTCTGGATCGTATCGGCTAATGACGACGACGATCCAATTGCAAATCAGGATCTTGAGGATGAAGATATGCTTCTGGATCAAGACGATTTGAAGTTGCCATCCACAAAGGGTATATTGAATAGGATTTCCTTATGATCTAATAAGCTAATAGAATAACTAATTTTTCCTTGAATGCCTTTTGGACGCCATAACAGCCGTTGATTGCTCTACAAAGAAAAAGGCTTGCAAAGATTGCTCATGTGGACGTGCTGAAATGGAGGCTTTAGACGAGGCAAGCGACATGGTTGCAAAAATCACAGTCACTACTCCGCTAAAGACTGTCACTGCACCTGTTTCTTCGTGTGGGAGTGTATGTTAATTCCATCTCAGTCTATTGTTTTCAATTTTTTAATGTAATCTAAAACCATTTTATTCCATCACTTAGTGCTATCTTGGAGATGCATTTAGATGCTCAAGCTGTCCCTATATTGGTATGCCCGCATTTAAGCCAGGTGAAAAAATTCAGTTGGGAGGAAACCTTCTCAAGGATGATATTCAAGCTCTTTAATCTCAACTTTCTGCAGTCATCAAATAAAAGTTATTTTATTTTTTCAATCCTGCTATTTGAATAGTATAGCAAGTGCCTGTTTTAGTTTACCAACATTCATAGCACTCTGCCATGATTGGTATTGCATTAGCTGATTTTGTTATCCATGTCTCGTTTTTACATATTAGATTACCTGCAATTCAGATTGGTACACTTGCTGAGCATGCTTTACTGCTCGTTCTCGTTCCATCATTATTTTTCTCAGCGACATTTCATGGTGTCGCCCTATTTAAGCCAACGAGTTTTAATAAGCTTGGCTTCAATAGCATTATTGCATTGGCTCGTAAATATCAGTACATACCCATAGCTTGTTGCATCTGACAGTACGCATGAATATCATTACAAAGGCTATCTGCATTTTGTCGCAGTATATTCATTGTTTTGTTTGCCTCATCCATCATCAATGTTGCACTAGAATGAACCGCAGTTGATTGGGTATTCAGCTTTTCATCATCCATCACAGAGCTGATGCGCGCTCGAATTTCATCGACTAATTTCCCACTAGAGTAAACGATTCATTGTAGCTATACATATTCTGCAATAGACATGAAAATAAAAATAACAACTACTCACCTTTGCGACTGATATTGATGCATTGTTTTGTTTGCATTTGCTTGAATTGTTGCCTGCTGAGATTGCAATGGATCTTCCATATTGCTAGTCTGTCCCCGTTTTGAACTTGTACTCGACCGGTTCTGACGCTGTCTGATTTTGTCTAAATCATTTAAAGCATTTAAAACCCCAAGCAACCAAGAAACGTTTATGTAGGAACTAGTGGCAAATAAAGTTGTTTTTACCCTGGAGATGGCTCAGCAAATTCCCAACATTATCACTATTAAAAGAAAATTAGTATTGTTTAATGGGAGACAAGCATTTGAATGTCATCAACATACTCAAGATTGTCCTGTGCTGGTGTATGATTAGGATACACCAGAGTGAGATCACCAGCAACAATATCATCATCATCCATTTCATACTCTTCTACATCTTGAAAATGATTTATGGACACATGTTTAGATAGAGGTGTGTGTTGAACCACTAGAGCCGATGCTATAACAGTTAGTAAGCGATCCAACCGCACTCGATATATGAAATCAATTGTGAGACACGCGATCCACCATAACCAACGATTTCATTGGTTATCAATGACAATAATATACATACTTTTATGAGGAGGAGAGAGTTTATTGACAACATTTTTAGTTTTTAGTCGATATGTCAGGGATACATGATCAGGACTGCTGGGTTGAATAGCAGCAACTGCTTTTCTAGTTCGAGGCATTACGGTTGAATGAAAATAGATTGAATCTTATCAAACAGTTTCTCCAATACAAATAAAAACATTCGAGTTTACTCTTGCCATTTCGTTGTATTTTATAGTCAGATTTAAACCCAAAATACTTTCACATACTACAGACTATCAAACTGGAAATGAAACAGTTGCAATGGATCCAAGCAAAGTAAAGATCCGTTTGAACTACTCACGTAGTTTTCATCTTCGCTATCTTCTTGGAGTGGTAGAATAAATTTGGTAGGGATACATATATTTGATTGCAGTTGATGACTGGCGTGACGATTGAGTTTCTGTGGTTGAAAATAATATCCGGACAAGATAGAATTAAAAGATGATCCAGATTGATCAGTTGAATTCACTGTTTGAGATCCACTTGGTATTGCATATACTTTTCGACTCGTGTGTTGGTTTTCATCGTCGTGCTCTTTATTTACACTGGGAAATTGGACTGAACCTTGCTGAATACTATTGGATGATTGATAAAATGGACTCGTTGTGTGAGCATTTTTAGAGCCATGTAATTCAAATTTGGGTTTCATGACTGAATTCAGCAACATATCGTCCAAAAGCCTATCCTCATTTGATGACGCGGAGGCTTGTAAATTTCCATTACTATATGGTGCCCAATCACACCCAGCTTGTAGTGTATGCAGCAAAAACGATTCTTTTGTTCCTGAAGATGGTGATGTCAGGTAAGATGCAGAGTCGCGATGTTCAGGTGATGCATGTGTAGTTGGCGTTATACGAATGTAGGATTGGTTTGCATTGGTATACAAGTCCTTGACTGTGATTTTCGGCAAGTTTTTTGCTACAAAAATAGGTGATATCTTTTGGTGATCAGAGATTATTGCATTGCAAAGTACTGATAGAGACTGTGCCAAAGATGAATAGCTACTGGGTGTAGGTAATGTCCACAAGCTATCGCGATTGCACTGCTCACATCGGCTTGACAAGTCAGGGATATGGGTATGCTGAGGTATATTGACAGGGGCTGATGATGTCAAATTGATCATATCTTGCAATGGACTTGTTCGAGGAAATCCCCATAGCAACTGACCAAGTGACACTTCACGTCGTTGTCGCTTGATATGCTCAACAAACTTGGTCTTCCAGTCCTCCTTTTTCAAAGGTATAGTCAGACTATATACAGATCAATGCAGTACATTTATTAAATATCGATTTTCAGCACAGTTGGTACAATACATCAAGATTTAATCACCTCAAATCCTGAATTAAAACAGCACCCGATGACTCGATAGGAATAGATTCACAAACGCACAATTGTTTCCATAACTGCTGGTCTGAAGAAACTGCCTGCCACACTTTGCATACGCTAGATACACGAAGAAGTGTATTGTACGGTAGATACTCGAATATATGTAAAAGAACTTCGTTTGGAATCAGTACACGAGGCAATGTATCAACTTGATACGTTTCAAACTTGTGGATATCAGTATTGGATGCAGCATGTTTGGAAAACGGCTTGATGGTACAACGATCTTGATGTATTGGCATTGGAGTGTAAGTATAATAAATCTTGCTACTTTGAGCAATTTAAACAATATGCATGTTTTATTGTTGGAGATTTGGGTGTGGATAGGCTTGATGGCGAATAAGAAAGCCAAGTTGTTGCAACATCCACACACCTCGATGATTTTAATTTCCATGTTAAATGTATTAGAACGGGAAAGCATACTTGCACTTCTTTTGACGGCATATTGGATACTTTTAATAGTGAATCCAAATACAACGTTGGTTAATGACTTTAAACCGAAGATGGAAATCAGAGTCTACAAACCAGATGCATAATGTTACCCTACCCAAAGTATCAGCAACTTCGTACGTTATCAATCCCACGGTTTTAAAGTTTAATAATGCATCCATTCCAAAAGTATCTGCTAGAGTCGAATCCATATCAACCACTTTTGCTATAGATCTCGTCAAACCAAAGAGATTCGCCAATGCAAGGCAATGTTCAGGTCAAAAGTGCAACAGTATGGATTTCTATCCCACTGCAAGCGATGACCATGATGGTTATGCGATTAAAAATCAAACGTATCCGTTTTTATTTAATGGCATTTCAGCACATTGCTCATGTCAGTCTGGATCAAAATGCCTGCCTTTGACCTGTATCCACTCAAACCCAATTCAAATCTCGAAAAATAGTAACAGTATAGAACAGCCTCGACAAGTCAAGTCAGACCAAGGTGAGCTTACTCGTTATATATAATTATTTGCTTTGATTCAGAAATGTGACTGCATCAAGGTAGATTAGTCTAGGTTTCTAGCTCTATCAATACTGCCCAAGCTAATGTGTTTTACACTGAATGCATCTTGATTCATTTTAGCAAAAGCATTCAAAGATTGTCCAAGTGTGCAAGATACGGTGTTGGACAAAGTGCCCTATGAGTTGATGCTGATCGACAGTAGTATTTTTACAAGCGATTTAGAACCATGGGATAAGATTGACAGCGAATCTCCACTATACGCAAATGCTACCAAAGGTCCTGATTACATACGCGAGCATTCAAAACCTCTTAAACCATATCAGGTCCAAAAAAGAGCTCGCCGAGTGCGCAAGACAATGGTTTGTAGTGAATTGGGCGAGGAGGAATGTGAGCAGGTCTTACACTCTTCACCTGATTGCAATGAAGGAGTCAAATCAGTAAATTCAATTGTTCACAAGTCGCAAAATGAGTCCATCCCATCCGACAAACCTTCAATTATTAGGTTTCCAAAATCGCCTTCGCTCATATGGCCATTAACTGTGCCTGCTACAACTCAATCCCCACCATCTGTCAAAAATCCTGATCAAGACTTTTGCAAGATAGCAAAACTGCCAAACATATCACTCACAGCTACAGTCCCTATTTGCACTTTACCCATTATTGCAAAAGAGTCACAACCCAGCTATATATCCAAAACCGACTCACCATCAAAACCAGATCTCGATCCAATCCTGAGTATCAACAAGTGCAATACACGCAATAGTCCAAAACAGAAAAAATTGTTTGATATGCTAGATCGAATGATGATTCAAGCACGAGACATGACAAAATTTCTCGACTCAAATCAACGTTTGAAGCCATCGCATGGTATAATGCAAAGATACATGGAGATTGAATCAACCATGCTGTTACCAAAACGGCTTTCCAAAAGCTTGGATTCTACGTCTGTTGATGAATTGGCAAAGCAAGATGAACATAGTCGGGTAAAGCTTCCACAAATCGGTAAAACTAAACAAAAACCACCGATCCCAAATGATCACGAACAGAAAAACACAGAGTTGATTAAAAATAAATCATCCGCGTCGAATGCAAAGCCTAATAGCTTAACTATTTATACACCATCTAATTCATGGTCGGTCGATTCTTGGAAAAAGCAGCGCATTTCTGCTACAGAAACTGTAAACGAAACAAAAAAATCGATGCCAGATATTTCTAGAAGTCCTATTTGCTTGAATCGACCAAAAAAACCAAAACGCTTTAGCAGAGATCATCTTCCTAACATTGGATTGGTAAGTGCAAACTCGACTCGAACGGTAAGGATTTTTGAAATCACACAATTATGGTTGTTGTCGAGTATTTGATTAGAGGCCATGTGACTAATACAATTACATGTTGAATAGTTACCACAATATCAATCCAGTGCTCTATATAGTCAGATGAGTCATATAGACCAAAATATGTCGAGTTCAACAAACGGACATCACCGCTCATCAGCTGCGTTTTATAAACAACCTCTACAAACAACATCGGAGCGAATACTTTCTGGAATCCAATCCAACAGTGATATTCGCTATACTGACAAATCTTTTAGACACACAGCAAGACAAAGAAACACTTTAAATGCAAAACAACTTCAAAGATCGCTTGCCAATAAATCGGGGATTATTTCTGCACCACCAAAATGGAGTAACCCAGCGGGTCATTTGTGACATCAACCAAATGAATTTATTGGATTTTAGCATTACTTGAAACATGCGACTTTAATTGGCTTGAGCAGGACTGATATTTTCAAGTAGATACTGTGGAATAATATCTGAAATTGTTGATAATTTATTGACGAGGCTCATTCTCATTGTACAAAGCTCTACGTTGACTGCCTAGATATCAACACGACTGTTTGAGCATTTACTATAGTGGGATCAAGCTTAACAAATCGAGTGACCACCTGCATATTGGAAAAAACACTGGCCCGGTCTTGCGACAGACTATCAATATTGGCAAAAAACTCTTGCTCAAACTCCATCAATTCATTTTGAATATTTCTTCTAAAACAAAATGATTCAAGATTAGCTTGGATAATCCGTCACTGAAACGTTAAAACTCATAGATGCCTTACATATTGATCATGTGCTCGTCATACAGTTCTTTTAAAGCTTGCTTGAACTCTATTTCAGTCTCGATCATATCCTGCGTGCTTTGAATTGATATATCTCGCTTGTGAATTTTGATTTTGTCTTGAGATTCAAGCAGTTTAGGGTTAGTATGCAGTTTGGGGATTGTGAGACACGAGCGAATACTCAACTGTGGATCTGAGCAAGCAGAGCCCCAATGTCATCACTATTCAAGTCTCAATAATTGATTAATATTCCAAACTGTGTTAAACTGATCATTTCAAGTGGAATAATGCGTGAATACCTAGACGAAGAAGTCAGTATTTTGACCATGTTAATGTGAGACTTGAAAACTTGAGTTGGTCTAAAGTCAACTGCTTATCACGTGCTGATTGTTGCAAGATTAAACTGAACCTTCAGCCAGACTGCATGACGGCAATGAATTCACTGGCTTCGTTGATCTGGATGGGTATTGCGCTTCGTGTCGGGCTGCTTATATATGCCACAGTACAAGATACTCATCCTGTTATTAAATACACTGACATTGACTACTCGGTCTTCTCCGATGCTGCTGCTTACCTGGTTTCCCCAGTTGGTCCAAACTCTCCATTTGCTCGAAGCACTTATAGATACACTCCATTACTGGCATACATGATGATTCCCAACATTGTCCTGCATCAGCTCTTTGGAAAAATCCTGTTCTGCATCTGCGATTTAGTTGTAGGTGCATTTCTATTTGCAATATTGCGGATCCTTGGCCGAATGCATGGCATAGATACTATGCCACCACGACGTGCATGTCTATATGCAGCATTATGGACTCTCAATCCATTTGTAGCAGTAATATCTACACGGGGAAGTGCAGAAAGTGTTGTCGCTGCCCTTGTTCTTGGATCACTGTGGGGTATTCTGTCAGGAAGAATGCGCACTGGTGCAGTTCTCTTTGGCATTGCTGTCCATTTTAAAATCTATCCGATTATCTATGCCGTACCATTTTGGTTTGGGGTCGATTGGGCTTCAACAATCACTTTAAAGACATCAAAAAGTAGGACGAAATTCAAAATGTGTTTTTGGAGTTGGCGGCGAGTCGAGTTTGCTCTGATTTCTGGCTCTACCTTTATCGCACTCACATATGTCATGTACATCTTGTAAGCTATTTGTAATCGGATGAATGTTGGATTCATATTTTATACTATTTTTGACGGCTCATTTTGTTTATTTTTGGCTTGTTGCCTGTTATGCTTAGACACGGGGATGAATTCATTAATGAAGCTTATCTATACCACATCATCCGTAAAGATCACCGTCACAACTTTTCATTGTATTTTTACGAAATGTATCTGAAATCTAGTCTTATTTTTCAAGCACAGGAAACTCAAACTTTGGCACAGCGCCTTGCATATATATTTGGTGCAATTGGGTCGTTTCTACCACAGCTTGGACTAGTTGGATTTGTCGGCATTATGTTTGCTCATGATTTGCCGACTGCGTGTTTTTTACAGACCTTTGCGTTTGTGATGCTCAACAAAGTATGCACATCCCAGGCAAGTCATTAAAATATGATGAATCTGGAAACAGCATGTGCAGATTTAGATCATTGACGCTTTATTTTGTATTGTTAGTATTTTTTATGGTATATTTGCTTGCTGCCACTGGTATTGCCGTTTTCACGACTTACTTGTGATCGATGGCAGCGAGGAATTGTGCTTGTAGTTGCATGGGTAGTTGGACAGGTACTTGTAAACCATCCCACTCTTGCTCAATAATTCTGACTCAAGCCACCATTTAAACTAAACATAGTTTGGTCATGTTAATACTAGTGTATCTGGCTTTCACAGGCATACAGGCTAGAGCATCTTGGACACAATACATTTACAGAATTGTGGCTATCTGGCATTGTATTTTTTGTGATCAATGTTTTTATACTGAATACCATCATAGCAAATCAATCCATAACATAAAAGCTCGAGTCCAATAATAAATGTTATTTCAATATAATCTCCATTCAACACTAGCTAATTTGGACTTTTTTGAGGCGATCTTGAGCAATCTGTATCATATGTTCCAGTCCATTGCTCAATTCTTCTTCAGCAGAGTTGTTTAGTCTAGCCTCGATTACTGGAATAATCTCCTCCCGAGATCTTCCATTTACAAACACTACAAAACAAAACTTGAATTTAGCTTCATATTGAGCATTCAATTCTGCCAACCGTTGATTGATTCGATCCTCGTTGGTCAAGGAATTTGGTGCATTGGTGTACCCTTGTTCTTGGTATGAAAGTGCTGAAAGAGTTGCCTTGTTGGCACCGATTCTGGGATGAGCATTTACGACTGCTTTGCGGTCTTCAAGTGAAAGGCTATTGATGATATCTGCTGCAGTTGAGAGAATCGTAGCGTAGGAACTATATGGACGAGATGCCCATAATGCATTTGCCAAAGGTGGTGCAGCTTCAAATAAAACGCTGATAATGCTAAAGAACTGATTCCTTGATGATGCATTCAGCAGGTCAATAGAAGGTAAGGATTGAATGGTTTGTGCCATAGTAGGATTGATGCTTGATTTGATGGAACACTGGTATTTTGAACTGAAGGTTTATATGATCCTGGTAAAGAAAATTTGAAGACTTGCAGTCGTATTGATTTGAATGGACCACCAAATAACAGTGTTGGTGTGTGATAAACAGTTGTATTACTGATGTCATGATTGTTGTTGAACTAGATTGCGATCGTATCTGTGATTCAGAATACAACAAATGAGTGTACAGAGTTGTATTGACAATATCGATAGTCAAACACAATACATGAATGTGGGTTCAGACTTGATGATTGTACAATGTATGATTACTAAGAGTGCACAATGTGTAGATTTAACACTATAGTCTGATTGTGTGTCATATGATGGTTGTTATATTTGGAACACATAATCAACCGAATATGTAACCATTGTATATCTCAAACCAAAGTCATTGCATGCTGAATAACAAAGTGATCCATTTTACATGAATACGGTTGTAAAAAGGAGCGTTTGCGGTTATACAACACTCATGAAGGGTGTGCTTTTCAATATACCTGATCAAAGGGTCGTAAAAGCATAATTCAATCGACATGAACATCAAATCGATCAATATGATATTGTGATTAGGGAGCAGCATACTATGGTTTGATATTGGCTCACTAAAAGCAATCAAGTAACTATGTATAGCTGGTTAACCTGTAAAATTTGTATATCTCACATAAATGAGCATCAAATTATACTTGATTAAACGAGATTTCAGATAAAAATCCATCCTTAATTTCCAAATCATCAGAGCTAGAAAGTTGGCTTAGACATCAATGTTTTGAGAAATGGTATTATTTCTTCATTAAATTCAGAATGAGGGGTGATAATACTATCCAGACATTCTCGAGTCAATTTAGCAACCAATATTGCTAATTTCCAAAAAATTAAAACCGTATTAGTCATTTCCTAATAATAATATCGGACTCTTTCTCATAAGCGGATGACAATAGACTTTCAAGTGGGTTTTTGACATTTTTTTCTTTCCTTTAAAAACAAATGCCTACGTTTGATGAAATCTTCTCAGTTTTAAAGGAATTCTTACCTCTGATCACTGCAGGAGGAGTCGCTGCTTTAGCTGCTGGTTTGATACCTCGTATTAGCCCTGGTAGAGCAGTCTGGATTGCGCTGCGTTCTCGTTTCGCTTTCAAGCCAGTACCAGAGTCGATTCGCTTTGAAGAAGCCAAACTACTCAAAAGTAGACTAGCCGACAAGGATTTTGGTCAAGGCTACTTGGTTGTAATTGGCGAAAAGGGTGTTGGAAAGTCATGTTTGCTCAGTACAGTCACCAGCAAGATGCCAGGTGTGATTACTGTGGAAGCTCAACCATCGGACAACGAAAACACCATCATCAAGAACACACTACAACAATTGACAAATCCCCTGTTCAAATCTATGAATCCACTCGAAATGGCACCACGAGTAATATTCTGGTACCGCTTCTTCACCCTTGGACGCTCTCCTATTGTTATCATCAACGCTGCTGAACGAAGGGTTGGTCAAGAATATGCTGGTCTTGCAGGCGCTGTTCGAACTTTGGTTGACAATTACAAGCTCCGTGTGGTTGTTGATGGTTCGCCAAACTCTCTTGATGAAACGCTTTTGCGAACGAAACGTCAAAGTGTATTTGATATCAAGCCAATGACAAAGGAAATGATTTGGCAGCTTGAACAACTCCAAGATTTGTTCAAATATGTCAAAGAAGCTGGTTGTGATGACACTGTCTTTGCTGTGCTTGGTGGGATTCCCGCTGAATACGAAGGACTTTGGGAGAATGTCAAGACTGATCTACAGGATGGCCAAGATGCAAGAGAAGCCATTGGTACTCACTTGTGTGCTGAGATCTCTGCTGCAATCAAACTTGTCATGGATGCTCAGGATATGGACGAAATTATCAAGTTACTTGACAAGGACAGCAATATCATACCCAGTCATCTTTTGAAAGACAAGAAATTGAAAAGACCCATTTCTGACAAGATCTTTCATGAAGTAAAGCAAGATCGTGTCTTTGTTCTCATTCCTGCTTCCAATACAATTGGCATTGTGCTCCAGCACAGTCTTAGAAAGGAACCCACATTGAGTGAACTCGAAGAGTTGCTCAAGACTAGGATGTGAATGTAATTAAATCAATAGAATATTAGCATGTATTAAAAGAATATAGCATCCAATTATTTCGTACAATTTGATTCTTATATGGTTCTAGATACTAAGGTCGGATTCTAATTAGAACCAAAGTTCACCAACTCTCAAGATCCTATTTTGGGTGATTTAGCACACAATTTGGAGATATCATATCAACTTTAGATTCACTTTGGCTCAAAGTATCACTTGATAATGGTGCACAGCATATCAGTTACAATACATGCACGGTATTGCATTGCAGTCATTGGATGACAGTCTGTTGCAATGTGATACCGATCGACATACATCAGCATGGTGTGATGTGACCATAATCATGGTGGAATGTGTTGGAGTTGACATTGTGAGTTGACAATCGATACACCATGCACATGACTGGAACATATATATTCGAGTGTGGTTTGGTTGGTGTCAGGTTGATCATGCAATCGCATCGGTGCAACGAGTGAGTGAGCTGATGGTGATCTGAACCCATTTCAACAACAAGCATTGACAGTTGTGGATTTGCATGCATTCAATATGTGTAGCACACCGTTGTTGACTGTGTATGCAGGTCAAGTTACCACCAACCACCAACCAGATCCAGTGCGTACATGATCATTACTAGAATGACTGCCAAGAATATTCGTGTCTGAAAGTTGATTGTGAGTTGATGGTTTGCAAGAATTGAACACAACCAACATGGTATTGGATACAGCAACCTGATTATAGTCCAGTCGCATGGTGTGATACAGTGGTTTGTGCAATACAACATCCAGATATTTGTAGTGTTGAACACGACGAATCTGTTGTCCGTGTAGCATCATATCAATTGGTAATTCGGAATCAAAGTGTTGTGGCCACGGAAACTGAGTATGTTGCATTTGACTACACCAAAACTTATTTGACATTGTTCCATTCATCGTGCAAGTACACCAGATGCCAATTGGAGTGACTGATCAGAGTCAACAAATATCACGATATTGTCGGCATACATGAACCCTCACATTGGTGGTGATTCACACAATACTCATGCAATGACAATCGGTTGATATCATCGTGTGTGTCATTGATGAACATGTTGAACAACAACCTGACAGTGGACATTACAGCCGGACTCCATGTCCAATTGGAAATGGGTTAGAAACCAATGATCCAGTCTGAGCACAAGCTGATGAGCATGTGTGCAGTGCTGTCAGCAAGACCAGTGTGCGTGGTGTCAATCACATATGCTGCAGTTATCATATCAAGGCACCAACCGTGACAGTGTCGAATGCATTTTGAATGTCAATCAACACAACAATAATATTGAACTGCACGCACTGCTGTTGTTGAACAATATCGACTAGTGAATCAACCTGCACAACACACTTGTTTGGTTTGAAATCGACCATGCTCAGTGGTGACGAGTTTGTTGAGCACCACGATCCATCAATGTGTGTTTGCAAGACCTTGCATACCAGTTTATGACACACATCAATCAGTGTAATACCGTGTTTGTCATTTGTATCAATGTGATCGCCGTTATTCTTGTCGATATATGCAATCAATACAATCGATACAGTGTATGCAGACTGCCATCAGGTTGCATAGTGGTCGTCAGCATATTGCCTGAACTGTGTGTAGCAGGACACGATCAAATTGATTGTGGTTCATCAGGTGTAGCATCCGATGTATATAATGCGACTCGACAGAATATGACCAATATCCTGTTGTTTTCCGAGTGTTTGGTGTGAACCAGCTGTTGTATTGCATCAGCTAGTCGATTTCAAGATATATCCGAGTCGAGATCAGTGACATCGTCACGAATTGGAAACAGTTTGTATGGTGGAAGTGAATCACGTATATGCAAGTACTGCCATTACTGCAAGTCAAGTAAATGTCCACTATCGTCCATAGCAAGACACAAGTAGTGATTACTCGGTATGTCAAAAATATTATCACTGCTGTACTGAATGATACGATTGGCATCACATCGTATAGTGGAATGGAATGGAGTGATGGCTGTTGTGTGTGTTGCACCACTAGACATGACTCAAGCTGCTACAAATGTCATATCAAAACGATCATCAATACTGTCCGGTCAAGTGTGTCAGCAAACTTGATCCAGATCATATGTTCATTGGCGCATTCAAGTCGCTGGATTGTTGCATTGTGTTTGTCCCAGAATGCATCTAGTTGGCTGAAACTGAATCTACTATTAAACCTGCATTTGTTTAAAATGAAATCATTTTAGTAATTACTTAGTTTCCGATTATTTACAAACGAGGTTTATTTTAAAATTCATTCAAAAAATGAGTACCAAAATAATATAATCGTGTCCAATCATTATGTATTCATGAGTGATAGCCTGTTAAAAAACTGTCAGTTATTGATTGCAATCTGGGACGTCAATACTGATAACACCACAGTATGTGTTTCTAAACCTGCACAAGTTACCATATTCACGCTTTATATGCTGATTAATCAGGTTCAACAGTTTGGATCGTTACTATACAAAGCCATTCGACTCAAAACAACCGTTCGTGATTAAATCTATGCAAAGTCATGTTATACAATATCAACCAAATATCATTGTAAAGTGGGTCTATTTATTCCAAAATTCAAGTTTAAGCTAGTTGGTGCGACCTGAACAGACTCTAGAACGGATGCTGACACGCAAATATAGCCAAAGCATTTATTCAGGTATGCAGACTTTAGTTTCATAATCAAGACTTTTGCATTTTGATCCCAAGGGACAATCACCGTCATCTTTGCAAAAAAATGGAAAGGCAAATGGGCTAGGAGCAGCAGTGACAGATACGACAAGAGCAGCGATGAGTGCGATGGCAGTGAATTGCATGGTCGGTTGATATATTGGATTGGGTTGAAATGTAGTGGAGTAGAGTAGATTGGAGTATAATAGACTGAGACGATGGTGTTTGATGGATCCAAGATTCGGGTAAAACCTGGCTTTTTATATTGCAGATTTGCCCGAAACAATCTTGAAAGTCGTACTTGATGTGATCACATAACTTTGCATGTAGATAAGGGATGCTCACAGCCAAGGGAGACTGGATTAAACTAGTATAAAGCCCAATAAACTATATTTGGCCACCCATTTCAAAGTCAAATAAAGCACACATGTATTTAGGTACTATTTAGCAGTGCATTCAAACACCAAATTGCAGAGCGGCCTGATTGTCAGCATAGACTATGCAAACAAAAACACTCAGGGCTAAAAGGGTGCTTTCGACTTTAGTGGCCAGGGTTTCAGGGTGTCAGGGTGTCCAAATGTCAGCATGTCAGCATGTCAGGGTGGAATATTCGTTACTGATATATATGTTTTGCTTGTTCAATACAGCTAATCACAACCCTAACCCTGATCCGTATAAACGTGGTAATATGTTGTAAAAGCATACTGGAATCAGGGTAATTGTGGACTCCTGTTTAGTTTAGTCAACACAGTTCAATAGCGACTGGAGTGTTACTCTAGACAAGTTGTATTGTAAATTCGAGTATAATGTGTTGGAGTGTAGAATAATACTGCTAGATCACTTGTGATGCCATCTCGGTGATATTACTAAACTTGCGTCTGGTGTTATATTTCAAACTACTCAATCAGATGTAAAATGTCAGCACAATCAACTATATCAGTATCTACCACACATGAACCATTGGCAGATTGGATCTTTGTGTGATTAAATTTTGGTCCAAACGAAATACATGAGTTTGAATGCGGTCCAAACTACAACACCAATATCTACTCGAACATGTCGAGTAACTGGTTGGTGATGCGCTGTTTTTGGCATAATACGCTGGGTTTACTCGGATGACTACATCAATAGATGTGTTTAGTAATCTAAACCTATTTACAATAATGGACCGTATCGAGCTGCATTGTCACAACTAGTACGTGGTTGATGCTTTTTGGTAGTGATGGCCAGTACAAACCATATACGAGGATTACTGATAATAATGCGGTCATCATAAAGCAATATTTGCCACATCAGCTCAAAACATTAGTAATAAATATACCGCTATATATCATATTATATCAAAGCACACAACACTGCATCAGTATTGTATCAGTCATACAAGACACTGCCAAAACCAACTTTAATCAACATGTTGAAATGTGTTTATCGTACAGGAATCAGCAATCAATGATTGAATGAAGATTTGAATTATACGATTAAATACCGCCGATTACTTGATCGATAATGAACAACATTGATTGTTGTATAGCTGAATGTTCCACAGTACAAACTATTGGATATCATTGTCCAAACTTGAACGACACTATGATATGCTTGACAAGCGTAATGTCCAACAGTGTTCAATAGTGTCCAATAGCGGTATAACTGTTTGCTGGACAAGTTGTTGATTTGCAGTAATCAGATGTGCATCACCTGTAAAATTGGATACAATTGACGAGTTGTAACCGCAAGTCAACAATCATGGATATGTTGGTGATTGTATTGACTACATGATTGGTATTGATTAGTTGTCATGATCGATTGGTGGACAATACAATCCACATTGATTATGACGTGTTGCAACTGGTTGATATATGCAGATTCGACTGATGATCGAGTATATGTTGATGTGTAACTCTGTCACTGTTGGTTTGGATTGGTCATTGCTGCCGCTTGTATATGCAGTGCATACATGTGTGATGTATTGGATATCGGTGTTGTGTATGTTGGACAATATATTGTCATGTCGCATCAAATCGCACTACATTTAGACTGCAGTCATTGATTCGTTGATTTAGTGATCGACTCGACTCACATTTACACAGTTTGTGGCCACATTCGACTGTAGTGGCCATAAATCTGGATTGCTGATCGACACGCATATATCAGACTCGGACATGATGTATATCAGTTGCATATACCAGTCACTGATGCAATTGATGATGATCGACTAGTCAATCAATTGGATATCAAGAACAATGTCAGTCCATTATAACATGGATACTTGCAGCTGTGGTCTGTGTTCAGTCAGTAATATTGTTGTATGTCGTGACTTGGTGCAACATACAGCATGATATATTGGTCAATTGTGATGTAGTACGGTCAATGGCATGCTGGTGATTTGTTGTGCTGCCTGACTGTATCTATGGTGTCAATCAGTGTCAGCAGTAATGCATTTGCATGCTGAATCTGACAAGTGGATGGTGATTGCTCCAGTCAACACATTGATTCGAGTATCGACATTCATGTGTGTGTCAACAAATGAATTGGACTGACTGCAATATTGTCATTGATCGCAGTCACTGTCGACCAATACATTGTAATACATTGATAGTCTCGACATCAGCATTGCCATTCATGTCAAGTTGTGCGTAATGTGAGTTTCAGCAATCTGGAAAGTGTGACAGCATTTACCGAGATTTGATGTATTTCTTGGTTTATCGCATCATCAACTTGAACAGACACGGTTTTGATCCAAACAATCAGTTGATCAGACACTAGACATGATTTTGGTTTACACATTGTAACAAATGGCTTACAGTGTAAATATTAAAACATGACGGTTGTTTTTTGGGTTGTTACATTGATGGTTGTTTATCTACTCGAATTAAAGCATAATAGTTGTGCAACTTGGGTTTTAGATTTCTTGTGATTAGTATCTATGATGGCATTTTTCAGTTCTTGTTGTGTGAGAATATGGACTCTAGTTTTGAATACATTTACAGCAGTATTCACGTAAAATGGAACACATTTATCTCGGTGATTGTCACTATTTTATTTTGGGATAGACAATGATTAAATATTCACATTTATATTACGAATTGATTGTTCAATAAACACAACGATCATCATATGACACAATCATACTATAGTGTTGAATCTACACTTTGTGCACTCTTAGTAATCATGCATTGTACGATCACCAAATTTGAACTCACATTCATGTATTGTGTTTGATTGTAAATACAACTCTGTACACTCATTTGTTGTGTTCATCACCATCCAACTCAATCTCACCATTTCAATCAATCTTGGTCAATGTTGATGATTTACACGCTAATTCATTATCCAATCTTGTCTGGCATTATTACTGGCTTTAATCACGTTTGGTTTGTACAACTGCCATGAGTTGCACTACCATTATCATTGTGTATCTGATCACCAAATATTCCAATGCATCAATAGTACCACAGTGTAAACAGTAATACAGTTGATCAGTATTGTGGCAAGACTTTTCATCCAAGTTTGTATTTGGAAATACTCGATGGTTTAATCACCACACTATTTGTAATGCGATTGTCATTGATCTCATTTCATTCCACTCCAGTCCATCCGATTTATGATGATGTTTAGTAATCCATTACCATGTGTTGTAGTAAACTAACTTGTTTATTGAACCAAATCCACAACGATCACATTCAGAATATTAATTTACAGTATTTCTAAATGCATGTTTGATAACAATCCAATTTTGTTACAAAAAACTGATCAAAACAATACTAAAATGGAACAACTCGTTTGTGTGTTTTACAACAATCCAAACATGAACAATTCTTGGCAATTGTTGGACATTCGCATGAATGAAATTGTCATCAAAATTCAACTTTACTAATTTTATCAAACATGGATTGTGTTGATAACATGAAAGAGTTGATCAAACACCTGGAAGATTTGAAACTATTAACAGCGGATGCTCAACTATACAAGGCTGATGAAATATGGGTCAGACTGCTTGAATTGATAATGGAGTTGAAACAACAGGACTACAGTAAGTTTAATAGCAATTGTATTATCGATGCATTCAAACTGTTGCTGACTTTGTGTTGGTTTGAAATGACAGGGTCTACAGATGTAGTGCAGCGCTTACAGAGTACTCAACTAGAAGATATTGCAGCCAAGTATTTGGAGTATAATCGACCCAGTTTACAGGTATTCATATATTGTAACAATAATGGATTGTTCATGACTAAAATAATCAACATGTGTTGTGTAGATCAAAGTAATGGAGTTTACTACAGTATTTGCGAATATGGTATACTATGATAGTCGGTTCAAAGTATCACATCGACTAAGCAACCAACTCTCACAATGCATGCAATCACCAAACCGTCAAGTCAAAATGATGGCAAGTCATGATTGATATTGATCAAATGATTGTCATTCAACTCATCTAGTGTCAATATGCATATAGGCGATAAAAACATGTACAGAGTTTTACAAATATAAACGCTGGAGTGAGGAGTATAAATTTGACATCAAGCCAATGGTTGAGATTATTGTTCATGAGTCCGATCAAGAAATGCTCAGATTGGCAATTGACCTGTTCTTGCAAGTTTGCAATGATATTGACGATGGAAATGTATGTTTACAATGATACAATATTGGATCAGTTTGGACAGTGTCATGTCTTGTTGATTTGGTTGTATACTTGACATTGAACAATATCATTAGTTTGGCATCGTGTTGTCAAGACTCGTTTCACGACTGGAATCATCCGATGGTTCAGCTGCTGTTGGTTTTATCAGAAATCTTCAAACCATATTTTGGAGTATTCATCGTCATGACCCAGTAAAAGCAGCGGGATGCGGTGTCATTCCAGCACTGGTCAATACGCTCAGGTATGTGGTGCTATGCATGAATGTGTGTCCAGTCATCACAATTGGTAAATTTGACATGGTTGGATTGACATGACATGAATACAGGAGTGTCGATCAAGAAGTGATTGATCAAAGTATTGATACTATCGGGAATTTTTGCAAACGTGCAGATTGTGTAGTGATTTCAGCCGAGTTGATAAGGTCGGGTTTGATTCAAGCACTGAACGACTTGTATATCAGATACAGCAACAACTCTGGACTAAAAACACGCATAATCAAGATGGCTGGAACAGTTGCATCCAAAATGCGTGACTTTCCTGTATCGCTTGTACGATCGTTGGTTTTTGAGCAATTGACGATATCGGCATGTGATGTCGATGTAGATGACTCTTTGTACCTGTTTAATAATGTCAGCGACATGATTGAGAAATCTACAAACAAGGACGAGATGATCAAGGTGTTTCAAGAATATGGAATTGTAAAGCAACTCAACACTATTTATTCACGTAGAGATGTAAATTTGCATGATTCTGCTGCTGGTATTGTAAACCTACTCAAAATACTTGTTGATTTTGCCGACAATCATCCCGACAGTTCAATACGTACCGAGTTGGATCAAGGCGGGATATTTGAAAATCTAACGGCTATTGTACAATCGGATGATACCGACTACATAAAAAGAAGGGCTGCTGGCCAGATCATTGAAACGTGTTTCCAGCATCTGGTTCATGTTGCTAATTCAGACATTCAGCCATACGATGACAATGCCGAAATTGATATGAAATCTGGAATGGCCGGAGATACACATGGAGAGGTACGCACACTTGTTGAGATGCGGTATATCCAATATCTGCAATGTATACTTTGCAAACCCATGTGGTGGATCGATATCACAAACCAGCATATTGTGGAGCAATGGAGGGTCGACTCACTCGGTCAGAATATATTGCCATCAACATTTAATCTTGCATTGGAACAACTCGGTGTTTTTGTCAAACAGCTTGTTTGTAATGGCAGTGATGGATTTGGCACGATTGTACCAGGACCTGTTGAACTGACGTATATACTGGACAATGGCATACCTGACAATGTACACACGCGATTGATGACAAATGTATCGGATATTGAACATGGATCAAATCACAACACTGGTCAAATGGTGCACAATCTGATTGATGCATCAATGTACAGTGTTGTATATGGACAAACGATGATTGCACCACTGAGTATACGACTCAAATACACCACAATGGTACCATGCGATATATTGTTATCGACTCGACTTGTTTCAAATGTGCCCATCATTGAAGGCGATTCCGAGTTTATATCATGCAAGTTCCAATGTCTTCCGAGTGAATTCCGTGTCGAACAGGATGGCAGTGTGACCATCAACTCATACATCAACAATCTGAATCCGATATGGCATCGAGACATGTACAAATGCATTGCCAAAATATTCAAATGTTTTGTCCCAATGTTTGAAAGTCTGTTCAGAACGATGGATCCAATGTTTAGGTATATTGATATTCACAATGGCACAAAGGGATATGAACCGTCAAGTCAGTCATATCGTGGTGGTATGGAACCAGACACTCAAGTCATTCGTCCCGTGTATGTACCAACACTTCCGGAACATTTTGAATCCAAATATGAATCAGCAAAGCCAGTATCACTGCGTGGTCGTAATCTGCAAGTCATTGTCAAACTCACCAACATTCAATTGACACCATCCAAACCTAAATACGACGAGGGAGACTGGCACATTGAAGGTCCAATTAACGAATCGATTGTTGCAATTGGACTGTATTACTACGACGTGGAAAATATCACCACACCCAAACTCGATTACCGCGTGGCTGTTTATTGTTTTGATTATCAAGGAGCATCTGATATGTATTGGAAAGATGTGTGTGACATTGATCAAGAATCACCACGCAATCAGTATATAGGATCGCTTGAATTACCAAATGGTCGATGTGCAGTTTATCCCAATCGATATCAACACAAAGAACAATCATTTGAACTTGCAGATCCAACTCAACCAGGACACTGCAAGATTCTGACATTTTTTGTAGTGAATCCAGCCTGTCGGATTGTTTCGACTGCGCATGTGGCTCCACAACAACCACAATGGTACAACTCGAGTTTTGACAAGACACACATACCGCCTGAACTGTGGAATGATGCCACGCAGTATATTCAAGGTGTTCAATCACCAGCTGAGGCCAAAAACTATCGAGATGAATTGACAAACGACCGAACTCGAATCATAAGAGCATACAACGAAAAAATATATGAGCAGGCGTATGGTGATTGGTGATTGATTGTGAGGTTGTGATTTTACAACAATGAGTTATAATGCCAGTCGGATCTATGCAATTAAATGGATCGAATAAATTGAATGAATTGAATCAATCATGTCAATCATGACAGTGACTGTTGATTATATTGACTGATTGTGTACAATTGATTGATACAAGTGATATGGATACGTCATTTGGTGTTGTTGAATCAGATCATTGCTTGATTCTGTCAATGTGATCAAATGGATTACTACAAAACTGTACATGCTCAAGTTGAATCAAGTATTGAATCGAGTATTGGATTGATATTTACGCACAACCACAATTACAACCACAATTGCAATCAGCACAGTCTGAATATTAGACATTTGAACATCACATATCGAGTTGTGTGTTGGAATATTCAGACGGATACTCCTAAGTGATAATCTGTGACAAAGCTAATTCTAGTAGCGCACACTTTGAATCTCCAAATTAAACCCTTCACTACCAATCCATATGCTCCAAATTCCATTATCCTCATCTCTAGGATTCGAGTCCCCAGTAACGGTAAATGGTATCATTATTAAATTGACTAATTACAGGAATCAATCCCATTGGCTCAACTACTTTTCATTTACAACCTCTCACTATCAAATGTGTTACTTGTTCGTATCACAAGTCAGACAATCAACTACTATAAAGCCAAGATATTTTCTTATCAATAAACAACTCTTCAAGCTATTTCAACCATCTAATTAACTTATCACCCCTCTTCACTACTCTTGAAAAGACCAAGTCTGTTGATCTTGGATTAAAGTGCAAACTTCCTTTTTTATTTTACACTTCTGATTTGTTCTCTTCTGATAACTACTAACAGTATCAGACTATACTCTACTTTATACATTTAAATTTATACAAATCACGAAGCTCTAAAAATTCTGACAGTATACATGGAATATTGATACCAGTTTCTTGACTGTCAATTACTGCTACATGTGTCCATAGTTGTCACACACTGTTTATTCGAGATGTGCGATCCTGGATAAAAGACTTGGCGTACAATAGTGGATGACCTGAAATGATTGGTTGCTTACCGTGCCAAATTCATGCTCTGACTCGAATGAACACAATTGATGAGATTCACCCATAATCACTGCTATATTTTGTCCAAGATTGTAAAAATGAATCAATGTCATTAAAACTGAAACTGAATAAATGGTACTTGAAAGTTGCAATGATTTGGTTGATTTTTGTGTAGTACATGCCAACATCTAGCCAGCGTTCATTTATTGCAATCAACCACTTGCTGAATTCGATAAAATCAATACTTGAACTCATGTTTTACACCTTGTACATTTATGGTTGATAAATAGTAAAATGTAAATACTAACCAGGTTTTTAAAACTTGATTCTTGCACGAGCCGACTCGTCCAACTTTCCACCCCATTGTGACACCAATGATTCAAGTTCATCATAGCTTGCAATGCGTTTGTTGTAGCGCTGTCCAATGACCTTGTTTGCCAAATCCGTTTGATCATCATTGGTACCGCAGAATATCTGTTTAATCGATGTTTTCAATGCAGAATTAGCATCAATGGCCATAGAACAACCTGGATGACCAGAGAGTGAACCATGAAAATACAAAGAATTTGATGCAGAAACAAAATACGTTGAATCTGGAACATGGTTAATGTTAATCTGTGAATATATGCTCATCAAACCAAAAACAGAGTCCAACTTGAACTTGTTTAAACATGCTGGCGGGTTCGGTAATTTTGATCGGAAAGTGGTCAGATCCGAGTTTGTAATATCAGAACCAAGTCGTTTTCGTTGATCCAAAACTATGATATAGCCAGAGTCTTTTGCGCATTTCAGAATAAAGTATATATCCACTCCTGGTCCATTCTCACCATTGAGCACAATTTGCAAGGTCTCGCTGTCAACCCAGTCAACGAGACAACAGCTGTTGTGTTTCCGAGTGATCATCCGTGGCATATCAGGTCCATATTGCTCGTTTGATTGGAAAACTTCAGCAATTCTGATGTGAACTTGAGTATTGAAAATACCTGAATCAAATCGCGATCCACACAGTATATCAGACAAAGAAAGTATCGATATTCCCAATACAAGAAACGAGTTGATTCTGATACAGTAGAAACTAGCACCAAAATACTCCCATGATGACCAACGAGTCATGTTGGAAAATGGATATTCAACGTCAAGCGACAAACCATTCAACGATGATAGGAGTGCCGTTTCAAATTGGTTCAGACCGACCCTTTCATTCAATGGTCTCTTCAGAACCTGAACAATGATATGGAACGGTACAATCACTTGACCATCATCTTGAATTTGACACATCCCGTTTGAAACCATTTGACTCCAAGTAAGGTCTCTTGCAGAAGGTAGCGATGATTCAGAAAACGGACAGTTTAGTGGATATGTAACAGGAGTGTTTGTAAAAGAAATCGCCAGTAGCTTCAAAATATCAGCGAGTGACAATTGAGGATATTGCAAATTTGAAAGCGCAGCTATTCTTGCCTCCCGAAAACTGTGTTCGGTTAGATCATTCGGCTTCATGGATACAACTTGTTTTGCAAACTCAGTCAGTAGACTTGGCACTCCGCTTAGATAAAAGACATTCCGAGCAAAGGCTTCACTGACCACGAATCCACAGTGTGTATCCGAAATAAAAGGACAAATGGCCTCCATTGATTCCATGTGAGTTAGAAACCGGATTGGCGTTCTCTCAATATTAGAATGTGATGGTTGAGCAATACGAATCATGATCAGGTCAGTTCCCGCCAACATACAGAAAAATGTAAGCCTTGACACTTTAGCACGATAAGAAGAAGCACACAAGATATCCAGCAGAGAACTCAGTTCATCTTGACCGAGTTTTTGATACTCGTCAACTCCCACAAATAAAAGTATGTTGTCTCGAGTTTTCTGACTCCAATAAAGCTCAATGGTCGATAAAGCTAATTGCATTGTGAGCCCGCTTCTGTTTATTGGTGACTTTCTACGCATCCAATCATCAAACTTGTATTGCGCCTTGAAAACCGAATGGAGCAACCTCCAGGCAAATGAACATTTGATTCCAAGGAGCTTGTCAATCTCGCCATAGGCATTCCCGTCATTTCCAAAAGAAACGATTGCCGAAAGTCGTTTGCCTTGAATCCCTGTCATGTCTAAAACTGTGGTAGAGCACTCTGTCATAAGTCGAGTTTTTCCCAATCCCGGTATACCAGTACATACAGGAATACGTCTTGAATTCCGATCAATATTGCTGCGGTGTCGATGGGTGGCCATAAAGCATGATGCAATGTGTTGGAGCGATTTCTCTCGACCAGCCAGCGGAAATACAACTTTTTGATTAAGATTGGTTTGCTGCTGAGATAGCACTTGTTTGTCAGTCAAATCAACTGTAGAATTAACATTCGGCCCAGAAAGCCATTCCAAGAGATCAATGGCACTCATGGGAATTTGGTTTGGATTGGAAAACTTTACAACATTCACACCACTCCTTGATTTTATAATCAGTGAATGGCCGTAACAACCAACTGAATGTTGAATAGAGGCCAGGGGTTCATTCCAAGCAATGGCTGGACCATTCACCACATAATGGAGAGTGAGCTCGTCAACAGGGATATTGTCAAGGAGAGGAGTGGTGGCAGTCTTGTAAGCAGCAACCAATTCAGCAACAGTAAACAAGGTTTGAACCCAGACAAAAGTATTAGTGTTGAGAATATGAGTATTGATTTTCACTGACTGATTGTCAAGGTATTGAATGTAAAATACTTTGTTTTCCATTGCAATTGTGAAAGAAAAGAAAGAAAAAAAAGCGACTTGAATTCAAAATTTAATATTGTGTGAAGAATGAAACAAATTCACACTTTGAATATTTAAACAATTTTGTGTTTATTTGTATTGTTCAATCGAGTGTCAATTCAACTCAATTGATTACATTATAATAGTATATCGACCAACGAGACCAATTTTGTTGGTTGATATTCACTGATATTCACTGATAACTTGATGAAAATGTGTCAAAACTATGACTTTTATGACAACACTGTACAAACTGTACGAGTTTAAAAGATTATTGGTGAATATTGTCCAATTTGATTGTTGACTGCAATTATTTTGGTTGGTTCGAGTTTCATTCTTTTGTCAAAAAACATCAAATGAATATTGAAACAACAAAGACAGCAACAACACAACTGTTGAATGAATATTACCAAATCAGCACTCAAGCCATACCAACACAGAGAGTCAAGTCTGAATGGCAGGATGACAACAAACGAGGTTTGTTTTTGGGAATCATCCAAGAGGGAGAAACCTCACACATCACTCGACTGCACAACCTGCTGACTGCCAACCAATTTGCAGAGCAACAGGAGTTTTCAACCAAGATCCAGTTGGCAGACCCAAAACATCATTGTACATTCATTGATGACATGTTTGGGTATTACATACTGCCATTCCACAAAGACTACAACGATTCATCCAGCTGTCACACTCCAGTTTCATCAAACCCAACATCAAGAAACAACTCTGCTGATGATCTGGACTATGTTGCAAAAGTGAGTGAGCTACAGCACAAGGACTTGAACAAGGTGGTTGAAAAGAGAGACAGTGTCTGCTTTTTTTGCTGGAATAAGTTGTCCTTGCAAGGAGCACACATCATATCCCAAAAGAACATTGGAATGGCATACAACAAACCATCCATCCTGCGACGATCTGGTTTGACGCAGAAACATCAAATACAGAACGGACTGTTGTTGTGTATCAAGTGCCATGACCAGTTTGGTAAACTAAGGCAATATGTGGATGTAGTGAATGACAAACTGGTGATCAAAGTGATCAATGATCTGACAAGTGACAAGCACAAGAAGTGGATTGAGACAATTGAAGATTTGAAATTTATCCGCAGAACAAGGCAAAAGAGATAAACTGACAATCGACAAACAGTCGAATCCAACAGTGAAATGACATTGTATTTCATTCACAACAATCTTACTCGACTACCAAACAGGAACGCACTAGAGTTCCACAAGACAGCATGTCTCATTTGGTGTATTGCTGGTGGTGTAGAATCTGATGATGACTATTGTCCATATGATGATGACGATGGCTGTACTCCTGTAGATTACTGGAGTAAGAGCATCGAGAGATGGATGGAATCAAGTGCTACTTTGATCATTGAAAATGTTCAATAAAATTGTGTATTCATTACAAGAGACTGGTTTCTGTTACAGCAATAGTTGTCATTGTAGTGAGTGTGAATACCAACAGTTGATGCTGACACCTTTGAATTCAAGCAATAATGAAAGCAACTCAAATGTCTCTTTCCATTGCAGTGAGACAGTTTGTCAACCAACAATGTCTCATCAATTGATGACACATTCAGATTCCAGTGATGATGATGTTGCTACCAATGATCGTGGAACTGATAGTGCAGTCTTTTTACACTGTGGTGGGACAACTCGGTATCATGTCAATCATGTCCATCGTTGTGGAAATCACTTGTTAATCTACTCTGAATGAACAACTTTCTTTCAATCTGTGTATCGACTGTATCGATTGTATCGTCCAACATCAAACATTATGTCAATCAATAATAGTCAAAATACAATATTATATTTTCTGTACGATTATTATAAATCACAATCAATGAAATCCATGTAAGCTACCAACTCCATCAAAACACTCACTTGCTCCATTTGCCATGAAGTTGTTACAACACTTTTGATTCAATGTCAGGATGCCAATCACTTTGTATATCCTGTATATCTTGAACCCAGTGGAACTGTCCGATTTGTAGGACTGTCCGAGTTTTACACAACATGATGCTGGAAAGAACCATCAAATCACAAATGATTAATTGTGAGCATGATAATTGTAAAACATCAGTATTTCTGTATACAAAACACAACCATGACAAGAATTGCAAATTCAGAACAACAGGATGTGACTATTGTACATAACTTGCATCAAAACCTTGTTTGAGGACTTGTTTCAAAACTGGATGTAATGTATTCTGGGTTGACGGAAATGAATATTCAAAATCGTTGACCAATTGCATGAAAACAAGAATCCCAATCCCAATCAGAATTGAAATTGGGCACATTAAAGTCATTTGTCATCATATCCCATAGCCAGATACCAATATTCAAAATAGGAAATAGTCAATGGTTATTGAAAATAATCAATATTTGCCAAAATCCAAACAATACAATCATGATAACTTACTGGCTACCTCAAATCAGCAAATCGTTTGAAAATAATACCACAATAACCATCAAACATACTTTGAATGTAATTGATGATTCACCAACAATACCACTGGATGCGGTAGATTTGGAATATCAGATACAACAAGCCAAGTGTCAACATGGCAAACGATGAACTGGATGTGTTTTTCCAGCATTTGCTTGACCCAAGAAATGGTGCTGGGTTCCATCAAGATTACGGATTCATAGTATGATATATTTAACATGTTTGGCGTCTACATCGGCACTCATTACCATTTGATACAATTTATGCTGTAATGTGTGCTGTTTTCCCATCACTTTATCAAGAACATCTGAATCGCTAAATACATGATGAGTCATTCGGTCTACATTGATCTGAGCGTCCGTTACAGTGTGATGATGACTTTTGATCAAAGTACTAAGCCAGAATGTAAAATATACATACAATACAATGTCTTGTAGTAACTCTTGTTCAGTAACTCATTGACTCAATGATAAAGCGACTTGTATTGATTTTGAATGATACTTTTCATCAAGGAATTGAATGTTTGATTTCAAGAGTTTGTTGGGATCCACCTTGATTGGGTTGTCCGACTTGAGCATATATCGAGGTATGTTTTCATGAGTAATAGGTTCAATATCATTGCACAAATAGTGGGTTGCTACTTTTACAAGATGGTTGGTTAGATTTCGTTCAACAACATGATACTTTTGACCGTTTTTAGGTTTGATGAAGACCGAGTTCACGATCAAAGTTTGTAGATACTTGGATCTTAAGGATGTGCTTGTGATGTGTAATGTCATTGAAGTGGTTTTGAATAAACCCAAGAAAATACATTTTGGAATGGTATCAACAAACAATTGGATTGGATTTACTTTCTATTATTATTTAAACTCGTTGAAAATGTTGGAAACCTGTTGGAAACCTGTTACAAAGTAATTCTGATTTGGACGAAAATAGTGGTTCGATTGGCTCATACAAAGTTCATTACGAGACGCTCGGATTGAGTTTTGTCGTTGATTTATTGTTGCCATTAGGAAAACCCCAATAACAATATCATGAAAATGATTGGATCAACGGTGAACATTGATGTTAAACTCGTCAAAGTCAAACTGCGGTTTACAAAACGTATCCAAGGATTCAGGAGTCGAGTTGAAGCAACAAAGGCGTACAAGCAACTGATTCAACTACAAATAGAGCATTGGAACCAAGCAGACAAGTTAAAGCGACAGTTTAATAGACATATCAACAAACATCCTTTCCACCCAAAATACAAAACAATACAATGCAAGACACATGTTCACCAATGTGGAAGAGTTGATGCAAAATATACCGGAAAAATCACCAATCAAACATTGGATATTGGCTTGATATTCAATTTGGGTATATGCTACAAAATGTAGACTGAAAAAACAATTCAATTTAATATTTCAGATAATACATTATTGTTTAATGGTAACAATCAATCCATGATTAATACGGATATTGACATTGTTTTGGATCTGATTGACGAGAATGATATTATTGAACGCATGAAACGTCATAATTCAAAGTATATTGTTGAAAGTATCTATGAATATGCCATTTTGCAAGTAACACTGGTTGTTATCAGGTCATTGATGTATATGAAACAAACCATGTCAATATATCAATCAACAATCCAGTAACTGTTGATGTAATACCCAACACAGTATACACAAACATGCATTACGCAATTAATGATATGGTTGTTGACCCATTCACAATACTCGACAAATATCAACATATCAGAAAGTTTAAATTTATTCAAAATCAAAATCATCGACAACCCATCAATCTGAATCTACTTTCGGCTCTTGAGATTCTAAGCCATGCTTTGCCATATAGTTTTTCAATTGTTTTTTGGCACTAGATAATTTTCTCCTTGCCACTACATACTTTTCTTTCAATCGCTTTTCAACCTCTGGATTGTGCATTGGTTCAGATATTTCTTTGCCCATTGCTAACGCTAACTGCTGACTGAATTTGAGGTCTGCATATTTATAATATTCTTTGCGTTTTTTCTTTTGTATTTCTTTAGACAATTCAAACCTTTGCTTTATACGATTAAAGGTTCTCTGATATCTTTGGCTTAATACAGTCACTTGATTTGGAACAGTATTGGCAGACTCGCTTTCGTTTATTGGTTGCTGCTGGTCTTGTCTGGAAGTACTTGGAATGGGTTGGTCCATTGGTTGTTGCTGATCTTGGCTGGAAGTGTTTGGACTGGGTTGATCAGCTGGCCGTTTTCGACCTCGTTTAGGAGTGCTCGGATCAACCACATCAATTGGTCGTTTTCGACCTCGTTTAGGAGTGCTCGGACTGGGTTGGTCCATTGGTCGTTTTCGACTTCGTTTAGGAGTGTTTGGACTGGGTTGATCAGCTGGTCGTTTTCGACCTCGTTTGGAAGTACTTGGATCAACTACATCAATTGGTTGATGTTGGCCATGGCGATAAATTTTTGAACTAATTATACCTATTATTTCTTGCCAGTCTTCGTCAGGAATCTCTGGACTGGGCTTATCAGTCGGACCAAACGCTTGACTGGAAGTGACTGATGCTTTGGGTGAACCATCGGGATCAGTCGGGATCAGTATTGCATTAGCGGTTGTTGCCGCAGTCAGTACGAATAAAATGTCAACCAATCTCATTAAGCCGATGAATAGTTTAAACTATTAATACAAAAATAGAGTGTTGAGACTGATGTCGATTATAAGATTGAGTGTAATCGATTGTATTTATATTTTTTGTATATCAAACCAACCCTTTTAGGTTAACCGACTATACAGGGTTACTTGATTGCTTTTAATGAACCAATATCAAAGCACAGTATGTTACTCCCTAATCACAATATCATATTGATCGATTTGATGATCGTGTCGATTGAATTATGCTTTTACGACCCTTTGATCAGGTATTTTGAAAAGCACACCCTTCAAGGTGTTGTTTAGCCGCAAAGCTCCTTTTTACAACCGTATTCATGTAAAATGGATCACTTTGTTATTCAGCATGCAATGACTTTGGTTTGAGATATACAATGGTTACTACACATTGACTGCATTATGTGTTCCAAATATAACAACCATCATATGACACACAATCAAACTATAATGTTGAATCTACACTTTGTGCACTCTTAGTAATCATACATTGTACGATCATCAAGTTTGAACCCACATTCATGTATTGTGTTTGACTATCGATGTTGTCAATACAACTCTGCACACACATTTGTTGTATTCTGAATCACGGATACGATCGCAATCTAGTTCAACAACAATCATGGCACATGTCAGTAATGCAACTGTTGTTTGCATGTCAATCACCACCAACAATACCATTGTATTGTCAACCAGTTCATGACACTGACTGTTTATCACACACTGACACTGTTATTTAGTGGTTCATTCGACATCAATACGGCTGTAAAAACAAAACATTATTTTCTATTAGAATAATATACAATTTCATTCACAATGAATAACAAATACAATAATGATATTGTGGTAAATGGAACAATTGCTTTATACAAAGTCTAAATACAATCAAATGGTCGCAGATACATGTATAATGCCAGTAACATTGATACTTTTTATAAATCAAAATGCACAACTGCAGTTTAGATTTGTAATAAACCGACTGCTTAATCAACAGTAATCAACTAACCATTGACAATTTTGGAGCAAATTGCTCTCACTTTATTATCTGTAGTATTGCATTCGCAGAACAACGATACCAATTCTGCTGCAGGCCTGATGCCTGATTGGTGGGTCATGTTGAGTGTGAAGATCGTGTTGCTCAAACATGACAACTCAACCACCAAATCACCTGATGTCACCTGTGTGTTGGTTGACTTTGAAAATCAGACACTTTGCAGCAATAATCAGCAATGGGAAGACGAGCAGCAAATACGAGCACTGCCAAACCCACTGAAAGTGAAACTCCTAGTAAACGTGCTTCCAGATCTTCAAATCCTATTACTTCTCAAGTCAGTTCAGAATCGCCTAAAAAGGCTGCTGCAACTCCAAAATCTAAACGAGCTCCTGCTACACCCACAAAAACTCCAAAAAGAAAGACAAAGGCTGCTTCTACTCCAGAAAAACAAGATGCTATAGACACTGCAGATGATTCTGAGCTCCCTGTTGATTTGTCAGATCCCATTTTAGAGTCTAGTAAAAATATATCAACAGATTTACAATCCCAATCAATAAATATACTTGAAACTACTCAAGCCATTGATGAACCATCAGAAACCTCCAATCTACCATCAACATATGAATCCACAATGGTATTGGACGACTCGACTCAAACCATTTCATCTAGCATTGATGACTTGGTTTCTGCTGATCTTTCAACTGAAAGTATCCAACCCGAAACAGTTGAGCCAACTCCGAGTACTTTCCAATCTATTGTAGAATCACACACATCTTCTGTAGCAGATGAATCTGTTGGCAGAGGATTGCATAAGCGCAAATCTGTATCTGATGACATGGACAACAATCCCGAAGCCAAAAAGCGTAGCAAGCGCATGTTTCAAATGCTGGTTGGTACTCTGCAAACTGCCAAGAAGGATCAAGATACCAACATGTCGGAAGCAGTAAGTATTGAATCCTGATGCCACAATTGTATATATATATTAACTTTTATTTTGGCAATCACAAGGCCATTAGACGCCAAACTATCGAACAACGACTTGCAGAGAAACTCGTCAAGGAAAAGGCAGAGCTGGCAGATCGCATAAAGAAAGAACGGGAAGCTGTAATTGAAAAGCGTCGACTTACAGAACAAAAAATCAAAGATATTTCTGTAAGCATGGTTTGCATCATCAGTTTATTCGATCCATGCATAGTTTGTCAATTAAATACCAACTGTTGATGAATATTAGGAAGAAATTATCGAGTCTCAAAAAAAATGTTTGGAAAAGTTTATCTTTACAAAAGCATCGCCAGGAGTGTATTTTATGCCTGCCAATCATAACGATCGTACAAAAAAGATTCTGGTGTCTGCCATCACGGTCAAGACCGAGGCTGTATCTAATGCTGATCAACCTTCAAGTCATACCAGCATAATATCTGTATAAACCACTTTGAATTTGCAAGACTGTTTTTACAATGTATTCAGTATTGGTTGTTATTATCAAGAGAAAACAATGAGACTATACTGTCAAGTGGTAGTCAAAATACGTGCTGGAAACTAGGTTGAACCCATCATGTTTGACTTGGACTCGGTTTATTGAAAAGTATTACTGGCTACTGGATATGAATATAATGGTTAGTTTGACTCAACTCCAATTATACATGATTTTTGAGCATTCAACCCATGGCTCGGTCAATTTATTAAGCAATTATTGTAATCAGTAATCGGGTGTGCGTGACACTAGTTTTTGAACCATTTCAAAGGCACTGCTTGAGTATGGATACACTCGACACCTATAGTTTATTGTATAAACGAGTATACAGTTTAAATTGCAATAAACGTGTGAATGCAATTCAGATACTTGCTACATGCTTGTGCATTGATAAAACAAAACATAAGCATCTCTACTTTGACCAAACTCGAGGTCATTGCATTGGCTTCCGATCGAGTCACTCCACAAATGCCAATGGCCTGTATCTGTATTGCGCGTATGAGAAGTGTAATGTCCGCCATGCAATTCACCAGAATGGTTTGATACTGCAACCAAGTCATACTCTGCTGAAGTGAGTTCAGAAGTGTAGGCATTCATTGTAAACTGATGTATGGGAAACGTCACCATTGTATGAAGCTTACGGCTTGGTATATCTGTCAAGGGCAAAACCTGAAACCGTTTTAAATCTATTGTAGTAATCAGTCCAATTAGTCGAATCAGTCGAATCAGTCCAATCAGTGCAATCAGTCAAAAGTAAATATGACTACACCAACATTTTAATAGTGTACAAAGATCATTCATGGCACTTACGGATAACAAGCACCGATGGAAGACGTGAGATTCCAAGTTGCTTGATGGCCAATGTGTCACATTTACATTTACCACATCGATATGTATCTAGTTTTTCAGCCTCGAAAAATGAATCTAGACATTGATCAAGAGTCACACCATCTTGGTCTAGGTGTAAATTCGATGAGATCAAAGGAGCCGAAATGTCCCAAAATGTATCAAATGTGGTGGATGTGGTCTGGCATTCAAGGCATGTTACAGTACTTTGAAGTTGGCCACTAAAAATATCACATATTGGACTGTTGTTGAACTTTTTGTATCTATTCCATGACACGATTGTCTTTTGCCTGGTTCTATAATTCCAAGGTATTACAATATGCAAAAATAGTAAATGTGACCGAGTAGGATGGTGGGTAGAGTTGCAACATTATAATTAAACAGTCAACAATCAGTAATGGACCTACGTCAGTTGATCATACTGTTCATCGGTATAGGAAAACTTTGTTGGTCGTCCAGTATTCACGTCTTCGTGTAATCCATCCAGCAAAAACCGTAAAAATTCTAAATATCTCAGCCAAACAGTTAGTTTAAAACATTATAAATCAAATTGGCAGGCGTCGTCACCGTATACCTTGTGAATCATGCTGACTGCCAAGCAAATCAAAAAAATGAGTAAATGTGTTGAAAATAGCAGAATCACCAATTACTATAGCAGATAACAAACCCGTACTTGTAACCGCTAAACTGTGGAGCCAACAGTTCGATTTGACGTTTTAATAGTAACGGCGATGCTATGTTGCCACGTCCTGCTGAATCGGCATGGTTGATGTTTTTTACAAACTCGCCAAATGTTTTTGCAATCAATCCCTTGGTGCTACTTTGTAAATTAAAATGGGATAGATACTGTCCAGATTCAAAATACGCCATAAACTTTCCAATAGAAAATAAACACTGCAAGATAGAGTTCATAAAACACTACAGTAACCCAATACATCATTTAGTTTGGTTTTAAACATGGACATTAGTTAAACCACAGCCATATTGTCCAATGGACATAAATATTATTTGCAAAATAGCTTACTGTGTTGCCCAAATTTTTCAATCCGATCGTGTATCCTCGTGAACGATACAAGCCACCACTTGCACTATTTTGTACATCATGAAATGCTACTGACGGTTCACGTAACAGTTCTTTTAATTCTGGATGTATACCTGATTGATTTGTACATATGCTGTTGTATTCATTTAATCCCGTTTGGATTGCAGTAGTGGTGTGTATGTCATTTGATTGCAAGCGTGATATATCTGCATTGTGGTGTGTATACAACGACTGCCTGGAATGACTGTAGGAGTTTGCAATGTGATTTGTAGCCAAGTTGTGGCTTGCCATTGATTGTGTAGAAACAATCGATTCGGCAGAATTGTTATTCAGAGATTTATTATGAGGTTTATCATACGATATGGAGCGTGCATTACAAATTAGACCACTTGTTTGGCGCATATTATGAGGATGATTTGTATTATGTATACTTGAACTGTGCGATGGTGTGGAAATTGGGAATGAAATGTGTTTTGACTGAGCAGATACGATATTTGTATAGGCGATCTCGTCTAAAATAGGTCTAGATTGTGACCGAATCGGTTGTGTATGGCATGTGGGTATGTTTGATATATGATATGATTGTTGATGCAGTTCACTAATAGGTATATTGGGCTGCGGCGCTGCTAATTTGATTCTGGATCTGCGAATTTCACGGGCTGTATGATTTACTCCTGAATAGGATGGCGGAATGGATGCAGGCGGCACTGGGTTTTTAAAAAGTGATGCTTGATCATGATTTGATTTACAAGCAGATCTGTCGTTCATAAAACATGTTCAAGTTAACTAGTCTCAAATACTACACTGATGCGTTTTACAAACTCTTGAACACTTACACGACTGATTTTTGATTTTGTTTAAAGGTGGATGTGTTGCTTTTTCTTGAACAAGTGGTTATAGACGATGATCGAATGGGGATTGTAATTTTTGAACCACAAAATTGTATTGTGCTTTCTGATTCTACCGCAGCACTATAGTGGGTCAAATTCAATTGATTAAATACACGTCGGGTTGCATCTTGAATGGAATTTGTCGAAACTCGAGGTAATTGTGATGAATCGTTATAAGCCGAAAACCGACACTGAGTCGTATGGGTTTGTGTAGTTTTATTAGATGGCTGAAAAGGTAATGAAGAATCTCTCTTGTTAATGGCGGTGGAAATGGAATAGCTTTTTGGGGCTGTTTTAGTTGTGCGTTTTGTAGGCTCAGGTTTAGGTAAGATATTTAAGCGCGACGATGAGGAAGCAGTGTTATGGCGAGTCGAATGTGCATGTATAGAATCATGAGTTTTTGTGGCTACGGAGTAGGCATGAATAGTAGTTGAAATGTGTCTAGTATGGCAAGAATCTAATGGCATAACAGTTGAATTGCAGGATAAAACAGGATAATGGCGAGCAGAAGCCATTTTTAATAAATACTTTCATGAAATAGCAAAGCAAATAGTGCAAGTGTATTGATGGCATTGCATTTACCATTTATTCACGTAAAATGGAATACTTGCATTTATCTTTCAGGGACTGTCCCTATTTTGCTTTGGAATATAAAGTAGCTAAACATTCGCTGCGCTTTCCTACCAGAAATTGACTGTTTTCCAATAGTCAACGTCCATCATATGATGCGCTGTGTTGTATTCTAAAATCATACACTCGCAGTTTAGTTTAAAACCCGCACGTCTCGAAAGTGTAACTGATGTTACTATTTTGATTGCCCAATGACAACTCAATCTGTAATAGAGTTGGAGATTGAACAAGTGTGGAATGTACTGCAACTGTGATATGAACATCCATTCGACTGTTTTATACAAAAATGAGCATAAAGCGCGATAGTGTCGAGCAAACTGATCATTCACTTTGACTGATTGTGGATCTCTGATATTAATGTAAATCGAATAACTCATGCTTGTTTAGTTTGGCATAGTTTGGCATCAACTATGAATGGTTTGGACAGTCCATATGTTTAGTAATCCTTTCCCTACTAACAATCGACTACAGAGTAACAAGTTTGACAATGTTGAATATCGATTCAATTCGAGTGTATTCAACTGTGAATTACATTCATTGTAATGGATGCTAGTCTAGATGCAGCCATGACTGCACATGGATTACTCACTGCTAAATATATCGCGACCATCACTAAATCGGGATATGCCGAGCTATGGCAATGCTTGTAGATACAGATGTGTCAGTTTATCGAGCGATGGCAGCACTATTTGGCATATATAAATGACTTGTCCAACACGCTGCTTAATTTGTTACTAGACCATTTTTAGATACAATGTACTATTTGACAATGGTTTAAAATGCATTTTAGTTGAAGTATCAAATGAATTGTTTTAATGTCCAACAATGCAAACATTTGGTTATTGCTACAAAAGCGAATGCATATTCATTGTTTTTATGTTTGGGAGCAATGTGTATTGTCACTCAACACACTCGTATATCAAACAATACAAATAATGTTTATCGATTATGATCGGAGTTTGATCGAATATTACAAGGTACTCGGATTAATGTGAATTTACAATGATTATATTTTTACGAGTATTGTGACGGCTCAATCTGGACATTAGTATAGTATTCCAAGCCATCCAAACTAAATATAAAGACCACTGACATACATTTTCAAATCTGATTCTAGACACATTATACTTGATATTTCACATCTGTTGATTTGAGCAATATTTTGATATTGGATTATCACACTATACAGACTGTCCAGATAGTTGATTTGAAAAATGTCTGATTTATCTGTTCCGTCCAATTACATACTGTTTCCTGGAAACATGATCGTGCTGCTTATCACCGCATCTGTTGCCATTGGAAATATTGCCATTATGATATACTATGGCAGTATAGCATACCGACGCAAACTGTATTGGTCGGTCCCACATCTCATTGTCGTCATCAATGCAGTATCGCTACTCCATCAAGTTGTCACGCCATTGACAATATATATTGAACTTACTCCGATTATGGTGAGTGTAGTGTCAATCCGAGTCATTACTGGGTTGCTATCACTATTTGGATTGGCATTACTGCAAGTCGAGGTGCGCGTGGCATTTGGAGCCTTGTTCCAGGACCAAAGGTTACCAGACTGGTTTTCGACGGGAGCCAAAATTGTTGTTCTGTTTCTGCATGTAATATTGTGTTTTCCAGCATATGGATTTCCAGTCTATCGACCGTTCCGATGGATTATACCGGTAATTTGACGTGATCATCATGATACGATACTGATTAGGATAGAATGAGGTAGTGAAACTAACATGTTGATACGATTCAATGTAATTTAATAGTGGGGTTCGTCAGGATTTGCAATCCAGGCAATTTTGATGACCTTTGTCAATGTGTATCTGACAGTAACCATTGCAAGACGATTAGCCGAAAACAAGAAAAAGATGAGCAAGAATGCAGACAATTCTAGTCGCAACCAAATTGTTATTTGGCTGAGTGTAACGACGATCATGGATGTAGCAGCAGTAGTACTTTATGTAGTACATTTTTCGCTGGCTCAGTATACTTCTGATATGGAAAAGATAAATCTGAGTCGGTTGATGGATCAATTATCAAGATCGTTTCTTGGGATTGAAGCCATTGCCGAGTCACTAGTGTTGTTGGCATTTACAACAATGATTTCACCCAAGACGACCAAAGTACAGCCTGCAAGTGGTGGCAAGATAAAACAAAGGTCTCTTCCGCTTAATACAAATAGCGACTCGAATATTTCTAACGTTTAAATTTGATTGATGGTCAAGCTTATGTGGTATAATAAAGTAGTTTTGCTGGAATGTTGCACATGTTTTTATAGTATTGATAAGCCACTAGACCGTTATGTGTCCAAATCATATCTATTGTAGGTGCATCTAAATAATTTCAATAATCTTTACTTGGTTTTAAAATCCAATTAGATGTATTCAATTTAAACTTGGCTGACAACATATAATCAAATATGGATTTTCTATCAATTCAAACCCGCCACTAAAATAAATAATTATGCCAAGAGTTTGTTTTTTCATCAACACTACAATGTAACATGATTGAGCTTGGATAAATATAGATTGCTTAGCGCTACTATAATGCATGAATTCAAACTTAATCTGCAAGCAATATTGCTGTAAAAAGTAAAATTTAGTTTGTATAGTTAGGAATATGTAGCAATAAATGTTTAGTTTTTTCACGGGTCGATTAGTGTAGTGGTTAGCACTTTGGACTTTGAATCCAACAACCCGAGTTCGACTCTCGGATCGACCTTTTTTGCCATTCTTTTAAAAGAATGGCAGTGAAACTGAAATGAGTTTTGGCATGAATCTCCAGCCCATATGCTGTTAGCCTTTTACAGGTTGGATGGTTTTACATCCGCATTCATAAACTCCCCTGACCAGTCTCCAAATACCCGACCATCATATGATGCACACGATCAAATTATATTCTGGACTAATGCTGTCCTCATTTGGTATAGCCATACATTGTACGATCGTCAGATTTGTCCATTGCAGTTTAGGTATTGAATTTGCTTGAATATTCTCAATAAAACTTGGACACACTATTTGTTGCCAATCTGTCTGTCATCACAAGAGTCGGTTTTTGTAGTAATACTATCAAGATCATTGGCATTGTTGGCCGAGGCACTTGCGCTTGGTAAGATCTACAATGCGTTTGCAATGTTTTGTTGTCCAAGTATTGATGACTACAAGAAACTCTTGATCCGTCAATGATTTGATGCGTTTGTTTTCATGACAATACACAGTCTTGACATGAAAGTAGGTGTTTATAGATAAAAAGATATGTTTGAATGTTAAAATCATCAAAAACTTTCTAAACGATGGTTTCAAAGTTATAATGTCGATTAAATTGGCACTAATCCAATATAAGATTGACTGTTTATCATGTACTTTATCATCTTGATTAGTGCTTCATTTTACGTGAATACGGCCTTGGGTTATTAATAAAGCAATGTAATTGCAGACATTGCATCAGTAAGCTTGAAATGCTTGGTTTAGAGAAAGGAATAGCAATCAAGGACAAGTTTAGTTCAGGACAAATGTCACGTGGTTAGTGGGTTTCCAATTGCAGTTTTTAGTGACTTGAAGACGGAAACGGCATCACCAACCTACTCCACCTACTTACATCAGTCAAGAAGCTGCAATGCCACCCAAGGCTGATCCTACTGAAATAAAATACGGTGTGTCTATTGAATCAGCGTATTATTCATACTCTTTGAGTTTGTATATCCACAACCATGTGTTGATTTCTACCTCGAATCAATTTCTCAGTACTCATGGATCACTGTTCATCTCTACACGTCTTATCTCATCAGACTTGTCTAATTGGACCCATTCACATATCCATCCATTGATGCGTCTTTCATGCATGGATTAGAACGCCATGTGCAATCCATCCATCCACCTTATTCGACTTTGGTTCATGGAATATCAACTTGTAGCTAACCTGCTGATTGATTTTTAGTTATCATCCGTTCCACCGGTGGTGAAGTTCCTGGTGGTTCCGTGCTTGCTCCCAAGCTCGGTCCTCTTGGTGTGGTAAGTTTCTGGTTAAATCATGCTTTTGAGCAATATATATGACTGCCATATTTATAAATGCCAGACACTAACCAATCTATTCTGCATGCAACTCTTGGAAATGGTTTGAATTGGCTATTGCAATTCACTTGAACATACTTTTACGGAACTCTGATACGATCCGTTTACAAACCACATTTGATTTTTATGTAATCAATGATTGACGACTGCAATTCCTTAATATCAATTACTGCATTACAATGATCAGCCCCCCAAGAAGGCTGGTGATGATATTGCCAAGGCTACTCAGGCTTACAAAGGTTTGAAGGTCACTGTTCGTCTGGCCGTGCAGAATCGTCAGGCAACAGTCGAGGTTCTTCCCTCTGCATCTACTTTGCTTATTCAAGCACTCAAAGAACCTCCTCGTGACAGAAAGAAGGAGAAGAACAGTATGTTTTTATTGCCTACATCTTTATAGATCTACTCAAACCGGAAACTCGACTTGGATCGTGTGATTTACCATATGATTCTAACCTGCTTTTTGGTTTTACTTTGGGTTAAAATCTCTAGTCAAGCACAGCGGCAATCTTACTCTTAACCAGGTTTGTGAAATTGCACGCAAGATTCAGCACAAATCGTACGCCAAGGAGTTTTCTGGTAACGTCAAGGAGGTTCTTGGCACTGCATTCTCTGTTGGATGCACTGTTGATGGACAACCACCCCAGGATTTGATTGAAAAGATCCAGTCCGGAGAGCTTGAAGTTCCCAGCGCATAAGCAATGAAGATTCTGTTACAGCTTTTTAAATTGAGTAGTTTATTTTAGCATATTTGGATTTAGTCTTTGCATTGCATGCTGATAGACGAGTGAGATTGCAAGTTAAATTTGCACGTGACTTTGGAATCTATTGGATTCAAAGCTGAGCGAATGTTTTAAATTTATCGAGTAGCCATTATGACAACTAAACTGGGAACGACCAACCCAGCCATTCTATCTAGTGGAAAAACATATCAATGTTCACTCTATGGAGAGTTGCCTCACACGGGGCTGGGAAAACTACTGGAGCGTTTAGTTGGTCTTTGTGGAGAAACCAAACATCTTGGTCTCGCTCGATTCTGTGAACATCAAATAGCATTTGTACCAGCAGGTAAATCGACACATTTTAATCCAAACTCAATTACAGACTGTCTTGACACCATGGTTCAACTATGCAAGTTCAAACACCATTTGGACCACCAAGAAACGACGATATTCTTTTGCGGCTTCATTCCAACGTATTAGATGCCGAATCCAACTTTATTCATTTCCTTGATCGTGAATGGTAAAAATCAAGTGCATCCATGTTGAATCTGAAACCAAGAGTGTATTGATCATGTTTGAATCATCTTAGGACGTTGTTACATCTATCGCCAGCCGAACCACCCAAAGCGGGTCAAAAACTAGCCAACCATCGTGCCATTCACCATACACGTATCACGGGAGATGTAATCAAGTACATTGAAATGCTAGGATACAAGTATGTATTCATGCCAATGGATTCGGATTGAGTTTTTCAGTATCTTGTCTAGTTGTAAACTGACTGTCCATGTAGATTTGAATTTGAAGTGGTTAGACGAGGATTTACATTTCAGTTTGGACAAGTCCGGATTGATATTTTTAGATTGTACCAGGTAATGTTGGTTGTAATGAGAGTCTAATGGCTCACGTGAATCTAATCTTGGTATATTCTGATAGATTCAGGACCAATTTCGAGTGAGTTCTGCGATACCAGTTGTGTCAAATTCCACTACTTGGATAGTTCAAGTCACATCGCCCATTCTGGGTCAGGAACACGTAGTCCACATGAGCGACAATTTGTTTCAGTTTGCAGCACATTTGTCAGGGTAATATTGTATTTTTATTTATTTGATTGTATGGATTGGTATTGGCTTGACAGAAATAATGTTTTTGGGTTTTGGTATGAATGCAACTGGAGCATTTGCTTAGAGTACAGACTAGATTTAAAATGTGTGCGTATTGATTTGTTCCAATTTCTTTGCTATAAAAACATATAGATTGGTATCACTTGCGGTAGTGGATCATTCGTGCCTACAAAACTCTATCAAGTATGTAGGCTGAAATAAGATATCAAGGCATGACACGAGTCGAGAGGATGTCAAGTAAAACAGAAAATAAACGAGCATACCAGTAAATGATAGTGGGCAAGTGTTTGAATAGTAAACATACTTGATATAGAGTATGAGGTGAAGAAAAGATTAAGTAGTTCAGAGATAGCAGGCCATGAATGCAGTCAGAGATGTGGACGAGTAGAGTCGACTTGCATCAAGTGAGACACTAAAATAGATCCCCAATGGCAGCATCCAAGTAGTGGGGATCGTAGTGATGTTGATACATTTGTTCAAACTCTAGCACTTGATCAAAGTCGTCTTGTGATACAGAGATACCACACATGCCATCCAATAAAGCCTCAATGCCATGAGAGCCACGACGATGTGAAGCACCCAATATACATACATCGTTGTCACTGTCGATTGCATCACTAGAGACTGTCGTTTCCAGTGGAATCTCAGCCAGACTGCTACCAGTGTCGAGTGGAGTGGATTCTGTAAAATCAAATTGTAGATTGTTGATATCAGCAGCCATGTCGTCAGTGTTTGGCAACGATGGCATAAACAGACGATTGTCATGCGACAGTCGCTGCACAAACGCAAGCTGGTCTTGAGCCATCTGGCAATTGAGCTTTCGGAATGCCTCTTTCTTGAGTTTACGAATCGACACAATTTCCATATGAGATGGTTGCTGCTTGTGTATGTGGCTTGTTAAACGATTGCAAAGTATGATCTGTGAAGTGCAGTGATGGTGACCATTAGCACTAGTATGGATGCTTTTGATGCCAAACAGATCGCTGTTGCGCTGCATTTGTTACCATTCATTGACAGATTGAGAGTCAGAATATAGCAAGTGAATTCACATAAAACTAGTTAGTTTCTGTAATAGTCAATACTGTTCAATGATTGAAACAGTCTTTATGAATGCATTCAAAACTAATACATTCGGCATTCACAATGAATGCACTCGAATTCAATACATTCAAAATGAATGTATTTTAGGTTGGTGATTTACTTGCGGCTTCTATAAGGGAGCACAAGGCCAAGATTGCTTTAGGAATAACCCAAAGGACCTTCATATCATGCCATTCAATACTTGTCTAGTACATTCACAGGTCATCTTATACATGCATGCATATTCTACACTGCATTCAATCATTTCTACACTTGGCAAACGTCCACCTCACAATGGGGTGACCGCTTGATAATCGGTTCTTGCAGCTTTGAATTCCCATTCAAATCAGCTATAGTATTGCCTCGAATCTACATCTAAACTCTTGCTCATCAACCGATAATGGAAACTTACAGATCTACGAGGCTTGCTATGATGCAGTTGCATTTTCATTTGCAGACTCATGCGAGTTTTCTGATGTGGAATCGAGCGAGAAAGACTACGTTTTCTTCTTCCAGGCATAGATGCAGTATTGTAAGAAACAGAAGACATGGCGGTATTGGAGCAGCTACTCAGCATGATTGGATTTAACAACTAAGATGGGTAGTGGTGCAAGTGCTCGAGTTGCGATTTAGATTTGAAAGGAAAAATCAAACTTGAAAACGAGCAAATGCCAGTCTTGGAAAGGGTCGAGTTGACCAATGGGAAAAACTATGCAACACAAACTAAAATTTATTGATGGATTCAGCAAGTTGTTACTAATAAAATATTTGCAATATCAGGGCTACACCTGTCAGTTCAACCTGTAATTGCAACTCAATGTTTAAATCTATAAACTAATTCTTTAATGATTAAAGAATCTAGTCAAAATATCATCAAATCCTATTGGAGTATATAATACACAGTATATATATTCCAAACTAGCAACTCTACTCGACCAGTTAGCAATAGTCGATTCGAGTAGTTGCGTCCATAAAATGTCAAATCTTCAATTAAACCACCACAACTGGCGACAATGAGAATAAAGAAATCAATGAGAATTGTTAGCAACCATCAACCTTGATGATGTTTTGTAAGTATCGGTAGATTATTGATTTGGATGGCATGAGCATCCATCACTCGTATCTCGTGCGTCACGGTGACTTGCTGAATGATCCGATTCTCGATTCAATATAGAATATCGCTCATTTGGTGTTGATCTTGTTGTGACACTATTCAGCATTCCATCTATATATGCCAATCTAGACCAATCGTGCAGTTTCAGTGAATTCATTTTGAAATGCTGCTGCAGCCTGCTTATCAGAATTCTATTAAACATGAAATTGGCTTAAAATATATATTCTCATTCCTTTTGTCTTCAACATTAACCAACACATTCAACAAATGGGTAGATTCGGGATCATTGATACTGATAGCAATGTATCTTGCTCTGCTACTACTACACTCGCATCAAAAACTCCTACCAGCACTCCAAACTCGACAGCTGCTCCAAATACAAAATCACCTCTTCATCAACATGCCATATTCAACTATACCAAAGGCTCTGTTCTACACCACCCTCAAGCTTTCACTCCCACTGCAATACGCTCTACTCCAAATAGTGTTCAATCAACTCCCAATGTAATGAATCAATATACTCTTGACTACTCTTCAAAAATTAATTCAGAATCCTCTGTAAAATCTACCAAATCTGCTCCTAGCATGACTTCACCATTAGCCAAATATAGTGGTCATATATCATCTGTTGCTTCTACTCCACACTCTAAACAGTCTCCTATTCCTAGTCAACGTTTTGTCAAAAGCGTTCGCATTCTGCAGTCTCTTGGAGCAAATAATCACATTGATAAAAAGAATGCCGAAATTCATTTTACATCCATGGTAAGTTGCTTCAAAGCCGTACATCTCACATCTATAACAGATCTAGATCAACAGGGAATTAGGAGTCTTGTATATTTGTATTAAACTCTAATGTGTTGCATCAATGTTAAAAACAGACTGTTGCAAAGGCAGATGAACACTTGCAAGCATTTAGTCAAATCCATGAGCAGTCCAAATCTATGAATCAACACGAACATGCATCACTTGTGGAAGAGCTTGAGGCTCAACGGATCCGATTTGAAACTCTAAACCAAGCACAGAAACAGAAAGTGCAGTCATCCATTTCAACTATTAAGCAGCGAAATGCTCAGCTGGTACAAAATATTCAAGACTCAATTCAGCATATCAGGGACAATGAGGAAAAAGAAATGAAACAATTACGTGATCTTAAATCTCAAGAAGAGGCTGCTAAAAAGCAACAGATTGAAGCTGCTGCAATCAGAAAGGCTAAATTAGAGCGTGCCGAGGCTGAGGCTGAAGCTGCTCGGGCAGACGCTACTGCAAAGCATATTGCAGCCCAAAAGGAAAAAATAGTCGCTGCAGAACTGGAACAACAGGCTGTCGAAAAACAAAAGGCTCAACAAACACAGGCATTGGTTGAAAATGTAAGTAGATCATATCAGTACATTGTAATCATGAATAATTGAGCCCTGTAGAGATGCATTGTAATTGATACATTTTAATTGGATCTTGTTTAGAGTCCACATATTGCATCGGATGATGCATGGAAAGTTGCAGAACCTTATATCTCAACTGTGCTCGTAAGTACACTATTGGCTCAAATAGAATCAAACGTTATTTTTCAAAATCCATTTGAAATGCAACCTAAGACTTGGTTTATTCAACTTTTTTAGAGCATCAAGACAAAAATCAAACCAAGCTTGATGGCGGACCCGACACTACGCAATCGGGTATTTACGGCAAAGATGGCTATTACTCAGCGCATTGGCCAGTTGACACGCAGTCAGGTCAAGATTCTCGAAATTGTATGTAAAACATTGCTACTGAATGAATTGGGCTAGTCTTGTTGTAGTAGCAATTGATACACGATTAACAGCCATGTTTGTCTTAGGTCAAGTCACTTCATGCCAATCTTGAATCGTGTAAATCTCATCCACAGCTATATGAGTTTGTGATGGATTTGACTGCCAAGCAAATCATTGTACGTATTTAAACCGTATTTGCACCAAATGTATACTTTAGCCAGTTTTCAGCTCATTTACAATCTACATTTGGATATAGAAACAAGCAGAGACTGAGGTAGCTGTTAAACGGAATATGGCATTTCCATTGGCTAACGTGTGCGTCATACTATATGAAAAACACACCAAACTTCTTGATATCTTGTTAGGCCGAATGATGAAAAAGTGCCCATTCATTGTTCCACGATATATTCGTAAACTTCAGGTAAGTCTTCAATCTACCTAGTGTATAGGCTTACCAGATTTAGTTACAAATCAAAATTTTATTTGGATATAGACCGATTCCATGGTAGCATATCAAAAGAAATCTGGTTATAAAGAGGTGGATGGGTCGATGGAAACAGAAATCCAATATGGTGAACGCATGTGTGGTATTCTTTCCTTGTATGCAGCAATGATCCAAACAACCACAGGTATATGAAACACGACTGGTTTGATATGATTGTTTTATGACAACGTTGAATCTGTTTAACCTTTAATGTGGTGAATTTCAACAGTCAAGAACAACCATGGGATAGAGAATGGATGGAAGTGGATGGCACGTATTTTGAACATGAAGCCACGACGCATTACTCCATTGCTTATCCATACTTTTCTCGAGATTTCGGGTCATTCCCTTGTAAAAACTTATAACCGACAAGTGCTAAAGATGGTGCGATATATTGTGCAAATTCTTATTCCTATGATACCTGTGGCAGCAAATGCATCAACTACGCGACTAAGCTTGATGCTAAACGAAACCATATTGAGAAATGGAAGCATTCCAGTGTTTGAAGGTAGTCAGCTTGAGAGATAGTGTCAGGCATTGACGCTTAAACACTAAATGAAGGATAAAATGTATTGTCGAGTGGATAGTTTTGGTATATTTGCAAATCATTTAAAAATATAAACATTATTTTAATTCCAAAAACTATCTAATTCAAAAATGAGTTGTTATCAGCCCATCTTCAGCAAATCACGACACTACGCCTTGACGTCTGACTCGGCATGCTGTTGAAGTGCATTTGCAACCATATGTACCAGCATTCCTCTTCCCAGCTGCGTCATGGATTTCTCCAACTCATCCAGCTCAATTTCCGCCAATACAATTTCAAACAACATTGTAAAGAGTGCTATGCGACTTTGAGATCGACGCGATCGGAGCGAGTCTAAAGGTGACATGAACGAAATTGGAGCACATTCTGGCGGACTGGGTAGAGTCAAGTCGTGAGTGGAAGGTTGAAATGTAGGCGATTTTGCTAATGGTTGCTGAACTGTGGGTTGTAGTACATTGTGGCTTCTATCATGTGTGAAGCGATTGTCCAGAGTTGGACAGTCTTGAATATGCTGGCTAACGGGTGGGTCTAAAGTAGATCCACGATCTGCAATAAAAGTAGAGTTGCTGTCCTCGTCGCTATCTCGATCAGTGTGCGATATACCTACATTTTCAACATATTCGATACTATCATTGGTCGATAGATTGTTGCTTGTGGGTATCTTATCAAGGCTGATGTTTGCATTGCAAGCCAGTTGTCTAGCAAATTGATTAAACGTGGCGATAGCCTGTAAATCGTCAAACTCTTGAATTACTGAATCCATAATTCCTTTTTGCCGGTCGCTATCTGAAATACACTGCGAAACATAACAAGCCAAAAATGATTGCAGAAACGTTGTTTTCCACCGTAGAGTAGTAGCCACTTCTCGAACAAGCTGCACACGATCGCTCGACCTCCAGTCACGCTTCACCGACACATTGAGTGTCGATTTGATACTGGTTTGTCTACATTGGTCAGTCAAATAAACAATAAACTTTGCAGCCGTATCAGCATTTTCTCCAATCAGTAACACATTGACCAACCCAATAATTTCTGGGATATTCCATTCATCCACCACTGCGCCTACAATTCGTCCAAATTCTGGTGAATCAATCTTCATAGCATAATACAATTTAAGGACAACTTCGGAAACAGATGCAATGGACCATCCCTCAATCATCCATTTCAGGGCGTAGATGGTTTGCTGAGGGTCTGTCTTTATGTAGCGGTCAAATAGGCTGCGTTTGAATGTACAGATGTAGGATATGTTTTTTTCAGATTTAATCCATGATTCAAACGTAGTGCCGAATCGTTTGTCCATGGATTGTACCGAATTGGCAACCTCTTGAACCGAATTGGGCGGGCTAGGGGATTGAACTGGAGATACGCATGATGATTTTTTCTGGTGCATGGGATTGAATTCGGGGTTGTGACTATTAGGTGATGAAGAATGTCCTTTGAATGGATGAATCAAAAAGAGGGTTGATTGATGTTGCAATCGAGGGATTTTAGCAATAGTCCTGTCTTGGCAAGAGTTAATCGCTCAACTATATAAAGAAATGCAGATTGTGATGTACAAAACGAGCTGAATGCCAAGAAAATACCCAGAAATAGAGTGAGTGATTGGAATAGACAAGAACAAGGACAAATCAATGACAAAACTATCAATGCAACGAGACCAACACCCAGTCAGGATAAAGCCGAATTCATTGTCAAATTATAATCGCCTGTTTGAATATGAAACCGCGAGTATTTGCCACACTGTGAAACGGAGGCGCATATTGCAATCGCCCACTTGTGTTGCAGATGCAAGTGTCCATTGTTTATTGTTTGCCTTGTTCTCAGGTAGAAACCATGAGCACGTTGGTTGAAATACACTTGATAAATAAATACCAACTGCTTGTCAATAGCAAATGGATTACACCCAATCCGTAAATGGCACCATACTCTTAGTTTTTATTAACGTTGTCTGTTGACAACAAAAGTAAAATCAAATTCATCTAGTTTTGACTCTTACAAAACTCTTTTCTGAAACTCCACGTTAATATCGATCTGGATGTCCGGCCTTGTTTGTAAACTGCACGCCGCACTACAGGAATCTAACCAAAATTCACCGAGTTTTAGTTGGGTTTGGCATTCATGAATAAAACCAAGCTGTTCAATCATTTAACTATGCTTCTATAGGAAATATCAAAAGTACCTGTTTCTGATGCAATAATGCCTCGAGTCTTTGTGCATTTTCCCGAAACCCGACCAAGGATGTATACCATGTAATACGACATCCTAGAATCTGACTCTCTTCAATTAACGATGTTACAAATGCAACTTCGCCTCCTGGTTGAAGCATCTCATTCTGAGATCCCATACATAGCTTAAGATTTTATATTATTGAGTGAATTCAAGTACGTAGAAACACAATTGCATTATTAATAGATTCAGCAATATCGATACAGTATCAGACAAGGATAATTACCGATAAAGGTGCTTGTTGCTTAATGCTGCGAGAGACTCTCATTTCTTCCTCATCGGAATAAAATGGCGGATTGCACATACAAAAGTCATACCTATAGTTGAAACCATGCGTGGTATCAAAGTTTAAATACGACCCATCTTGCCTATTTTTACAACGGTTCAAATTCAACAAGGTATTGATCGTTTACATTTGATTATCATTGGGTAATGAGATGATGGGTTTTTGAGTAGATCCCTTTACTACAGTGATACAGTTTTGAAGCGAGTTTCGGTTCACATTCTGAGTAGCAAAATCAATACTTCTTTCGTCAATCTCTAAACAATAGATTATGTAAGTTTACATCTTAAAACATGAGATTCTATTCCAGCATCGAGCGGAAACTTGAAACAAACCAAGTGCTAAAAACGACCATTTTGGATTTCTGCTGCAGCCGAGTAAGGGATATATACAAGATGCTCCTGTTCCACTGAAAATATACAGATTTCAGCATATTGAATCTAGATTTGAATGTATATAATGAAAATCTGGTGCCTGACAAGATTCAGCATACATATCTATTCCGCGTACAGTGGCGTCCAAAGATGGATTGGATTCGGAGAGCAAGTCTTCAATATGTAATATATAATCCAGCCTGACAATAAATTGAACACGCTGTTTAATACATGATGGTTGTGGCAAATCAAAATATCCAGCATTGAATGGTTTGTACCTGTTCGGAACCTACAGTAGCAAATAAATACAGCATGAATTAAATCAGTATCATCGATCCAAATGCTTGCAATGATTGCAATACCATACTTACTGGAGGACACAGCGAGTCGAGCGGGATTTCGAGTCGAAGACCAAAGTATTTAAATAGCAGTGCACAAGTGAGCTCTCTAATGAAAAGTAACCATGTAAACAAATTCAACATTGCTATCAGTTAGAAATCAAAGTTGCTCATGAATTGCTTGTATCTGACCTGACAGCCTTTGGATCTCCGAATTCGATAATCGATCCGGTTCTAGTTTTGCGAAGGCTGTCAAATAAATTTTCAGCGTCAATAGACAAAAAACACATTTTAAATTTGAAATATGGCCGACTCAACTATCGGTTTAGTCTAGGATGTGTTTCTGCAAGAGCAACAAAGTCAAACTGGTCACAAAATGGATTTCTTGCGTGCATGGTGGAGTTTGAACTGATAATCTCGCCTGGCAAGTAGCCCAGAAGTTTAGGGAATAGACTGTATATCCAACCACCATATTTTACAGAAATTGCAAACCAACAGCCTCAATCATTGCCGTCATCTTATCAACAGTCGCATCTATCAATATCAGAGCAAACATGCAACTTCCATTTCCAAATGCAGCCAGTGGTGGGGGTGACGATATGGAAAAGGTAAAATATACAATTCTTTTTGAATTGCAATATCCCTATCCTCGACAGTCATACAAGACACTGCATTGGCACAGCTGAGATTCCCAGGGCGTTGGATGATGCATAAATGGCAACCTATACTGTATCAATTGCGTTGTTGCTATCAATTGGAAACGGCTTTTCTTTTACCAGCACTAGGGTCGCAATCTACTGTCATATACTCATCGTGGACAAGTTTTGGCACCTTGTGTTCAATATAAACAGATGCCTTGTTCATATCTACTTTGATTCATGTATATTCAGAATCTTCAACTCTAGTTGCTTTCTTTAAATTTACCCTAGCGTTTCAAATGCTTTCAAGCTAGTTTTGTTTACTTGTGTATTGATGTATTCATATCGTTGTGGGTGATTTGACTCGTGTGATTTCATCATTTGTAAATTATAGATGTGTGGTGATTTTAAACTCACTCGCACACAACGATTTTACGGATTTGGTAAGACTATTTCAAATGATGTTGCTGAATGTGATGTAGTGCACTCTAAATTCTTGGTGATTGACTGTATTGCATCGTGTTGGTTCAACTTTGGATATCTTAGGAATATGCTTTGGTGTTGGATTTGTAATTTCCTTTTTGGTAAGCGTTTACAAGGCCATTATGACTGTTTGAAATTTCAGTGTCTAGGTTTCATTGTTGAACAAATTGTATTTCCGTACACCTTTTAAAAATCATAGTCAACATTTGCATTATTTACTGGAGGATTGGGACTTTTTGCATTATTCTTTACTATTGGCAACGTTATTTCACTTATTGGAACCGGGTTTTTGATTGGATTCATGTCCCAACTCAAGGTAATGTATTGAGGACTAGAAAGCATATTTAAACTGATAAACTATTGCTGACTATTTGATTCGAATGTACATCACTACACCGACGGTATCTAGAAAATGTTTGATCCGTCGCGTTGGATTGCTACGTGCGTGTTCCTTGGCTCTCTGGCATTGACGCTTGTATTTGCGTTTGCGGTTAAAATTGCAGTCTTGACCATCATCTGTTGTGTATTTCAGTATTTGGCACTATTGTGGTACTCGATCAGCTACATTCCATTTGCCCGAGATGTTGTCAAGAGTTTCTTTGGAAGCTGCTTTTCTAAATAATTAATTGAAGATTGGCTAAGCTAGATATGCTGGTTTTGTATATAATGCATCGGTTGTGTGGATTCATGGATGTCCGTCCATTTTGTTGAAAACTTGGTTGACTTGTAAGCTAGTATTTCTGAGAAATAAACTCGGAATTGGATAGGCTGTAGGATTGAATATACACTCACTGTGAAATACATCAAGTAATGTGACATTTATCGAGTTGGTTGACTCGGGTTGAGAGCAAACTCATGTCACGAATAGGCTGAAAGTAGAATGCCGAAAATGTCAAAATGTCAACGTTTTCGATGTTCTCGTTCTTTTACACCTGGAACACCGAGATAATACTCTTTCGCCCAACAAAGCCTCATTGCTCATTGTCGTAATTCTCTGACATTGGTATTATGCAGGGTATACCTTGGGACAGCGATGCAGTGGATGGCGGCAAGTCTTCCGACCAAGTTTTGTTGGATTGGTTAGTTACTCCAGGCAACTACCATAGATGGGCAACCGCAGGAACAGTGGTGGGAGGCTCGACTAAAGGTTCTATTCTTCAAGAAATGATGCTCATGTTTATCGAGCACGGCATTCATACTCGAAACGTTCCAAATATCAGCAGCAAGATTAATCGAGTTGAAGGCGGCTTTTTTGGTGCCTGCGATATGCTCAAAAAAGCCCCTAAAGGACCGGATGGACAACCGATTGTTACTGCCAAGATGACGAGAGTGTGCAAGTACTTTGATTTGCTGTATCCTATTATGGGCGAGTACTCGCAATCGGCGATGGTTATCTCTCTCAAGCCGGTTCAGTCGCTTGAAGCAGAGTCTGACAAACTTGCGCTTGTTGTTGAGCCAACACCTGATGGCACTCCGATATCAGATGCTGTGGACAGTTTAGTTCTCATGGAAACACCAGCTTCAACGGCTGATTCGTCTCCTGCTCCTATTCGCGTTGTCGATGACGATACAATCCCAGAGGTTAACGTTGGTCTGGTGCCAGCCCCTCTTCCTGAATTAATACCAGCACAGATTACCGCGAAGCGTAGATCTTCTACATTTAAACCAACTCCTGTGTCTCAATCATCAACCAAAAATACCAAGCCAAGCCATCAAAGCGGTCGATCTGCAACACAGCGTCCAAATGACGAGTATATTGATGACGAAGAGTTGGCTGATCTTTTCAACTCTGAACTAGAAGACGATGATTGGCTTTTATCACAACCAAAGCAGCGTGATTTAAAAGCCAATAAAAAAAGAGCCTCTATTGTCAATGCATCAACAAAACAATCCAAAGACGGATATAAACCTGGTCCTGCATCAAAATCCAACAGAACTCCACATTCATCATCAAAACGATCGTTGATTGCATCGTCTGAACCCCACAAAAAGTCACGTCGATCCGACACGTATACTTTACCATCCATTGAAACAAAATATCGTAGTCGTGTAAGTTCTGGCTATGAACGAGATGAACATACATCGCAACGACTTGTAGAACAAGACGATCTAGTATTACAGATTGAACGACAAGAGTTGAAACTGAGGTTGGAAAAAATCAAAAGTGATATTGAGATTTACAAGTCGGATGCCATCATGACCAAGATCAAGGCTAGAAGAAGACTCAAAAGATCGGGAGTATCAGACACTCAAATTGATCGACTATTACCACTTTGAATGTGGATCGAAGCATATATGTAGGTATGTCGATTACAGCACCATTGGGTTCAAGATGGTTGTGTTAATTCAAAGTGGTTTAGTAATTGTTATTTTATTATTATTTTACAAGTATTTTCAAAAGATTTACAACCGTATTCACATAAATGGAACACTTTTCTGTATCTATCTTGAAGCCACTGCCTATTTTATTTGAAATAAACAATGGTTAAATAATTGTCATTCCGAGTTTATGTGTTTTGGATTGCTCGACAAACAAAAACACTTTTTATTAAAGTGATTGTTGGCAAGTTCAAGAATGAACAATATGGAGCTTGATACATCGCGACATTGTTTAAACGATTGGCAGATCATGTCGACTCGGTGAATGTGTAGACTTGTCAACAAGTTTGACCATTACCATTTGAAATATATTGGCTGAATATACTTGCTGACTAATCTAGATGGAAATCAAACATATATTCAGCCATTGGCGTATTCACAACCTACTGTGAATAAAGCAGACCAGCTACTCAATCATTACTAGCCTTGACCCTTTTCACTATTAACCATGCTGAAACCTATCAAGTTTGTAGTATAATTCTGACCACATCTATGCTAGTAGATCAGCCAACTAAAGTCAAGAATTGACAACTCAATTCAAACTCAATTCAAACTCAAAAATCATTTGTTTTATTTGAACGCTTTTAAACCCACGAAACGCTCGACATTTCAACTCAACTTGCGAGTACCTCGAATCTAAACACCTTGCTCGAGTAGTTTTCAGAACATGGCTATATCTTGGGACGATGACGCTGTGGATGGCGGAAAGACTTCAGTTCAGATTTTGGTGGATTGGTTAATCACTCCAGGAAACTACGAGCGATGGAGAAAGGCAGGGCTGACTGGGCCCGTTACTAAAACCTCACTCTTGGAAGAAATGGTTCCAGTCTTTGTTCAGAACGGTATTTTACATCGATCTGCTTCAAACATTGGAAGCAAGGTTTTTAATCTGGAACGATCATTTGACGAAGCCGTTGATATTCTAAAAAGCTCTGCTGTAGGCTCAGATGGGAAACCCAAGAATGCTGACAAAATTGCTCGGAAATGCAAGTACTTTGATGTGCTGTATCCTGTCATGGCAAGATTCTATCCTCTCAACTCAACTCAATCCTCGTCTGTAAGAGAGTCGATACCAAAAAAAACATCTGCTCGAGTTAAAAAGACTGCATCTGCTGTCAAGTCTGATGCACTTTCGCCTTCATCTTCAGTTACCGATAAAACACAAAGTCTTGTCAACGCTTCAGGTCAAATCGCTGAACAAGGGGAATCCTTAGACGCTGACAATGCACTGCTGGCTAATTATCAACTGGTTTTGTATACTGGAAACCCTTCAGAAATGATTTCTGAAGCATCGTTTGTTTCCACTGCAACTTCTGCGCCAGACACCACAGCAAGTAGCGCTACATTGGAAACACTACCTACACATCCCCTTTTCAGTGCAGCACCTGTTCCGGAACTGATTCCGGAACTAAATACGGCACAACTTCCGGAACTGATTCCAGCACAACTTCCAGAATTGATTCCAGCACATGTTTCCATTCAAAAACCACTTGCAGTTAAAAAGTCACTTTCAGTATCTCGACCCTCGTCAAAAAAGTCAAAGTCAACCGTTCGGAAGGTCAGATCCAACGCATTTCCATTTCCGCTGATTGATGCAGAGGATGAATCTGACGAAATAAGCGACACTGCCAACGATGACAACGACGAGGATTGGGCATCTCCTCAGTTTATGCTAAAGGATCGTAAAGCCAATAAAAAAAGAGCCTCTATTGTCAATGCATCAACAAAACAATCCAAAGACGGATATAAACCTGGTCCTGCATCAAAATCCAACAGAACTCCACATTCATCATCAAAACGATCGTTGATTGCATCGTCTGAACCTCACAAAAAGTCACGTCGATCCGACACGTATACTTTACCATCCACTGAAACAAAATATCGTAGTCGTGTAAGTTCTGGCTATGAACGAGATGAACATACATCGCAACGATTTGTAGAACAAGACGATCTAGTATTACAGATTGAACGACAAGAGTTGAAACTGCGGTTGGAAAAAATCAAAAGTGATATTGAGATTTACAAGTCGGATGCCATCATGACCAAGATCAAGGCTAGAAGAAGACTCAAAAGATCGGGAGTATCAGACACTCAAATTGATCGACTATTACCACTTTGAATGTGGATCGAAGCATATATGTAGGTATGTCGATTACAGCACCATTGAATTCAAGATGGTTGTGTTAATTCAAAGTGGTTTAGTAATTGAATTTTACAGTTGATATTTCATTTTCATAATCTATGCGATTGCATGTTAATGATGCTTACCCAATTTTGATAAGGTAATGGACATGTTGATACTTTTGTATGGTTTAATTTAATCTAGCAATGCGTTGCTTGACATTTCAATCAATCTATTATTCTTATTCTCATCTAATCAAGTGATTTTTAGATTCAGTTGATTTAGCAAAATAGGCTACTACTTATATTCAAATCAAATGCCAAATATATCAAACCTACTTTGAATTCTATTATCGGCATCATATTTCAATCAAATATGTTTAATATTCATTTAAAGTGCATCTCAATAAGCGGTTTAAATTCCAATTACAAAATTTAATAATCAAAGCTGTCAGTTCTACAGTGTCTATTATATTTTACAGCCATATTCACGTAAAATGAAATACATGATAAGTGGTTAATCTCATGTTTGATTGGTGCTAATCTTACTGAGCAAAATTGTTTTATAAACTTTAATTCACTGATCATTCTCCTTTATACTCATTCTTGTACAAAACTACAGCAAATATTCACATTTCTGTTTCAGTACACTCCACATTCTTGACATCTTTTTAACCTTCAACTTTCCTTTCTCAAAAACGAACATTTGAAGTAAGCATTGCGTGACGCATCGAAACAACTGTTGTATCCCTAAGATATGTTGAATTAGAACGTATCTGATGTTAGAATACAACAGAGTTTCAATAGAAAAACTAATCAATCTTCAATAACAACGAATATGTAATGACTGTTTATTCCGGAGCAAAGTCAATACGAGATGAATACAGCTGTGATATCATTGTCAATCACGCACCGGTGATATTAAAATATGATGGACACTGTAAAATTATTTGGTTTTAATGTAAAAAACGTTTTATGACCTCGAGTTATATTGCAAGTGTATAAATCTCGAGTATCTGAAGCTTGGATACAACCATTTGTCATTGCAAGTTTCAATCGAACCGATAAAAGATACTCGAATCATAACAAATCAATCCAATGTTGTAATTTTATTGTCTCGATATTCATTGGATAATCATTCACCTGTCTGGTTCAGTATTTAACGTAGTAGTTGCGATATATTTTAGGGTTTCTTGCTTTCCCGAGTAAATAGCTCGACTCAATATATTTTAGTCTCCATGGCTATGGGTAACCAGTGTTATTTTTATTGATGGCATCAAAACATTCAACTCAATATCTGGGTTGCAATGAATGAATCTGGTGATTGTACAATGTATGGCTATACCAAATGAGGTAATTTCAATTCAAAACCAGTTTAATTTTGAGTATTGTATTCATACTTTTTGCTATTTATTTCCATTTGGATCGACTTTGTATACTTGCTGGTTTGAACAAGCTATTTTAAATGGGCTCGCCTGTACTTATACCCCTCCAAGCGAATCCCCATATAACCATTAATGCAACAAATGCCAGTAAAAATACCTATAGTCATCAAGCATGTCATTGTACACGATGGGTTGGTTTGGTTTTTGTATTGATATGCAAATGTTTAAACTTTTTACTTACAATACCATCTACGAGTTGCCGAGTGTTGGCAGAGAAAGTTTGTGCGATGGACCACACTGTTAGCAAACCCAGCAAAATCCAGATGAACACGGTAGTACCCTATCCATTGAATGCATAGTTTGGTTTAAGAGAGTATAATGGATATCAGGAGTCGAGATAAGCTTTTACAAACTCACATCGGTGATTCCGTAACCAGCTTGTGATACCAGTGTTGTACCAAGCAAGATCAAGAATGAGTCGCAAACGGCACTTCCTACATTCAAAAGACGCATATGCATTCTCTTGTAAAACCGAGACAAAGAAGGATCAATGGAGGTTTCAATAACTGCTGCGTTTTGAATATTCACGGGGAGTGCAGTGGTGGCTGTAGTAGTTGTTGCAGCATTGGTTGGCTCAGGGGTGGATTCTAGAGATCGAGATAAGAGTGGTGGATAAAATGAATGATACAGTTGATGTTGATAGTAAGATTCGAGCTGAATAAATATCAGATAAAGAATGTAGAATACAAATGTTGCACCCCATGCAGCTTTGTTATAATGATGAGTATGAACAGATTAGAATACATTGCGTTGTTTGAATGTATAGAATGCAATCTTACATTCAATCTGTCTAGTGGAAAACCCTGTTTCTCCCGACAAAGAGGTTGAACCTTTGATATATCCTCCAGCGGGAGGAGAAACATAATCAGGGAAATTGGAGTCCATGACAATATATCGATTTACTATTTGGATTCTAATCGAGTTATAGTGATCGTTGTTTATATAATCCAGTCAAATTTTTATAAAATAAATGTACAGCATTGACCATTCTAAAATAAGCTTGTTGATACACATCGTGACCTACTCGGGTATCCAACTAGTTTAAATTAAGCAATTAACATTTTAGCTTTATTGAATGACGATGTGTTGGCTTTTGTCCGAATGAAATGCGTTTAATTAGTCTTTTCCAAGTTCTCATTGGTCATTCCATGCAAGTCATCACATGGAACACGGCACTATGTGATGATTTGTAGTATATTTTAAATTTCTATAAAACAGGGTTGAATAGAGTTGATAGTTTGCATATGGTTTCTAATACGTCGGTTGGTGGTGGAGGATTGCTAGGACACGATACTTTTGCTAGTTCCGAAACTCAGTGTATGGTAGAAACGTTTGTAGCATTAATTTTAGTAAAGATATTTATACTGACATTGCAGTTATAGCTGTATGGATTGCAACGTTTATTTTTTTCATACTGTGGCTACTGAGCCTTTTTTTGTTGCCTGTTATTGAAGCACTGGCGTCCAAGGCGCATGAAGAGTCAGTTGAAGAGCGAGAATCAGAAACTGTGCCAGTGAGTCATTTGTTGAAAATCCGAGTGATTTAATGATTAACAGTGATTTATGATATGAATAGCCTGCTTCGGCTAGTACCATGACGAGATCATCTCGAGATGCATTTTTGATTCTACTAGCGACTACTCTTGCCAATCAATCAGGACATGGTCACACATACTATACACTTTCGATAACATGGGCATCGTTTTCACTTTTAGTTGTGTGGATATTTGTCAGAATGCTTATTCCAGAAGCAGCACGATTCATGTGGTGGTTGGATATGTTAGTATTTTTCCCAGTATTAGCACTTCAAATTGCCAACTTTGGACTTGCATTTTCGAATGCACCTTCAATGCGATAAGATTTCAGTATGTAAAAATGGACTATCATGACATGTACAAGATTGTTGTCAACCATTTGAGATATTTACAGTGCATTTGATAATAAAGAGCTTGCATTTAAAACATCTATTCAAACGAGTACATTGAAAAAGCAATAGACTTTAGGAATGCAATGCAAGGTCTGATTTAGATTGAAAGAACTCTTTCACCAAGGCCAAAGCCTTGTATCGATGAGAGATGGAGTTTTTAAGATCCTTGTCCATCTCAGCATAAGTAGTAGTGAATCCGCAAGGTTGAAAAATGGGATCCCAACCAAAGCCAGCTGGACCTCTAGGATGAACAATGAGACCATCAGTACGACCTTCAAAGAGAATGGGATCATGACCAGGTTCGCAGTAAGCAAACGTACAGAGTGCGAAAGCACTCTTATCATCAAAGCCATGTAACATGGCATTAAGACCAACATGACCAACAGATTCCATGAACCACTTTATGTACGGACCAGGAAGACCATTCAGAGCAACAAATCCAAGACTAGTGTCTTCAATAAGAACGGGAGTCTTTAGTATAGCAGCAGCAGTCTTGGCTTTGTGGATTGAGACAGTCTGTGTGGTGCCCTGCAGTTCAGGCAAGTCAAGTTGATGACAAGTGAGCATCGGCAGAGCATTGCCGACAATGTCTTGCACTTCACGCAGTTTGTTGGCATTTCCAGTCACAAAGACGACTGACTGCATTCTTGGTCAAGTAACAGTTGGAATCACGTTGCAAACTGTGAGGTTGATTATCACTTGTCATTCATTCACTCATCTTTGAGATTCTCTCTGTGCAAATAGCACTTATTCAGCCCATCCTGGCATCCAATTCATCCTCTTCTTCCAAGCGCTCGTTGCTGGATTTGCTTTGTGAACAGGAGGCTCTTGAAACTACTGTTATTCATCCAAGGAAGAAACCTACTAGGGTGAACTCGACTTCCGATTCATCTTGTCTTGTTACTCGTACTATTCCTCCCTATAACTCATTGCACATGAGTCCTCATCTGCCTTGTTCCACTGCAAACGATCTATCCGACTCCATGGATTCAAAAACTATCACATCCGAATCTAATGGATCCTCTCGTCATACTATGAGTGAATCCAATATACTTGATGCTCTTCATAGCATACAACCCAATCTGGATGCTGGATGGAAAACTAAACGACAAAAGGAAATGGTTCGACTGATGCTACAGAGTCTCACTCAACTTGGTTATAGGTATAGTCCATTCGTACCTTGTCATCATGTCTGGGTTGATACGGAGTGTTAATCCTAAGTCTATGGTAATCTTCAGTCATACTGCACTCTGCTTACAACAAGAATCCGGTTTGGTTTTGGAATCCCCTTCCATGAGTCAGTTTAGAAAGGCTGTTTTGGTCGGTGATTGGGATCTTGTCGAGCGACTCATCCCTTTAATCGAAATGGTGCCTCGAACTGGTCAAGTAAGTTTACTGTTTTACTCGTGTCAGTTACTCCTTACATTGCCATATATCCTTCATAACACCTTGCAATCCAATCTTATCATTCTTTTAATAGTCTCAGGTGTGGTTTCTTGTTAAAAAGCAAAAGTATTTGGAGTTTCTTGAACGTCACGACCCAAAACGTGCTCTTTCAGTTCTTCGCAACGAACTCTCTCCCCTCAGTGTATCTAGAGCACAAATTCATGAACTATCCAGGTATATTCAATATAAATCTCTTGCATATCGCTTTACATGCATTAAATCAATCTTTACTACTTTTTGTCAATATTGACTCAATATGACCTTTTTCTAATTATACAATGCTTTTTTACTGACATGGGATTCTAGTTATATGATATGCTCATCCTTTAATGAGCTTAAACAAAAGTCCAATTGGACTGGCGTGTCTGGGAAATCCAGGGAGAAATTGCTAGATTCACTACAGGGTACTATGTTGACTGGAGTCTGTGCATCTACAATCCTTTATTCTTGCCTATAAACTCACATCACTTTTTATACTCCAATTATTTAGCACACATATCCCCTTCCATGATGATTCCCAACAAAAGATTAGAAAATCTGATGGATCAAGCTGTTCAACTCCAAGTTTCAGAATGTTTATACCATAATTCGCTTAATGAGAATATATCTCTTTATGCCAACCACATGTGTGAAAGAGATGATTTTCCGGTCACAACAACGCATATTTTGGAAGAGCATACAGACGAGGTTTGGTTTTTGGCATATTCTCCTGATGGTTCCATGCTTGCATCTGCATCCAAAGATGCTCGTGCAATCATTTGGGATGCTCAAGTAAGTGGAGCCATGGCTGCATTTCAATTTTATTTAGTCTGCCATGTATGACATGGGTTTAAACTAACCGATTCAAATGGATTGCTCTACTTTGTACCTATGTGCTGAACATAGCAATTGAAATATACGTTTATTTTGGAAGAACATCGTGAAGCCGTTTCATTTCTTTCATGGAGACCAGATAGCAGCATGCTTTTGACAGCATCCAACGATCATACTCTTAAGCTATGGAATGCCAAGGTAAATAGTAATGGATCCAACTTTGTCATGTAGACTCTGTTTAATCGATTCTTTTTGATCTACTTGCATTTTGCAACCATTAGACTGGAGCATGTGAGCATACGTTTGTCCGACACACTGAGCCAGTCACTTCATGCGCATGGCTGCCTAATGGAGAGTGTTTTGTTTCTGGTAGTCTGGATAAAAACATTTATCTTTGGAATCTTGGCGGAGATATCCTATACAAATGGACAGGCGTGCGTATCATGGATCTTACCGTCTCAATTGATGGCAGTACGCTGATTGCATCGTCTGACAAAAAGATTCGATTGTATGATTTAAACCTTCGACACGAGATTGGCACTTTGCAAGAAAATGACTCGATCACATCTGTGTATGTGGCAAGTGATGGCAAGCATTTGCTGGTCAATTTAGCTATTCAGGTGTGTTGCTAGCTTGACATTATTCAAAGATGGTTTGGTTTACTACGTATCTTGCAACTGTTATGTATTGTCTGCCCGACTGCTGCATACTCATTGTTGCGATGTGTCTTGGATTAGGAAATTCATCTGTGGAGTCTGGAACATAAACGGCTGGTGAGAAAGTATGTAGGACAAAAGCAAGGCCGGTTTGTCATTCGCTCTTGCTTTGGAGGTATACACGATAATTTTATCTTGAGTGGTAGTGAAGGTATGTTGAATTTAATGTTTATAAAATTCAAAATGCTTGTAGCGTACAAGAGTCTTGACTAATACTTTTTGATCATGCTGTTTTAAATCAGATTCGCAAGTCTATATCTGGCACGCCGAGTCTGGCAAATTGATGGAAACGCTTGAAGGCCATGCGGGATGTGTCAATTGTGTCAGCTGGAATCCGACTGAGCCAGCATTTGCTTCTGCATCAGATGATAATACCATCCGAATTTGGGAGAGTTTAGGAAGCAAATCGAACCCTGCTTAATTCATCCCAATATCTTGTATCTCACTTTTAATCACAAAGTTTTACAGATGGATTTCTTTGTTGCAAATGGCTTTGTTTTGAATGTATCCAGTCTAGTTTAAATTTTTGATATAATTCTGTTTTAGAATGTCACCCTTCTATATTTCAGACTGATACTCTAGCTCATTTATACTGGCAAATAAACATTGATTCCTTTTTTATATTGAGCAAGTTTGGATCGATTTCAATGCACTATTCCACCGAATGACTTGATGATGAAGCCAACCCACATTACATCATATTGTGTTCATGTTGTTTCAAATTAGCAACCAGCGTGGCAGGTGTTTGTTGAAGCGTGGTGACCAGTTTGGTAGCAGGACTTTGCAAGATCCCCAGCAGTTCTGCACGCAACCGAGGTAAACTGGGTAATTCCAACACCTGTTTAAAGGAATCCGCCGTCACCAAAATGCCTTCAACAATACCACCCACCATGACCAATTTTTTTTGAGCCTGAATGATGTGGGAAAAAGTGGAGATGATACCAGATGTTGAAGGAAGATGATTTTGAATCGCTATATGAGCCGCTTCTTCATCGTTTAGATCTGTAAAGACCACCATGGTTGGGCCGACTGCCAATTGAGCGACATGGACCAGATCAGGACGGTTCAAAGTTTCGTAAACATGGCAAGTTGCAGCACGAAAGATTGCATTCCGTACGACAAGACTGTTTAATCCAGCAGCACGAAAGGCCAGTCTCAACTTGACGTGATCTTGAGCATTGAGATTGTTGTTTTGAAGGATAAACACATATCGAGATTGTACAATTTGTTTATAAGTAGAATACCAAAACTGACGATGAGGAGGTGGAGGGTTTCCTGTACAGCTAAGCTTCATGGTTTTCATGGCATCCGACACGAGAACTGGAGGAAGTTTGTGATGAAAGGCTGGACGGATAGTTGGAAGAACTGATATTGGTTTGACTTCATTAGCTGTCATGAGAGATGTACGAATACAAAATAATCAGCACATTGTCATATCAAGATTGAAACCTTGACACATTGTTATACATTGTCAATCAACACTCAACTCTTTGATGGGTTATTTTTCTGTTTAGATTGCACAACAGTAGTGGCAAGTCCAGCAACAGACATTGAACCACTGCGACGAACAACATCAGAATGCATGTGTGCAGCCATTCGTTGCCATGACACTCGATGTGTGTTGACAAGACTCATTTTCAATACAAATCACTAGTTTCAAACTGATCATGTTGCTGTTAAACATCACAGATGGAATGAATTGTCAGGATTACAGAGCAACTGCTTACCAAAAAGTTGCAACTTGAAAGAAAATGAAAAATTCTTGTTAGAATCAACTTGAACGTCGTGTGCAGAATTACTTGCAGTTTTGCATTATTAAAATTACACTCAATATTTACAACTCAAAAAACAATCAATTTGTGTCAAGCATTTTAATTAAAAATCATTTTTTTGGTTTATCGAACAGCAACAATATCATCAATCTTCATAACCATTTTGACAGTTTCAGCAGCCAGTTGGATCGCACTAGTAGATACAAGCAAAGGCTGAATGACATTCTCTTCCAAAATATTGGAAATGGTACCCTTACGAACATTGATACCAGCAGTGCTTTCACCACGAGCGTGTCGGTTACGCAGTTCAGTGACAATAGTAATGGGATTGAGACCAGCATTCTCTGCCAAAGTGGTAGGAATGATCTCTAAAGCTTCAGCAAATGCTTCAAAGCAGTAAGCTTCCATGCCCTTGAGTGTCTTGGCATACTCCATCATACGTAGACTGACTTGAATTTCAGGTGCACCACCACCAGCAATCAAGGCTCTCTTTTTAACAAGGCATCGTATCACACAGAGTGCATCGTGAAGTGATCGCTCAGCCTCATCAAGAACCAGTTGGTTGGCACCATGAACAAGCACCGAGACGGTTTTTCCCGAGTTCTTGACACCTGTTACCTTGACCACTTTGGCACCGGCTGAAGTGACTTCTTCGATAAGATCGGCGTAACCAAGTTTGTCTTCGGTAAACGAATCAACATCGGCAATAGGACGACATCCAGTTGACTTGCAGATAAACTCGACCTCGTCACGCTCAATTTCCTTGACAGCAAGAATCTTTAATTTTGACAAAAAGTGTAGCGAGAGTTCATTGACTGCATCACGCAGGATTGACTTTTGAATAAAAAGAACATTGCAGCCAGTTTTTTTAATCTTTTTGCAGATATTAAGAAGGTATTGACGCTCTTCCTTGAGAATCTTGTCCATCTGACGATAGTCGTTCACAATAACTTGATTGTCCATCTAGCAATGTAATGAAAACACACACATCAACACTCATCCATGCAGTTCAAAAACCATTTCAAACCATTACACTTACATCAGGTTTAGGAGGTGATAGCTGGAACTGAATCAAACCAATTTTTGCCTTTTCCATGCGAGTGGGACCACCAGCACTCTTGATCACATTTTGAGTCAAGACCAAACCATCAACCAGTTGAGTATCATCAATGGTACCTCCAACTTTTGTGACAAGACGAATGTCTTTAAGATCAACATTGGTAGCAACAGCAGGATCAATGACACGCAAAACAGAGTCAACAGCAATGGGAGCAAGCAACGAAGAGTATTGAGATACAATTTTTGAGTTGAGAGAAGTAGATGCGCTCTTGAGAAGGGACTCGCGATCGTTTAGATCGAGTGGGGTTGACATGCAAGTTAGAAACTCGGTTGCCTTGTCAGCAGCACGAGTGAAGGACTCTGCAATGGTAGTTGGATGAATTCCCTTTTCAAGAAGAGATTCGGCAGCACCAAGCAGACTGCCAGCAAGAACAACAACAGACGTGGTACCGTCACCAGCCTCTACATCTTGAGCAGCAGACAGATCAACAAGCTAAAATGAAATCAAGACAACATGCATTAGAACTAAAACCCAACCATTTCTCTTTTATAAGTAAATTACACACCATTTTAGCAGCAGGATGCATGACAGCCATATGCTTGAGAATGGTAGCACCATCGTTACTAATCACCACTTCATTACGACCAAACTGAATCTATTGTCAAATCAAATGAGTAATGATGTTAGTCAGCAAGGGTTTAATACAACTGTTTTGAGTATTAGTGCTTACCATCTTGTCCATGCCTTTTGGTCCGAGTGAGGTCCGAATTGCACTGGCAACAGCTACATGAAGCAGAATCAAACGTGAGTAACCAACACATCTGAGTTGAGCAAGACAACTGGATAAACCGTCTAGTCAAGATCTAATCAAACTCAGTGAGCAACAGACTGGAGTAAAGTGCACTATAAAGTCAATGACAGTCAAAACTGTGATCACCGCTCATGAGTGCACTTCCGACACTCTGCCAGTCAGTAGGTTTAGAATAATACTGTCTAGCCATACAGTGTCAAGTATCAAAGACTGGATTCATGGCCAGATCCAGCAAAAACACTGCATAGAAGGCCATGGATGGAATTCACATTCCGACTGGACAAATCCTCAGTCGGATCTTCAATAATTATTATACCTCTGCCAGCAACAATGTTTGAAGAACGGACTTCTACAGGCTTGCTCTTGTCCTTGAACTGCGATGCAGTTTTTCCTGATGAAGTAGTGCCAACAACCATATCGTCTTATTAATGGAATTCAAGTCAAGTCCAATTTTAATTCTCATTCATTGAAAAACACTTTTTATCCGTCTGTTCATTTGATATCTTCAAAAGTGTTGGAATCATTGACATATAATTCATGTCTGATTCTTTACTCAGAATCAAGATGATCCTGATGCTGTCAACGATGGTCCCTTTTTGGACTTTTTCTCAGTCTAGATTCAATGTTTTTTGGTTAATATATTACACATTAAACATATACTGTTGTGCAGGGCTCACCTCGGCTGCAGCTTCTGCCTCAATAATCTTGGTCATGGCTTCAATCTCTTCTGCGTCCAGATGCTAATAAAATAATAAGTATTCATGTCACTTTTACACTTTGAAATCAGATCTACTTACTCGGATTTTAGCATCCTCGCCCATCACTGCAATCTCAATGTTTTTGGCACCAGTTTGAACCACCTAAACCCAATACAACCATATCGGGTCAACCCCACTGTATGATTCACATACCAAAGAATGAATTCAACTCACTTCCAAAAGAGACTTGATTGCTAGTTTAATGGTTTCATCACGAGTCATGTCGTCCTTGTAGTTTTTCTCGAGAAATTCACGCACAGTTTTCGAGCTGCGACCCACTGCATTTGCTTTCCATGCAGAGTAGATACCTGATGGATCTGTTTGATAGAGTTTGGGTACCTTGTCTACATCAAACCCAATAATCAATGTAGAAATACCAAAAGGACGTACACCTCCACTTTGAGTGTATTTCTAAGTAATCCAAATTAAAACATGTCAGTTTAAAGTAGTGATCATGGTCTTGATAAAAAAACAGTCAAGGGTTAAACCAAAGCGTACACACCTGCTGAATAGATGCAATGTGGCGAGTAATGTACTCTACAGATACTGGATCTTCTACAGTCAATCGATGACTCTGGCATTCAACGCGAGCCTTGTCAATCAACACTCGTGCATCTGCAGTCAAACCTAGAATAACATATTAAACACTGTTGACACCATTTGAAACATGACATGGTTCTTACCTGCAGCAGCAAGACAAATATGATTGTCAAGCATAGCAATCTTGCGTACAGTGCGAGGATCCTGCAACTTCAACACAGATTTCTTTTCAATACCAAGAACAGCAACATTCTTGCCACGCACACCAACCTAATTAAAGTGGAATTATACAATTAGATTGAGTATCAATAACCAGGTTCAAACCATTAAAAATAAACTGTATAGTCAGATCTAAAGAGATTCAACCCATATCACCAGAATAGTCGAGTATTGACTATTCTGGCAGAGTGTAAGATGACGGTTAAACCAACGAGTTTAAAACAAAGTTCTTACCGCACAAGTTCCTTTTCTAACAGCCTCGAGTGCCTAAATATGAATATACACAATGACAAGAGTCAATAAGGTTTGGATAATCCAGAATACAAGATTGGAAATCTGTCAGAAACACTCCGGTAGTAACAAGAACAAGGGTTCGTCAATAGAAAGATGAACGAGTGTTCTTGTCAAGAACTCATGTCTGCTGTAACTCATCTGTGGTTACAGCAGATATAAACCACATTGCCAGGGTGGTCCGATTCACTCGATCTCATTGAGTTCACAGTTGAAAGGACTTGCAGAATAGATTAATAAAGTACACTTGGTCAAACAGTAGTTGCAGTCATACATATTCGACTTGAAACAGATGTCCATCTGGCGAGAAAACAGTGAGAGCAGAATCGTAACTCATTACTAGACAATTGTAAATAAGAAAATGTAAACGGATTCGGTTCAAGTTGGTCAGATTTGAACTCGTTTCATTTTGATTTTGATTTTCAATTCATTTTCAATTCAATTGTTGCAGTCTGGCTAGTCAATGCAAGATCGATATTGAATAGGTTTGATTTTTAATGCAATAATTGCCGCTCCAATACTCGCAAATGCACCGAGTCGAAGTGTCCATCCAAACGCATCAAATGCTTCTGCTGGTGTTTCAATTGGACTGGATTTTTGTAATTCTGAAATAATAGCAAACACAATAGCACTCATGACTGTGCTCAGAAATTGTGGTAAAACAATATAAATATTGTGGATTCCTAACACCATCCCTGCTTGTAGTCCAGATTCATTAGAGTTTCCAATATCTGCTACACATGGTGGTGGTTGTGATGATGAAGCATGATAATTCACTATTTCATCTTCATCTTGAACTACTGCATACCCATCCCGTCGTGTTGGTTGCGAATCAGAACGCGAAATGATAATCTCTCTTTCTGCAGAACTCGCTGACAAGTTGGGCAACGCACGCTCCGTGTCATCAGATTGATTGCACCTGGATTCCGGGTTTCCATCACTATAGAAACTTACAAACTCGCCCATAAGTGTAAAAGGCACCCATTGTGCTACTCCTACAATCCATCATGCGTGTTGGTATCTTGAACTCATTGTTTACATGCATCATTCAAGATTTTAAAATTCATATTACCCCAGGATATTCCAGTTGCTGCTATAATAAACGTAGCGCCAATCACTTCATGCACTGCAGCTGTCAAAACCATAAGAATTGCAAATCCAAAAAGTGATATACTCCAAATGCGTGGTAGTGTAAAAAACTCGGCCCATGTTTGACGATAAGATACATCTACTTGAGATCTAGGCGAATCAAACCTTCCATTGCGACCAGACGTGCGTGTGTGTTTGACCATCATGGGAAGAATAAATCCCGTAATCACAGATATAATGGCAAACAACAGCAGTGAAAACGATCCGGCTCGTGTTCCTTCATCTGATGTGTCATTGGTATCCATGATGCGTGTCAAGGAATACTTGCCATATCTTAATCGATCAGAGATCCAACTTGTGCTATTTAGATCGAATTGAAAAAATTAGACCAGTGAACCTTGAATGATATCAAGCCATCTAATTTAGACGACACACTGTTATACTTGCCTGTAAAATAAAAATGGAAACCAGCCCAGCCATGCTAGAAATTGCACATTACAGACACTTTGAATGGAGCGAGGCAAAGTGGATAGCGAATGAAATATCTCCATCAGTGGCTTCCACCATGCCTGATGTCGTTCAGACTGGCGCTGCTTGTAGGGACGCTCAACAATCGCAATGCATGTCACGAGAATCGTAGTTACAAACCAAGTAATGGCAATGACACACAAGATTTTCAATTGAGTCGGTCCAAGCATTGGAAATAGTTTTGGAAGATCGAGATATCCAACAAAATATCCAAGAACATTTCCCAGTCCAATCATACGGCCACCCCATGCATTTGCCAAATCTTGTTGATGGAGGGGTGATACATCGACAATAAGTGCACGACAACTAGCTTGAACAGCATTGATGGAGAAATCGAGAAAATAAAACCCTACCACTGCTACAATGATTGTGACCAAATGAAGCTATTATGCAAACGATTCAATTCAAGATTATTATATTGACATGGCCAGTTTGAAAAGATGTGAATAGAATTAAACTTGCCTGGTCATCTTTTGCAGTTTTATTCCATCCCATCAAAACATCAGAGAATTCTCTTGAATATGCAATCATTGCAATAGAAATGACGACAAGCAAACCCCCAACTTTGTTTCCATAATTTAAAATTTGACGATTAATATGGCAGGATGAACAGTACATTTAAAAGAGACCTACTTAGGATAAATGGTCGACGACGACCATATTGAAACGTAGATCTGTCGCTATATACACCGACAATTGGCTGAATCAGAATGCCTGTATAGAATACAAAAGTATGCTCAGCATGGCAGTCTATTTGAATTTTACAAAGTATCAGATGTGCACATCAATCCAGTTTACCAGAAAGCGGACCAGCAATCCAGACTAAAGCAGTGAGTGATTTTGCCAACCCAAGCGAGAGCAGATAAGGTGTGCCATAAGCAAGCTCAACCGTCCCTGTTGAAACAAGTACAAGACTGATTAACAGAATCCAGCAACAGAAGTGAATCGACTCTACTTTACATGTGAATTGAACACCAGCCAGACAGATGGTCAATAAAATCAGTTTCCAAAGTCCCAAGTCTGGAGTTTTGGATTTAGCAAGCAAACCATCGCATCTGTTTGAAGCAAGTGCTGACATGACTGTTGTTGGGCAGAGTGACTTGAATCTGGATGCTTGACTATCAACAAAGCCAAATTCCAAGCCATTGATTCATGTTTATTTAATATGTTCGACTGTTTTATAGATTGTCAAGCATCGACAATCCTTTGACTCGAATCAACAGTATTCAATCTTTAAAGTTTAATTCATTTCACAGCACGAATGCTGAACTCGGGATTGGATTCATCTGCCTTGAGGTGTGGACTGGATGGTGTGTATTTGTACCTGTTGTTGATCATCACGACTTGAATAGGAGATGCAGTCATCACACTGGCTTGATCATTAGCAAGTCTTGGGTTTCAATTCATAGAGTTAGTAATCCAAAATAAATTCTATAATTCTGTTAAATCTCACCTCTTTAGAAGTGGTGCGTTCAGTTCGGCCAGATCGTTTGTGGTAAATGTCACAGTTTGAGGAAATGCTCGACGCACATCTCGTTTAAAATACTGGTTGTTGGATACCTTGTAAGCAGTAGGCGCAACATAGTTGGTCTGAGTACTGTATAATGAAGGGTTTAAAATCATTGTTTATAGAATATCAGCCAAATTTAAAAAGGCTGATAATGCATGTCAAGCAACATCTGTAAAAGCAATCCTACGCTGGTGAAACTATACGATATTCTATGGCCTAATATAGAATAATATCATTCACAAAAATAATGCTGAAAGTTAGTTGTCTGATGGCATCTGAAAACATTCTCATCTATACAATAGTCGTACCTGAGGGGCACTGCCTACAGATTTTGGATTCTATATCCAACAAAAATAAGAACAGTTAGTAAAGTAAATCAAGTGTGTCATCAAAAAACAATATCATTATACTAATCAAAATGGCAGGAATGATGTATCTTAATATTGACTGTCAGCAATGGTCAATGCATTACACTCATAAAAAAAGGCTGCTCAGCACAATGCATAGTATACAAATACATACAACACGATACAGCCAATGCAGATCCTTGAGACTCTCTGGAATGCCTCCAAAGTGACGTTCGATAAACCTACGCAGCAACGACATGGTTGGATAGAGTGCATTCAAACCTCGAGAATCAAGTTTGTGATTGTACTGAGCGTATACGATCAACTACAACTGATGTTGCAGTTTTTCGACCAAAGTGCAGATTCCATCATTCAGCTCTACAATCTCATCACACAAATCAATCGCATTATACTCTAATACGTTTAAAATGAATTGACATGAATTACAATTGATTTAAACTAGATAATCTAGCATGAATACAACTGTCATTTGATTTTTGAATAAAGTATCAAATAAAAGTTTAAATGTACAGCATTTGATACACTTTTAATTTGACAATCAATATAGACGATATATAGTCTAAACATTACACACTATTTATTAAACAGCGACTTTTTTTGTCTGGGAATGCAATTGATGTCAGATATCAGTGAATTGGAAAGCGTGAAAGTTGCATTTGAAATTCCAAAAGTGAAGATCACAGCTAGTGAAAATGAGTATGAGAAATCGTCAGCAACCATCGCTCTCGATGATAATATTTTGCAAGTATCGATAGATTGTTGATTTGAATGATATGATCATGTATCGCGACGACAATTGGATTTGCTGACACGACGAGTTGAATAAACAGCCTGCTGTTTGATGAGCTCATCAAGTTTGGTTTTGTTCTGACACGATCATGAGTGTTCCGTCTGCAGTCTGTACGCTAACCTGCAACAATCGTATAGTTTTACGAATGAAGACTCAACATTTCCAAAATGCTAAACAACAATCTGCTACCAGAATGAGTTCAAAACAGCAAAATCATTCTGAAATATTCTCATTCTTTTTGTCATTAACTATAAACCCATTGCAAGGCTGATCATGTCTTCAGCTGAATTGAATGCTATCGACACCACAAATGATGAGATAAACTCCAGTCATTGCTTAAAAAAGGATACAAGTGCACACATTCACAATCCTATTTCGTCAATGTCTTGCCATCTTGATTTGAGAACTTGCTTGAATGATGTTGCGATTCTGGCCGGATCATCCCATGCCTTACTGCCAGTATCCAAAACTGGTTTGTGTTTTTGATATTGCAACTGCTGGTTTGCATTTCGGAGTTGTTTTGGAATGAATTCAGAATAGCTGATTGTGCTTTCTGCTAATTGTTATTAGCTAAACCAAAGTCATTTGCAGAGACTTTGGCGCTGAGATTAAACCAAGTTTCTAATCCCAAATCCAAGCAACTTGACTGTTTTGAAACTTTGGACTTTACTCTGACTACATTGTCCAAACCAGAACCAGCTGCTCAAGCAGAATGCAATTTAAATCTCGTCAAGGCACGCTATGTGCGATCATGCTTAAACTCTCTGGAAGCTGTGGATCTAGCATTGAAAAATGATTCTAAAGAGTCTATTGATGGTTTCAAAGACAGATCTGCAATCGAGACTCTCATGCCAATCATTATTTGTTGGGGAATCGTTCCATCTTTAGATTCATACTCGTCTAAAATGATACAACTTGGCTTTAAACTGCCACAAGGTCCAAATGCAGCCGAGGCTGCTTCTCCCATAAATCCATTAGACACATTTTTGTTTGGTGAATGTCTGGCAACAATGGTGCGAATTTTACTTTCTGAAAGAGCAAGTTATTTGGTAGATTTACTTCGACGCAAATATCTGGCCGCAGCATTACTTTGTGCTATTGCAATACAAACCGAAACAATATCAACTCATCACTCTAGTGATCAATGTCTTGAATCGAATAGTGGTTTTGCTGCATCAGCTTTAGATATCAAAACCACAAAAGCATGTATGGATTCAACTGACTGCAAAGAATTCACCAACTCGTGTTTTTCAAGGTAATGCTTATCAAGTTTATATCTGAAACCATTGATACATATACTAGAATTTAATTTGTATTGAACTTAGACTTGGAATTCGTCTATGTATGGATGCTCTTCTCTCTCTTTTGGCAAGATTACCCAATTATCCTCCTTGTCCAGCATGGCTACGTAGCACCGTTTCGGCGTATCTTTCCTTGTTGATCATGAAAAACAATGGCGTACAAGCTTTAATTACACTTTTGCTTCCAATGGAGGCAAACAGCGATATGTCGTCTACACCAACCATTTCACAGCTTGAACACGTTACACGGCTGCTTTTAACTCCACCCACTGGAATTTCAAAACAGGTAAGATATAATAGTATTGATTCATATCCAGTACAATGTCTAATTTTAAGCACTGTTGAACTCATCAATTTGTTTGAAAAAATAAAGGTGTACTTTGTGAATCTTTCAAAACAGCTATGTGATTTAATCACTGCTGAAGATACAGGCTCAAAAACATCAGCCATCACAGCAAGCTTTACAATATCTAGATTTGTTATCAAGAGTCCCTCTTTGGGAACAAAATTATTTATCAATCCTATAGTTGAACCGCTGATGCGATTTTTTTATAAAAATAATAGGTACTGGACCATATTCCCAATCATTTAAATTGTTGATACTAGCCTATTTATGCATGATCTAACCCTTTAAATGATTTTGGTAGTGCAAAAGGTACCATTATTTCGACTAGTTTAGATTTGGAGGCATCTATTCGCAGTCTTGAACGACTAATATCTGGATGTGAGCCTAGTCACAGTTTGGCAAAAACGCTTGAAAAAGGTGTGTTTTTCAGTTTCAAATCAGCTTATCAATGTCGCTCATTTTTTACTTGAATTTAGTGATTCCTATTTTGTACTATATGTATGAAAAGGCAGCAGCCTCCAAACTAGCCATTCAATCTACTATAGCACAGATACTTGATACGTACTTTAAACTTTCAGATACAAAAGATGTGACCCAGACTTTGTATGATATCTGCATATGTCCTGCAAACAAAATCGTGGCGACCATTTCACACAGTGATCATGGCGGTATCGAGTTTACTGCTTTTCAAAAAGAAAACTTTGATGACGGTACAGGACAGGCACTTTTAATAGATCCAGAATTTTTTTGCATGTTTATATCCAAACTCGATAATTCGGTTGCTGTGGGCGAATTGTTCTTGTTATTTCTTCAAGGCAGTTTGATTGCAAAAAAATCTGACACACTTTTGATTGATGAGATGAATACTAGTTTAACTAGCAAAGTCTCTATGAGTAGTGCAGAGTAAGTTGAATTTCTGCAATAATCTATTCTGTAAGGCCGAGTGCGTTTTTACTGACTTTTATGCTTTGTAGTTTTGCTCATATGCAACATGCTGCAATGATCATTGCCATGATGAATACATTTGGAGACAAACTATTGCATAACACAAGCCAAATTTTAAAGTTTATTAAAAACACGCTTCTTGAATCGGATGTTGATGGCATATCGCTGGCTCTTACTCTTCTTAAAGAGATATTTACTAGCAGTAAGTAGTATAATTAAAGTATATAATTTTCATCCGTATTACGGCAGTTGTGCTTACATGTGTGCATTCCATCAATTGACAGATTCTGTAGAAACTGACCTCGAGACTAAGCAAACGATTTCCGAAATCAAAATCATTATACATACACTAACGCTGCACGAAAACGAAGCAATTCAAAGAATGACACAAGATGTTCGAACCACAATATTTGCTCATTCAGATTCACTAAAATCTGATACTAGTGAGCAAGATGCAACCTTGCGTAAACAAAGCCAAGACTTTAAACATGCATTAAAGGAACTGGCTGATCCTTTGCTGCCTATTCGAGCGCACGGAATGGCGATTATGCGCCAGCTAGTATTAGATCGTGCACCAGTAAGCAAGGAGCACTTGGATAGCATTATCACCATTTTTTTGGATATGCTGGAGGATCAAGACAGTTTTATATACTTAAATGCTGTCAAAGGGCTAAGCACACTGACTGATGTATACGCATCAGAGACTCTTTTGCTGATTTCAAAACGATATACAGATAAATCATTGTTTGATATGGATTATCGTCTACGCATTGGAGAAGCGCTCATGCAAACGATCCAACGCAGCGGACAAGTGTTTCCAAAACATGGTAGGCTTGAATGTATCTTTTTTAACGAGTCATAAATAATTGAAAGATCAAACTCATCCTCTTTATTTAATGCCACTACTAGCTTCAGTGATTTTGCCTGCGGTTCTAGTTGTCATGCGTGATACTGAAAAGGAAATGCGAGCTAGTGCTCTGTCGCTCATGTCTCGTATTGCAGAAACTGCCCCTCTTTCACTTATCCCGTTTATTGAACAGATTACGGATTACGTAGTTACAGTATTGCAGCTAGAGAAAGAAGCCGAAGCGCGACGAGGTATAAACATTACAACTGATACCTTATTTTATGAATGGAAACTTACTGTTGAACTTGACCGCCCTTTTTTCAACCATGTATCATGCTGAAACTATAGGATCTGTAGTTATAATCATTTCACTTGTACGGGCGCTTGGCCATAGTACGATCCAAGTGCTTTCCATGAAATTAGTTCAAAAACTACGCCGTCAACTTCAATACTCTAGTGAAAGCGACAGCGATAGTTTAACTCGCCAACATGCACAATTGGCACTTGAAGATTTCGCTGCTATTCTGCCATTTTAGTAAATTAAATAGAAACTTGACAAGGATTTTATTATTCGACAAACTCGGCAATCTCGTCGTACGCTACCGTCTTGATCACCAAATAAAACAAAGGCATTAGTCAAATTAGCAGTTTTGTATATAAAAAGTAGCCTGTCAATACAAATGCTATTACCTCGATTGAAAAATCTCTTTCTAATTGCACAATGGCTAGATTTTTATCATTTTGTTTCTCCAAAAGTGTCGCAACCGCTCCTTTAAAAGAGGGATCCTTGTACGCTACAATCAAAACACGTTTTCCTGTACTTGGAATATAGGTTTCCAAATGACGCTGACAGATATCTACAAGTCATGAGCTTGTTAGAATGCAAATTGTAAACAGTGGTTGATGTTGAACGCAGTAATATGAGTCAAAACAGTACCATCCAAAAGCTCTCCAGTGCCATCTACACGTACGACACATTCTTCCTTTCCAAGTACATCATCAATCACTGCCTTGCAGTTATAGAATCGTCCTTTTCGATACGATTTGCTTATAATTCGCTACACAAAATAATTGATCACGATCCATGCATTAGCACATATAGCGATATGACTATAAATTGCTTTGTCAACTCTAAATCAAACAACTTACTACACGAATATGGGTTTTTAGCCATGAGATAGTGTTTTGATCAGAGTGTCGGAAAGAGTGCGAGCTTGTTTTTACTACAGACACTTGATCTTTCCATACACGTACTATTTCTTGGCTCTTTGTTAATTTAACCTTGACTACATGCCCTGACGGTTTCTCTTTGACTTCAACAACGCTTCCCTTTAATCCTGAATATCTCCCGTCGTTTATTTGTACCATGGTATCTGCAGAAATTCCATCTATAATAGTTATAACATGATTTAGAACTCATTGCAAAACACAGCCGAGATTTACAGAATTCACAAGTCAATACCTTTATGTGATGACGAGGTGTTTCCAACTTTGTCATGAGAGCTATTTTTTCGTTCTCTTGGGACGTTGGTAGATTTGACAATCTCGGGCTCTGCTAAAGGCTGTTATTCATCCATGCAGACAATAAAAGTGTTCAGCCAATGAGACAACAAAGGTATTGCAGTATTCATGGTAATCTTACATCAGGCAGTCGCTTTTCGCCAGGACGAATGTATTTTTTCTGTTTATGTTCTAGAATTGGAGCAGGAGTTGCTCCTAGGCCAAGCAAATGTGGTCGTGGTTTTACCACAACAGGAGTTAGCAGCCCATTTGAATTTTTCCCAATAGCTTTACCATCGGACCAGCCCATTCCACGCAGCATTGCCTCTCCAAAATTATCAATGGGCACACGTTTATAATCATCCAGCGTACACTAGTGGTTCAATAGTATGGTAAATAGGGTGTAAAATCAGTCAAACCATCAACACATTATATATAAAGCAATACCCAGTCAAATAAGAAATCCTATGTACCTCATCTGGACGAAGTGCAATATCATGTCGATATTTCTCCAGATCTGATTGTAGATTTGCAGCACCTGGAACGGCATTTTGTGCCAAGATGGGTATATGAATCTGCATGGATTCAGAGACTGGTTTTTTCCCATCTGCCTCGTCCATTATTTCTTTGAGAGCTTGTTCCTGAATCGACAATTTTGGACTGGGCTCAACATTTTGATCTACTTCCATTGGCAGATCCGATGCATTGTTTGTAGTCGACATTGCAACCTTTTCCATGACCTGTAATCCAAATCCTAGCTGTTGCTCTGATGGAAATAATGGACGAGATGCCTCGGGTTCAGGAGTTTTGATGCAGTCCAATGAATTGTTTGTTGCAGTCAGAGATTCCTTGGTTCTCCAAACATTTTGTCGAATCAGCGGAATTACTAAAGTAGTATTGTCTTTAATTTTCCTGATTCCGTCCTCATGACTAAGTTTAGTGTATTCAGTGTGTGATGATTAGAACATGGATGCATAATCAAGTCTGCATACTCGAGGTGTTCTGTATTGAAATCCAGCCTACTTACGTCTTGATATCAGAACCTTCGATTTCCAGAATCAATTCATCCTTTCGAGATCGTTTTGAATGGTTATCATCATCTATTCCATCACTGTCACTTTCCGTACCGTCATGTACAAATACTGCTGCAGCATGTCGCTTCATTATGTGAAAGTTGAGATCAAGTCAAAACTCGCCAAATTACTATTTGGGCAAAATAAATTTCGCCCAAATATGCACATGAAATCGATGCAAAGTGAAATTTTTATTTAGCCCGCAATGAAACATCAAAAAAAGTTCAAACCAGCAAGAAAGCCAGCCAAACCTAAAGTGGAAAGTGTCCAGTTTGACGAAACTGCTCGCAAGTGGGTTATTCTTGAGTTGATATGGAATCCACTTGATTAGTCTGATTGAATCAGGCTGCTTTGGCTGTTCTAACAGTTTTCAATCCAATTCAATATGTGATGCTGCAGAGATTTTCTTACTGGATTTCACAGGCGAAAAGTAGAGCTGCATAAGAAAAAGGTTGAAAAGGCTAAAAATAGACAAAAGGAAGAAAAGAGAGAACACAGACGAGAGCGATACAGTCGTCTGGCTGCTGTGATGCCTAAGCTTGAGATCATCGACTCGATTGGCCGCGGTAAAGCCTATTCAGATACTGCTTCGGATTCAAAAGATGCTGTCGAGTCAGTCTCGGTCATTGCTGCTCCGAAAAAGGTCACTACTGTTACAGTGACAGAGCTGGACACGCATAGTCTGATTTAAACTGTTTTCTAGCTAGTATATAATCGAAATATCATTTCAGATCCGATGCCACTCGGTTTCTAGTATTCATGTCGAATAAACTATTTTCTTGATAAGAGTTTATTTCGCTTAAATACGGCAGTGTTGTGAATAGCTTGCATGCCATCAATACAAAGGCTGCCAGTACACTGGTCCAAAATCATGGTGGTTATCAAGCTTAATCTGTGCTAATTCGGCAGGTTTACAAAGATACCAGCATATGCTGAGGATAATGCCCGCTGTTGTGCAATACTGGCACTGTATCCACCTGCTTTAAGCTGGATAGCCTTTCCTTCTACCTTGAATTGCTGAGCCATACTGATCAATGATAAACAATAGGTGTAAGTTGATCAAAAACTTTAAATGAACGCTGCTGAATCATTCAAAAATCCGATCCAAAACATTCCAAAAGCCAGCATGTATACAGTACTTACGGATCTGTATAGTTTATAGATGCTGCATAATAAATAGGCTCACAATACAGCCCGTCAAATGGCTCATAAGTACCATCATCTAACAACACGTCGTATACTGTAGTATCATCCTCGTTATCCATATTCAAGTCAATATGAACATCTGCAAAACGTAATCCTTTTTGGGGTGCCATTTTTAGTTTAGACTTGTTGACAATGTCCATCACATCTGATGCCGATTCTGCCGATGCCTGTTGAAAAGTGTTAGTATATCATCAACCTTGATTGATGCGTTGAGTAGATCCAAAACATACCAGCTGATTAATGATATCTATTTGCTCATGCTTTTTAGCCTTTTCTTCTTCAAGAGCTTGATTTAAATAAGCTTCTTTTCGCAATAGTTTTTCTTTTTTTTCCTTTTCCAATAAAAGAAACGCAGCTCTCTCCTCCGATCTCTATAATAGCAAAAATAAGCAAATGGTTTACAAGTCCAACGCAGTGTTTGCAGGACCAAAAAGAGTTGGTGAAATAGATGCATAAATCCAATCTACCTGGATGGCAATATTTGCAGCAATGATCTCTTTGTTTTCCAATCTAAAGCGTTCAATACGCTCTTGTGTTTGCTGTACATCGACATCATTGATCATGTTGAATACTTGTGGATCAAAAACAAAGTAGTATTCTTGAAGTGTTAGTTTCAAGAATAAACATGCAGTTTTACAAACTCCAAGTTGGATTAAAAAGCCTACAGATTTCCTCGACTTCCTCTAGATAATCATTATACAACCGTAGATTGCCAGCAAAGTCTTCGAGCCGTTTATTGAAACTATACATTATTGAATAGTGATTAAACTCATGACATGAAGCTATGAGGTTGTGACGAGTATTTCAACTTACTATCTGCCAACCTTTTTACGGATCTGAATCTCTTTTTCTACATATAGATCGTCAAATGTTTGCGACACAAAGTTGCTTTTACGTAGAGTGACTTTGCAGATTGGACAAGGGGCAGGACCAGAAAGAAAAAGACGGTTAATGCAGGACTCGCACCTATAAAGTTGAATGGGATGGATAAGCAGCTTATAGCAACAACCAGACACTGAAGATGCCATTTGAATGGCCAACATAAGCCATGTGTTGGATGGAGTGATGACAGAGTAGCAAATACATTTTATGAAAGCAAGGAGAGACCAATAGTCGCATAGTAGGATTCAAGTATCTGTCTGATTTGCATACTGGACATCTCTCGTTATCGAGAGCACCATCAGCTATGCCAGCAGCAGTAGTCATTTACAGTCGTATTCACGCAAAATGAAACACTTTTCTGTATCGATTTTGGATTGATGATTTTGTTCCAGAATAAACGGTCGCTATTGGAGATTGACGATTTCTTTTAATTAAAACTCTATTCTAATATCAGATACGCTCTAGTTCAACATATCTCAAAAATGCAACTCTACATATCAATCACTCAATATTTGATTTAAATCAAATATTTCAAGAGATGTCAAGAATGTAGAATGTATTGAAACAAGGATGTAAAGATTCACTCTGTATTTTTGTACAAGAATGAACATAAAGAAACTAACGAGTTTATAAAACAATATTACCCAATAAGATTAGTACCAAATATGAGATTATCATATAGTTTAGTGTTATACATGAATATGACTGTAAAAAGATAAATATTATCACGTGAATATGACTGTAAGCTTGACAGAATATTAAGCAAGCAGAATTCAAGTTGAGAATGAGAAATCTCAGCAGTGGATTTGTAAGAGTTTGAATTGCTTGCAGACAAGACAGCGAATCCATCTGAGCGTGACTCGAGCCATCCAATGCGAAACATCGAGATTTGCTCATGAGCGCGTATTGATAGAAACGACTGAAGCAACTTGCCATTCTATTCACAAACTACTCATTTTTTACTTGGAATCGATCATTTGCTATTGCTGACTGACTCGCACTAGAAACACTCCATCATGTCACTCTTCACTCCTGCTAATCGCAAAGTCAAGTTTCATTGTCGCTGTACAATCCACGAACTCTCAAATTTGCCCTATGTGTCTGGTCTCTACTTTGCCAAATGGAAACTAACTTCTGGCAGTGCTGCTAAAGGATCTACTCAAAGGTTTGTATTCTTTCTGGATTCGACCATTGCTACACATATCGTACTGTGCGCTTTGATTCCATTTTATATTCCTAGACTCGCTATCAATGCTGCTTTTTGACGATATTACGATAAAAACATCAAATGGCTCGAGTCTGCAACAAGTCTGTAACAAGTCTGCAACTCTATTGGCTCTTGAATACCCATCTAATCAATTGGAGTCTGTCATGTTCCAGTCTTTAGAATGATGACTGCAAATGCAATTCTGCTGTATTCATCAGCAAAAATCTATGGATTCATTACACATACCAACTCAAATTCCTGCTGATCATCAAACCATTACCCATGGCATTTGATTCGTTTTTATGTATCGTGGATAGCTTCGCTGTTGCTAACTCTGCACAATGTGTTTCTTGAATACTCATTTATAATCCATCACAATGGTCTTTACCATAGATCAACAGTCAAGGACCATCAAGTGGTTTGGAATAACGAGTTTGAATTTGAAGTCACCCTCATAATTGGAAAAGAAGACATGATGCTACAATCATCAGATCTACGAATCAGTGTCAAACAAGCAAGTGATTTAATTACATTTCATGAAACTCATTCATAAATAGTATATCTACAGTTTCACTTGAGATGATTTTCATATCTAATCTGACACTCGTTCATTTTGTAGGAGATTGTGGGAACTCGAAATACGGAAAAGGTTGGAATTGTGTTGCTGAATCTGGCCGAGGCTGCAGGACAAAAAACGCTTTCTCGAAAAATACTATTGCAAGAAACTAAACTCAACTCTATACTAAGGGTTACATTGCATATGGAATTGATCAAGGGCGATTCTTCCACATTTCACACGTAAATTACATAGCTTGAATCACAATACATAGCAGACTATAGATTGCTTATACTCATGCTTTCATTGTTCCACGTTTAGCCCTACTGTCAAATCGCGCACTGGATTGGAATCTCCGTTGGACGCCGTCCGCGGAGAAACCTTGGAACGACGGATAACTCAAGAGCCAGGCGCATTTCCAGTTGAAACTGAATCGGTAATATCACACAGCCGTCTATTACCATTTTGCTGCATTGTTTCTTGTGATATAACTAACACTCAACGTGTCGTCCTGATATACCATTCTTTCATAAATGGTTGATTTTCAATCTATTTCCATCCAATGCATTAGACATCGGTGCTTCAACGATTAAGCACTATTGGTAGTTCTGAACATGCTGAAGTTATTGATCAGATATTTGCCAATGCAAACAGGGCGTAGGCATCCCAATGTAGTCATTCTAATCATGCTGTTTACAGCCGTATTCATGTAAAATGGATCACTTATTTATCTTGCAATGACTTTCCTTTGCTTTGAAACAATGGTTAAATATTCGTTGCACCTATTAGAAATTGATTTTAATAGACACCTTCAATTCTTCACAGTATTCATATGATGCTCACATTATGGTTTTAAATCTACTTTTTCATTTGGCATAGCCATACATTGCACGATCACAGATTCATTCATTGCAATCCAGATACTGATTCACCTGTTTTCAAACTCTTACTCACTTGGTGTATCCTAAACTCTCAAATACATTCACGTTCTAATTCAAAAGTAATTGCACGTCTGAGAATGCAACGGGGTTGTTTCCATGTCAATCATTCAATAGTTACTGGTCATGTTTGGCAATGGATTGGATCTTGTAATACGTGTTTGGTGTTGATACACAGTTGAACATGAGCATCAGTAGAGTTTACTAAACCATGCTGTCCAGTAAATGGAGTAGGAACTGACAATGTATTGTACTTTGACATGATTCATGTTTCATTTTAGCCGAATATGGCTGCACCTGTTGCACGCTCACTTTAAACATGGCAATGTTTTTGATATGTCAAGATGTGTGGTTTGATTTATTAAAGACCATTACGTAGACATGGCAGCTGTATAAAACATGATCCAGCAGTAAATGATCCCAACTGCAGAGTAAACTGAAACTGCCAAGAGGGGCAAAAACTCGAATTGGTTCCCAAACACAATGGGATGAAGCAACTCAGCGTGCACAAAAAGTGGAATAAACCCTGCCATATACAGTCGCTCAATACGATGCAATGAAAACGGTCGGACAGCACGACTGTTATCCCATAGTATGCGATTCAATCAACATACACGTATGCAAACTTAGTACTCAAGTCAACAGTTGAATCAAAGCATACCACATGCATGTCAAACCATACCTGATAAAACAGATGGCAAACATCATATAAAGTGATAGTACAATAGATTTTGTGATGATTTCTTGCTTTCCAAACAGTAGCGGAAACAAAGAATAATAGCCGGCAACAGACATGATCAAAAAGCAACGAGCATATTTACGATTGATGGCAACAAAACTAAGGTATATACGTATATTACTGTCAACAAGTCGCATGTAGGACAGACTTGAAAACAAACTTTTAAATTATGAATTGTGTTTACCATAGTGGAATCAAAACAAGCAAGATTGCTTTTTCATGAACATGCCATCCAAACATGTACGATCCGAATCCACATAGAATCAGTGCATTCAAAAAACCATCAGGGGTTGGATTGAACCAAAGCTTTACTAAAATTGGCTATCAAAGATTCAAAGCAATGGTGTCGAGTTAATGATCCAAAAAACAGCTACATTTGGGTTTTTCAAAAAGCTTACCAACTGCGATGCTAAAGTCAATAGTACAGTATGCAGCGGTGTAATCATTGGAAGAATGCTGAATTTGGTATCACCAACCAGTCCACGAGTAAGAGATCCTACATATCTGCCTTGATCTCTTCCCATAATAACACTAGCTAGTATACCGAATTGTAAAGTTGGATTTAAATCAGCTTTAAACATCAAATTTTAAGCTAAAAGGCTAAATCCGACATGTTATTACTAAACTACCTTGCAAAAGTGCACGATCTGCAAATGAATACAATGCCCAAAAATTGGGTGCCCAGTATGCATGGCACAGTCCACGCTTGAATGGAAACAAACGAGATATGATTTGCTGTAAATGCGCTGTAAATGGCCCAAATGATAAAGCGAAAACAGCAATCACTACAGCTCCAAGTGAAAAAAGTCTCAACAATGAAAATTGATATTTTCCTGTAAAGCAATACCCAGATAGTAAATAGATAAAGTATGCCGGTGCTTGATAAAGGTAAATATGTTTGAAATTCAGCACGACTGCAAACAGAATTCCTCCTAAAATATGTTGTCCCTGACAGATACACATATTATAATAAAATAGCGCATATACACATGGTTCAGTTCTACACTAACTGTCTGATTCAAAAAACGACAGTTCAAATTTACCTCGAAAAAGGATGCAATTGAAAGCAATTGAATGCCGTACATGAACGCATTGTATTGAAAATGAATGTGATCTACAATCAAGATACCAGGATTCAAAAACGCCAGTCCCAGCAGTATACTAAAATAACTTTTGGGGACCTTCATTGCATACAACAATCTAAATCGTATTACAGTCCGATTCAAGATACAAATACAAGCGTGTTAGCGGGAACAAGACGGCTTAAACTCGAAACTAGATTATAAATTCAAATTTCCGACTTTACTAACCTAACAATGCCAGCAAAGAAAACAATCTCAGTAGCCATTACTGACATTCGTTGAAATAGTACTGTTTCAAAACTGGCATAGTTTAAATTATTGATCTGAAGCATCCCAGGATCAAAATAGAATGCTATTTTGGATAGTAGCCATTCAAACCATGCAAAGAATGGTGGATAGTCCAGAGTCCATTCCGACGTGGACTAGATCGGATATAAACCAGTATTGGCATTTAATTTACACACATACGAATCTACATGTCGAATACATCTACCTCAAGTCATGGTGTTTATTAACTAGCATACCTCATAGTACCATTGTGAAGTAGGAAGACTACTAGTGATTGCAAGCCAATTGCGATGTACTTCAAAATCAGTCGAGTGACTATTGATATGTTATGAATAAGCCGTTTGATAAATAGATCAAAATATCGTGAATAGATAATGACTGATCAGACCAAGCGGATTACATACTAAGAAGGAACCAAAAGCAGTTTTATGCACAGAGCGACAGCAAACACTCTCCAAACAACTACAAGTTCATCCATGATGGAAAGTCTGATTTTTAATTGCAAAATCAATACCATAAAATGTCCTCAGGAATACAATCAAATTGAATCGAAAGCAAATTATCAAATCTTGAATCGATGTTGGGAGTTGAATCGTCAATGACAGCAGAGTAAGTTGTGTTACTGAAGAATGCATGATTTGTACTGACTTTTGATTGGTTTCTTTAGTGAATCGCTTTTGACTCGGCCAAAAGACGTCAATGACAATCAGCAATTGTTTAGAATTCAGACTGATATAAATACTGATAATACTCAGTTTAGCATCAAGGGTTTGAACTATGCTTCGCAGTATGCCAGTTTGTATTTTGTTCGTTTGAATTTACTTCGTCCTAGAGTTCTTGCTGCTGCTCAAAAACGATGGTCTACTGTTTCATGTAAGCAATCTGATTGTGCGCTTGAATCTGAATGCTGTTCTCTCGAGTTTGAATAGTCTGGTTGGGTGTGTTGATGCGATCGCTGTTTGCCAGTCATTGAACAGTTGAATGATTGATTCTTGAATCAGCTTTACCTCAGCATGTGCCTCGTGTCGTGGATGTTCAAACTGGAGTGTTGTGCTACATTATCGGAACTGTCTTTCTAGATATGTCCGAAAAACCAAATATTTTGGACGAAGTGTCTAGAGAGGTATTTGACTGCATACTCTAGTTTTGATTTAAATCAACATGGACGTATGCATAGTTTAATCTGATTTATGCAATCTTGTAGGAATGGACTGCTTTACCGACTCCAAAAAACAAGTACGTTAGCGAAAAAGATGCTGTTTTACTTGAAGATGAATCTGGCCGGATCGTTTTGACTGGAGATATAATAAAAACTACCGTGTTTATGACGGGTGAGTCTTGAGTAGCTTCCTAATGTCTAGATCAACCAGCTCACATTTATATTTCAAGGAGTGATTGCTGCTTTGCTTGGATCTGAAAATCAAGAAGGCGAATTTCAGGTTTTGGATGTATGCTATGCTGCTTTTGATCCACAACCTCCGCTACCCATCTCGACTGATTCAGGTATAAATGGGTGCAATATATGTTATAGCTGCATCTCGAACCCATTTCAATCATGCTTGTGAATTTCTCTAACCAAACTATTGTAAAAGATCATCCGTGGATTGCGCTTGTGAGTGGTCTTAATTTCGAAGGGGATGGGCAATACGATATGCGATACGAACTCCTTCGAGATTTTCTCACAGGAGAGTCTGGTACGTTTCAAGATCAGTTGAAAATCAGCCATATTTCTCGTCTTGTCATCTGTGGTAATACCATGGCGCAGCTTCACGTCAGTGCCGAAACACTTCAAAAAGCAAAATTGAAATTTCATGGTCCAGATCCAAATGAGTACAATGAATGGGTAGTGGATACAGTAGATCAGTTTTTGGTTTCAGTGGGTCAATCCATGCCTGTAGATGTGGTACCTGGAGCTACTGACCCCACGACGAGTTTTTTACCCCAACAGCCCATTCATTCGTCAATCTTTCACTCGGCATGCAATTTGACAAGTCTAAGCATGGTGACAAATCCCTATACTGCTACAGTTGGAGGCACAAGGCAAGTTCCTTTTTAAAATGCATGTTGTGATATGTTTGAAAGCATCAGAGTATTGGTTGTTCATGTACCAATTCAATAAAGAGGTGGCAAGAATTCTAACATTGGTATGACCATCTCAAACACGATGATTAGTATTCTTGTGGATGCAGGACAGTCTCTTGACGACATGTACAAAATGACAAACGTTGCAGAGGGCGTAGATCTAGCATCTGAAGTGTTGAAATGGGGCCATGTAGCACCCACGGCACCTGACACGCTTCCCTGCTATCCGTTTTCTCAAAACGATCCAATGGTGATCACTGTCCGACCCCATCTATACATTATTGGCAACCAAACTAAATTTGATACCAAAGTGATTGAGTTATGTGGAGATGGCGAACCGACTTTGGAAACTACTCGGGTGATTCTTGTACCTTCATTTTCAAACACTGGTACTGTGGTACTGGTGAATCTTGCCACGCTGGATTATAAAACTGTCGAGTTTGGGACCTGCATTTAAACTATTTTTAAGCATCAATGTAGTAGCAATTTGGAGGTGTCGCATTCACTATGTTGCAAAATAAACCAAGAAATGAACGCGAAATAAAATATAAAAAGACTTGATAACTAGACTTTCATGATTCTACCTCCCCAACTTTTTAATTTTAAAATAAGATTTCAGGTAGGTGGTTGTGATATTCAGCTAACCAATGACAAGTTTGTCATCATCCTTGATCTCATAAGGAGGGATTTCCATGTTGAGTGGTGCAGGGCCCTTTCTGATACGACCAGAGATGTCGTAGTGAGATCCGTGACAGGGGCAGAACCAGCCGCCATATTCACCAGCTACCGAGTTTAATTAACAGTAATATTCAAATGAGTGTTGTGTACAACAACGAATGTGACATTCAATATAAAACACACCTTCTCCGAGTGGTACACAACCAAGATGTGTGCAGACGCCAAGCATGACAAGCCATTCGGGTTTCTGAGTGCGATCAGCATCAGCTTCACGGTCACGCAGTTCATCAAGATTGACAGTGTTGGCTTCAGCAATTTCTAAAAGTAGAATGAATGCAGATGGGATTAAATTTCCAACAGTTGAATTTGAATTTGAATGAATCTGATTGATTCTTACCTTGAGCAGTTCGGTGACGAACAAAGACGGGCTTTCCGCGCCACTATCAAGTAGAACAAAGGTTATAGTGAATGGTTGATATAAAGTTGATCAGACTAAAAGTACCTTGAGGACCACATTCTTTCCCTCAGGAATAGCAGCAAGATTGATTTCGACCTTGGCAAGGGCAAGAACGTCAGCAGAAGCAGACAGATTCAACAAGTAGTCTGTGACAATGTTTTTTGCCGACATGGCACCAATAGCGCTGAGATTACCGACCATGAAGTAGGTGAAGTTGCGAGAAGCCTGATCGTTGTAAGTAGCAGGATTTTTTTTGTAAGATTGCTGGGCAGTAGGAGGGGCGGTAACGTCATGGTCAGCATCAGCGATGGTGACAGGAGAAGCAAAAAAACGTTTCTGTTGGAAAGAAGAGCGGCCTAAGATACAGATCGAATGGTTTATAACATTGACAAGACCACAAAAAAAGGAGCGTGATCACACCAACATGCAAGGTTAGAGAAACAGAGCAGAGTGACAATAGTGCAGAGTGTAAGTTGAACAAGTGGGTTAGAACCAGAAAAGTCAAGCAGCAATCCATGGATAGATACACATGTGTTATTATATCATCAGTGCTACCAAGTGTACGCACCAACAAAAGTAGTTTTTACAGAAAGGGAAGAGCCATTCAGAGAAGCACGGGAGCCAGAATGAGCAGCAGAAGGACCTCCATGAGAGGAAGTGACAGTAGCAGAAGCAGCGACAGAGGGACGAGCAGAAACGACTGTCCAGAGAGTCTTTGCAGTGGTGCGCAATGACATTGTGATGAAATTTGTAGCAAAACACAAATCTTTGGAATGAATTGTTAAAGCTGGATTCACGCAAGACATTAAATAAGGGTCAAAAATAGTCTGTTAATTCTTATTATTCTTATTAAAATAACAGTTAATACAAGTTAATAATACTTTAAACAAGTTGATCGTATAAATACTTGAAATGGTTTTGTCAAATGTAATGTTTTAATAAGAATATAAAAAAATGATTTGACGTGACTGTAAGACTGCTTTACAGATCTGTTCAGTTCTTTAAAATCAACTTGAATTTATTCCTAGTATTGCAAATCATGTGTATTACTACTACTTGCTGCTTTGGTATGTTTCTAACATTTCTTATTCAATTCATTCTCTTGCTCACGACCTTTATTCAATTCTTATAGCATTTCAAAGATTAACTCCATTCTGTGCACGAACTTACGCAACTCATTCCATTACTATTCAAACTTATTCTCCTGCCGTTGCTAGCATCATTGGACGCTTTTCTTTATCAAAAGATGTTGTTTCTACAATCTCTCCTTCTGGTATGCACTGCTTTAATGTCTAACTTGTGTTTCTATACACTGCAATTTCTGAATGTTCTATTCTAACCCTGCATTACTTGGATCATCTCATTCGGTTGCTTAGGTCCAAAAAACAGACTGTTAAAGGGTGATGTATTGGCATATTTGAGCAACCCTACAGTTGCTTCTCACAAATCTGTTAGGGTTGACTCTCAGTTTCAACCTGTTGCCATACAAGCTACTGTCGACGATACTCCATTTTACCCTATTCCCGTTATACATCACTCACTTCATGTCAATCTTTCTGCTGTTTCGGATATTCATGGTAAACTAAACTTTAACCAATCTGCGTTGATCGTAAAATATCATTTCTTATCATTGTCGCCATAAATAGTTACTCATTGATTTATTCTGTTTATTTAGGATTACCAAGTATTCAAGACGCTGTCGCCAGTGCTGTCGCGAATGCATTGGTTGAAGCACCCGATGGTATTTTTTATTGTATTGCAGTTTGGTGATTAACTTTCTGATCACATACTACTGATATACTAATTCGTTGGTTGATTCCATTAATGGTTAGTAAATGCACAATTTAAACTAGCCAGTAATTCTGCCATGGTTCATCCATTCGAACGCATTCTTCTTGTTCGTGATTCTGCAATTGGACAGTCTAGTATGATCATTCCTGCTGGAAAAAAGACCACCCGAGCATTTTTATCTCGTAAATTCGTCGACTCCAAGACAAGTATCGAAGCCTTGAATGTTTTCCAGTAGGCAATGTGTTTAGATCCATGTTTGATGCGTAAATACTTTTATTGTTCTAATCTAGAATAATACTTTATTCTAGATTGAGAGATTATATCGGATCTCCAAATACAGAAACACCCACCACGCCTCTGTCTTTATCCAATACTGCTATTCTCACAGTGCATATTGAAAAATCTACCCCCTTTCAATCTGCATCAACTGACAATACAAGCAATGACATTCTGGATACGTTGCTAGATTGCAACCATTGCTCACCAATTGCTACCGCTATAGATGGCAATGCACTGTCCTATCAAACTGATGACGCAAACCAAGTGACTACTGTTTTTAAATCAAACAGTAGTATTTTTGATGAATTGGTTGGTCAACTGCCTACAGTTTGCAAAGTGCAACCCAACTCTGTACTAGTGTTTGATCTTGCAGTCGATGGTCGGGCAGTGAGTACAAAATCAGCTCGTGGATTTCTAACCAAATTGCAAAATCAACTGCAAGCTTAAAAACTATCATCCTTTGACCCACTTTTTGAATTGCACGAGTATTTTACAAACCATGTCCTAGTATCATAAAGTATTGCAATGATACAGTCATCTAATACAAGTTTCAATAAAACAGTCCAACAAAGCAGTGAATTATAAAACCTATTTGAATCACATGTATTTATATCACCCGTGCTTTACGTTCAAACAAGTATGTAAAGTCTACATTCATAGATCAACTACTGCATAGCCAACCTCCAGTGAAGTAAATTGCAACTTTATCTATTCATCCAAACTTTGAGTTTCCTGGTGCACAATATCTAATAGTGTTTGTGATGAATCTACTAATGTGGAATATGCCATTTCCGTTTCCTATGATACGTTTCAGCAGGTAAGACATCGAATATGGGTTGAACAGCTAGACTCCATTTCAACAATCAATTCTACAATAAATGCCTTGCCTTGATTAACTTGTCATATTTAGCCTTTTTATCAAGAGACTAACAATTATAAAAAATGAAACTCACGTTAATAGTTTCTGGACATGAAACTACACAGATGCTCTAGAACAGAGTGCCAGATTCAATACAAGTGAAATATACTTTTGCAAGTGCATTTTGAGCCAGTGTCAGATCTTCCTGAAGCTGTTGTATTAATGAATGCAGTTCTTGACATTTTGACTCATGCTCGTTACAATCCTTTTGCAGACTACAGAAACCCGCCAGCGCATTCTAGTTAGATTCAGAAAATAAAATCAGAACTGCTCAAAATAAACTCACTGTTCTCTTCGCTCGTAGGCCAGCTCAAGTGCTATAGAATAAAAAGCCCAAGTTAGAACAAAAATATAAATATAGGTCGCATCAACACATACCTTTTACAATCTCATTGTTGCATGTTTGTAGATTAGATGCTCGCATTCTCCAGTAAAAGAGTGAGAATGCTGTTGGATTCGGTTTGAATTCTATAGTCACGTGTCAATCACGTGTAAAATACACGGATCTTCAAACAGCTCGACTTGCAGCAGTTTCCATCAAACTGGATATCTGGCATGGCATCGACTGCTGGACAAGCTGTTCTTGCTTGGGTGAGTTGATTCCTGCCCAGACTCTGCTGTTTGGATTGTATAAATGCATTTTAGTCGAAATATACTCATTAGCCTACATGCTTACTACTGACGCTTAATCTAGATTCACACATTTCCCAGCCTCAGCACTCCTCCTACTTCGCTTTCTGACTTGACTGATGGCAATGTTTTTTTAGAAATTCTTTCTGAAATGTATGTTTTTGTATTCAATCGCATTCACAATCCTATCGTAAAATTGGCTACTTTTGCTCAACTCTGAAACCCAACAAGTGGCGTTATTTGGTTATAAACGGATTGTCAAGTGTATAGTTTATTGCTCTACTTTGTCATTGATACTAATAGTTTGAATCCAAATAGCGATCCAAAATGGTTTAAAATATCAAAATTACCAGATTCTAGTGACAACTGGGTGCTTAAATTCAACAACATCAAGCGATTGTTCAAGTTGATTAGCAGTTACTTTGAAGAGTTTCTTGGTCAGAGTATCGAGAATCTTGATATGGGTGGATCTACTCTGGAAAGTATTGCAAAAGGAGATCCTGAGCAAGTTCTTAGATTGGCACATCTTGTAATCGCTCTCGCCGTGCAGACAGATAACAATCAAAACCATATTGCAAAAATACAATCTCTCAATCAGTTTGATCAGCATGAGCTGATGGTCGCTATTGAAACTGTATGTAGCAAACTACTGCTGGATTCAAAACTGTCTATACTAGACTAAACACTATCTAACGACCCGTTGTTTCGTATCAATTCAATGTTAGGTCATGTCATCTGTAACTGAACAGGAATCAAATTCTCCAACGTAGGCAACGTTTTCATTCATGATATTACTTTTTTAATTGCATTCACTACAACTACCAATTCAATAATACTAGTACCGAGAGGATGAATATTCCACCCACTACAAAAGCACATCTTGAGCTGGAGGCTTCTGTAAAGGAGCTACACAAGGATCTTGCCGAAACCAAGAAAGCAAATGTAGGCTCAATTCCACTTTGAAGATATCTGGTGGACTGCATTTACCACGGTTTAATGTGTTTGCAATATAATACATTTAGGAACGACTGCTATCTGAAAAACAAGAAGACTTGATCAAAATTGCAGATCTGGATCATACTCTTACTGAATTCAAATCTGCTGGAAATGTTGATTTTCTTTTGCGTTCAGAGATTGACAAACTTAAAGCTGAACTGTATGCATTTTATTTTTAATAATTTTACAATGGCTTGACATTTAAAATATGACAATCAATATTGATTTAAACTTGATCACTAGTGACAAGTCTGAGACTCGGCGCATTGAGCTGGAAACCATCTCTGAGCTGCAAGGACAAAAGCTTGATGAGACCATGAAAAAGGTCATTTTATCGACTTTAGCTTATTTGACGCGCTGCATCTTACAAAATCTAAACCTGTTTTTATACGTTATCTTATTTAGGTAGATCATTGTACACGCATGGAAGCAGATATTCAGCATTTAAAGGACCAGCTTGACGAGTTTCGCCATGCCGCTGACAAACTTCAAAAATCTGAAGCAATGGTTGACAAATACAAGAAAAAGATGGACGAAACTACCGATCTTAAACGAACAGTCAAGGTAAATTCATTGTACATTTTGATAAACTTCAAAGTCGGTTCATTTCAAAACTTCTTGACACTGTTTTGGACCATCGTGCTATTGGACGTTTCATTTTGATAGTCATTGGAAGAGCAACTGGTTGCCAGTGAGGGTCGCAACGGAATGCTTGAAGACGAGTTTCGCAAAGCAAGCGCAATGAAGCAACTTGTCGAAAATTACAAAAAGCAAGTTGCGGCATTAGAAGAAAAGGCGAGTAGTACGCATGTGGACAACACCAAACTCACTTTCTTGCTATCCGAGGCTGATGCCAAAGTAAAACGGTATGACGCTGAACGGTCTCGCGATCAAGATCTCATTCAAGATCTTCAGGAGCGTATGCGCGATCTTGAATTTTCTGGTAGAGTTTAATCATCATGAAATTCGCCTAAACTGTCCAAGCCATTTGCTTTGTACATCTAATCAAACCATCATTTCTTGTTGACAGCGGATCTTGGCACCAAATTTGCCACAGAAATTGCAGCAGCAGAAGTGGGAAGTGAAAGCAAAGACATTAGGTATGTTTATAATAATTCAATTGCAATCCATGTCTTGTGTCAATTTCCTATAGCACAGTCTAATGCAACGTGTCATGTTCAAGAACCCATAAAATTCAACAGCTTGAACAGGAGGTTGCTCGTCTTCGCCAAGAACGTGCCGAGGACAGTAAGCGTATCGGCAAAGTAGTTGTTCTTGAAACTCTTTTAGAGGACACTAATCGACTTAAAACCAAGCTTGAAAAGGTACTATTACAACGCCTTGATTTATCAACACTAGCAAGATGTTTCATTTAATATTCGGATATGTCGTGTATCATCACCTTTTACATTCATATAGGACTATCGCCACGTGATTGAGCTGAATATGGGATTAGAGAGTCAAGTTAAACAGATGCAAAGCATGGATAGGTGAGCCTGTTTTTTAAAATATGGCTTGAATCTACGCCCACCTGAACTTTTAAATGTGTGATTTATTAGTGTGGATCATATCAATGACTCTACCACGAGCAGACTAAAATCGGTCGAGGCTGAGAATGTGCAATTGAAAGCTCAGCTTGCTGGCACATTAGACCCCGCTAGCCATAACAAGGGGACTGGTACTTTGCCAGTTACTGAAACTGAACAAATGCGCAAGAGAGTAGACCAACTCTTGTCTGAAAATCGTTTGCAATCTGTTCGTATAAACAATGTTCTTATGGAAAAGGAAACATTGCAGTCGGCTCAAATTGACCTAAAGGAGCGCATGCAGCATATTGAGCGTGTTAACAGGTGTGTATATGATTCAAAGTTGTTGATTGAGTTGCGTGGTTTCGTATTGCTAATCTATGATGGTTGGTAAATGTGTCACAATGGCTGATATAGCGAGCTTCGCTCTTCGCTCGCTGCAATGGAGACCAAGGGTCAATCTTCAGACGAGACAACCCAAAAACTTGGCACTGCCACCCAACGGCTTGTACAATTGACCGATCAAAATGTGCACTTGCAAGAGTCTCTTAAAAAGGCAAAAGAGGTACCCATTTTGTTATATATTCATATGTTTTAGCTATGCTGCATGTGTGAATCTATTTTAATCCATCGCTATTGTTTTATGCTATAGCACATTTTCAATCAAGAAAAAAAGATTCGTAGTCTACAAGAATCCGATCAAAAGGTAATTTTGATGTTGGCATGTATTACAAAATAGCTTGTGACCAACATAGTATTGTTGATTTTGAAAATACAGGACTACTTTAATGAAGCTCTACAATCGTTACAAGCCACAGTGAAGCTCAAGGAAATGGAACTTGAGCGATCCAAGCGCGAAGTTCTTGATACTCGTGCTGCATCTCGACGAGAACAGCGCCTGGTTGTATCTGCATGGTATGAACTGGGATCCAAGATTCAGAAAAACACACCAGGTTCCAAAGGCAGAGCGATTGCTTCTAGTTCATGGCTTGGCCAACAACGACAAAACTTGGATAGTCCACGATCAGCTCGATACCGCTAAATCCTCGCGAGGATTCTCTGATTTCTCGACAATACAAAGCATAAACTTGACACATTCAATTATGGTTGCTTCCCAACTTGTAATACAATACGCTTTGTTATGAGATTAACTTGAAGATGCCCAGACATTGAAAAATTAAATTTTCTATTATACAACTATTACTGAGTTTCAGATCAATCGAGTATATTGGTTGTTGGGAAAGCAGATATAAGACATTGAATTGCATTGATCAGAAACCATGCTGGCATATCAGACTGTAAAATCAAGGTTTAAGACTGCTTATGGACGCATGAAGAATGTGCGCTACCTTCAAGTAGCGATTGTTGGTGGAGGACCAGGTGAAAACAATCAGTTTCATTGGACTGTCCAACAAAGCAGTCATTTAGTTGAACATCTGCTAATGCATTGATATTTGGCTATTTCAACCAATTCATGATCCAGCTGGCTTTTATACAGCATCGCAACTGCTTAAATCCAGTCATGTCAAAGTGGACATGTATGAACAGCTTCCTGTGCCATTTGGCTTGGTTCGATATGGCGTTGCTCCGGATCATCCTGAAGTCAAAGTATGTGGCTTGCACTCTATTGATGTTGACATGCTGGTGTTACAATGCATTGATCTAATCCTGTATGGCTTTTGTAGAATGTTATCTCAAAATTCACCAGTGTTGCCGAGCTGTCTAGATTTAATTTTATGGGAAATGTAACAGTTGGCACAGATATCAGTCTCGATTCACTCAAGTCGGCATACGATGCGGTGGTGTTGTCTTATGGATCGACTGGAGAGCATAAACTAGGAATAGAAGGAAAGATTGGACCATCATCCAACCTTTTTACATCCCAAGAGTTTGTTGGATGGTATAATGGTCATCCTAAACACGCTAATCTCAAGGTGGATCTTTCATCAACCGACACGGCAATTGTAGTTGGTCAAGGCAATGTAGCACTTGATGTTGCTCGCATTCTGTTATCGCCTATTGACAAGCTTGCGCAAACCGATATTACTCAGCATGCTATTGAGGTATTGTCATCAAGTCGTATTCGACATGTTCATGTGGTGGGTCGTCGCGGACCTGTGCATGTGTCGTTTACTTCCAAGGAGTTTAGAGAGTTGGTTGCACTCTGCAATACGTATCTTGAACTAGATCATACTTGGCTTGAAACTCAACTGACTTTGTATGCTGATGTTTTGAGAACTGATCGAGCAAGGCGGAGACTCATGGAGCTGCTGGTCAATGCGTCCAAAAAAAAGCCCATTACTACGGATCGTGAATCTGACAAGAAACAAGTCTTTCTCGACTTTTTGCTTTCGCCCTACACATTGCTGACTCATCCAGAAACAAATACAGTCACTGGAATCGAGTTTCAAAAAAACACTCTTGTAGGAAAAGGGCTTGATCAACGTGCAGTAGGACTTGACACGTTTCATCAGATCCCAGCAGGGTTAGTTGTCTCCAGCATTGGATTCAAAAATGAACCTTTTATGGGATCTCCATTTGATAGCAAACAGCGTATTATTCCCAACATTCGTGGACGTGTCAAAGATGAACATGCACTGTATTCCTCTGGTTGGATTAAAACTGGACCAAAGGGTGTGATTGCATCTACAATGTATGACGCATACGAAACTGCCGAAAGTATTTTGGAAGATTTCCCGTCCACGTATTCCAACTTTAAACCAACGCAGGCATTACATGACATTCGTACCCAACTCAAATTGAAAGGAATTCGCACCACCACATTCCAAGACTGGCTTAAACTGGATGACATCGAAATCACACGTGGCCATCTGGCATCAAAAAAGCGGGAAAAGATTGTCACTGTAGATGATATGTTTTCTGCTTTATTAAAAATCTCGTAACAGCATCACCATTTGATCTATACGCATTTCTGATATATGAAGCTTTTTCAAAACTGTGTTGAGATGAGCCAGGTTTTCTTGATCTGTAGTTGTAAGTTGAGCTTCCCCAGATAGTACATCAGAGCGATTGGTTTTTTCTAAAAGAAGAGTACGGTCAAGAAGCTCTTTGGTACGTCGAAGCTTGATTCTGTGCAAGGTCTTGTATGCATTGGTAAGAAGAACGGTACACGTTCGCTCAATAGATACATACCATAGAAAAAACGTACGAGAGGCAGAGTGGTCCATTGTCTTTGGCACATCCTATAAAGCATAATAGTGGGTTGGTAAAAATCAGTTGGGATGCCACAAGATAGCTGTATCTTTAAATTCACCCAAGATGCCTCGTCAAAACCCATGACTTACTTGCAAATAGACGAGTCCTTCTTTTAGCATTGTATAAAGACACTCACGAGCCACTTTGTTGTTAATCATGGCTTGCTTACCAACCTATTTAAAATCATTTTATCCAAAATCAAAATCCTATTTTAGTAGGTACATTTAAACGTAGCTATGTAACTACTAAACAACTCGATCCAATTTCAAACTACATTATCACAGTTGTTTGTTTGTATAGCAACTTGGATATGAGTCGAATAGATCAAACAACAGCCATACCTGCTTTTCGTCTAATTTTTGCTTCATGTAAAGCAGCCGCCAAATACGACGACACACATCTCCAAATTTCTCCTGAATGATGGATTCAATTAGATCTATTTGCATCACACGAACAGAGTCGCGTAGATTGATGGCATAAAGAGTTCCGTTCAAGTTTGATACGATTTTGGCTCGTTCTGATACAAGTGCTTCAATATATTCCATGGCGGGATCATTGGAATGGCCATGAACATGTAGTTCTTGCCCTCGAACCAACGTCCCGATCATTTCACGACGAATTGACGCTTTTTAAAATATATCAATGCAATGAGTTTGAGTTTCAATATAAATCGTATAGATTGACACTGGATGTTCAAAGCATAATAAACTCACGAGACAGGGGCTCTTTGCATGAATTCAGCTGAGAATAAGTGTGATCTAGCATGGCTTTGATCAAGCGTCCTGCTGTATCATTGACTCGCTGACTAGCCAACTCTGCAATTTTCTATACATTTTATAATCCAATAAATTGTAAGAAATTACATACATCAAGTCAAAAAGACAATATAGACTTGATCAGCAAACATAAAAAAGATTTACTTGCATCATTGCGAAGCAAAATATGGAATCGTTCAAAATCAACCGCATAGTAGTTTGTGTCCTGTAAAAATATTGATGATATAGTAAGCATCGATAAAATACATTATAGATCTCACATTATCGGCAGTATATTTAAACTGTTTGTAAATGTTTATAGCAAAAGCAAGTCTTACATGAACAATAGAATACAAGTCACCTCGTAATTTCTGTAATTCCAAACCATCAAATACTTGGCAAGTTAATGCATAAATCCACTATGCGCAGTAAATGCAGAGCTGTCTAGTTTTATCTGTATACGTTACCTTTCTATTTTCTTCTTCTTCAAAATCCAGCACTTTACGTTTCTATTCAAAGCCAAAATGTTGAGTTGGTATAATCAGCTTGGATTCAATGTGCGTATAACCAAACAATAGTACTAACTGTTCCAGAACTGGGAGTTTGAGCGTAATTTGAACGCTTTTCTGCCAAAGATTTTCGCAGCTTGGCCAGCTCGGTCGACGATAACGGTGCACCGGCACCAGTATTGGCAATCGCCTCTCGCTCTTCCAGTATATATTTATCATTAATGGTCAGACTGTCTATAGCTGACACAGTACGTACAAATCTTCCTTGAACCAACTTTTCCATGCAGGCTGAAATATCTTTTTCTGTGAGTTTGCATGATTTAAGAAGCTTTAACGGTGCTAGATATCCGGCCTCGAGCACTTTGCTTATAATCAGTCCAGCCTAGAAATATTGAACAGTAAATCAACCGAATGGATGGAAATGCAAGATCGAATCTACGACAAATATATAGCGTACATTCACTCCAAGATGCGTCGACGCAGTGGAAATATACAATGCAAAGCGATCTCTAAGTAAAATCTCCTTGATGTTGGCCTCATAGTATACCACAACTCTCATTCCTTCGGTATTTTCAGCAAACGTAACTTGATGATTTTGAATAAGAATGAACAACGATTCACGAATGATTTTGATGGGTAGTTTGGATGACTGAGCAATCGCTGCCAAGTTACTTCGTCCTTTAGAAAGTAAAACAAATCCAACTTTCTATAAAGCATTATTTAAAACGATTAGTTCATCATTAGCACATGGAAGCTGTGAGTATAACCACATCGATAATCAAAAAATCAATACGAAGCCATAGCTCTACTGTAGTTGATTGACTCTAATATCAGTATATGAAAATACGTTCAAAGTGCTGTACAGTTCCATAATGTGATTCGCATCAATCAATTCATTTATCCAATACTATACAATAAGCAAGCCCACCTGAACCAAAGATCCAAAATGCTCCTTTAAAATCTCTCCACAGAGACCAAGTTCAATTTTAGACATTATTAAAATATTTCTTGTATGGACTGTCAAGTCTGTAAAAATCCGATAGAAATATATGCAAAGCTTCCGAGTTGTTTAGCCAGCAATGTCGTTTAACAAGTGGATTGAAATGGACAAGTCGATATTTTGCAAATTTTACAAGAAATAAAATCCAAGAATTTTGGTGATAATCTTGGACTGGCCTTGCAAAACCATTTCCATTCAGACATGCTTCGATTCTTGCACACTTGTGAGAACCTAAAAACCACCAAGCGAACTGGGTGGGTTGACAAGGAAATACCCGGTGCTGAATCCATTGGCGATCATATGCACAGAATGGTGTGTTCATGTTGCTTTGTAATCCACTACTCTTGCTATTCTAAATCCAATGCTCATGATAAACCACTTATTTATAATCCAACACATGTTCAAGACTACAATGCAATTTGAATGTTGTGTTTTAATTGCAAATACTCACGAAACTTTGCTAGTTTAGTCTATTATTGCTATGCTCATCAAAGATCCAACAATGGATAAAAACCGACTCATTAAAATGGCAATAGTGCATGATCTTGCAGAAGCAGTGGTAGGTGACATTACTCCATATAGTGGAGTAAGCAAGAAAGACAAACAGCAACGGGAGCGTGATGCCATGGCGTTGTTTGTAGAAAACCAAGGCAGATCCTCGGAAATCTTGGAAATTCAAGCGTTATGGGAAGAATACGAAGCTGGATCGACAAAAGAGGCTTTACTATGTAAAGATATTGACAAGGCAAGTTTAAATTTTAATTTCCAAGCCAAATCCAAGTTAAATCCAAATAGCTAACACTTTAGTTGGCAACAGTTTGAAATGATTGTTCAAGCGCTAGAGTATGAAAAGCGGACAGGCAAAAGACTACAGAGTTTCTTTGATTTCACCAAAGGAAAGTTTATGCATCCTGAAATTCGTGCCATGGTTGACGATCTTTACAAGGAGCGTGAAACGGATCTTGGTTTTAGTTGCTAATGCGCTGGGTATCATCTATTCTTGACGCACCAAAGCACGATCGACCTTCCTTTATATGATTTGACACTCTGTCATGGTGATGCCAGTTTTTTAATATACAGAATTTGGTTCATCACATTCTAAAAATAAAAATACTTACTCATCTATTTCTTTTTGAAGCTTGAGCCATTTTGATATACTATGGATGCTTTTTGGGTCAAGATCAATCAATCGCATTCGATCAAATTCCATAGTGCCATCGCTATTGTAGATTTATGGCAGAAATTCATATTAGACATCTAAAATCAAAGTCATACAATCCTGTATATAGAATTCATACCTATTATTTGCTTCAAACACAAGCACAATTGATGCATCTTTGAGGGTCATGGATATTAGAAATCTGAAAATCAAACGCATCTGATTCGTTGTTAGTTGATTTAATTTACTGTTTGAAGTCTCTCCTATGGGGCTGGGAAAAATAAACGGTATAGATGTGATTGAGCAGCTAGGTATATTTCTGGTTGGTTTTAGAATTTCATTACAATGCTCAATCAATAGTGCGTCGATTGTGCATTTATCATCGTCAGATAGTTGACGAATTATATCTTGCACTGTAGCTGGACTAGCATGAAACGCGGATTGATAATCCTTGAGGGATTCCAGCAAGGAACTATCAAACAAAGTTTGTGCAATCAATTCGATAAAAGCATCTGACGATCCAAAGCATTTCTTCAATGTTGAGTAATACTGATATTAAAAATAGTGATTAGTACGCATACTTTTAGTTGTAAATAGTATCATTTCAAAACAAAAATCAACTGTGTATCAGCATTAAGGTATTCCATCAAAATCATTGACTAACGCCAGATCATTTACCTGGTCAAACTCCACAGACATGCCATTATCAAAAAGCTTTAAATTATTTTGTGGGGTCTGTAATAACGATTGAATAGCAGTTTTAATATTGTCCTTGTTTCTTGAAAATAATAGTAATGGACAATACTTGCTGATGTTACTCCCATCTTGTTTTGATTTGATAATCTGGTGCATACAAAATCTACACAACTGTCCATTTGCTTCAGGTGGTCGAAACCCCCATTTAGGCTATTTCTGATGTTAGCATGAACTCATCAGCCTCTCGAATAGCTTGCAGCCATTTTCAGATTGACAACAGATTATACCTTGATCTCTATGGCGAAAGATCGAGACCGTCCATCGTTCGAGCCAATCATTGTGTTTTCCATGATCATGACGGATTTCTGAAGGATATCGATGTTTTTATAGGTTCGAATCGAGTTTCTTTGTGATATTATGCTGGCTGCAATTTTAGACAATAGAGCCGGTGTAGTCGAAACCAACGACTATATGCAAAGTACAAATGAAACACTAGTTATTTAACTAGACTTGTGAATTTAAATATCCAGACAACAGTTTCATGTAGAATGAGTATAATAGTAGATACCATTTCTGGTAGAAAAGGTTGTCCAAACAGCGACAACGTAGCGCATATCTGGTAAGCCTGCTGATCAGCAACACTGAATGGCAATGGCTTTAAATTTATTCCAGACTCCTTGGCCAATCTCAGCACAACTGTTTTCGAGTTTCGAGGCGGATTGCATATAGCAACAATCACATTGGCATTTCCTTCTCCAATGACTTGCAGTAAAGTATCCAAAGATATCCATTGATCCAAATCAGGTTTTATCCCAAATCCATTATACCAGTCCATTCTATTCCTTTTAAAACCCTTTGTTTAACCAACTATGCTTCTGATTGTGGTTTGGACGATATAGAAGTTTTGAGAAAAGACAATCAAAGCGATTGCAAAGCAACTTTTGGCAAAACTCAATCATGATTTCGGTCATGTGATAAAATGTGGCCAAACTAAGCAATATTTGAAAATGTGGCGAATTTATTGGTTGTGTGACGCCTGACTTGGCTGAAACTGACACCAGAATCAGCAACTGCAATCAAACTTGGCCTAAACCAATTAAGCATCTCTATAAACTCTTGTGTCTGGAAACCTACTACTTATCCTCGTCTACTTTACTATAAAATATTAATGGTCCGCTCAAAGTTCAAGGACGACCATCCATTTGGTGAGTTTGTCACTTGCCTGTTATGCTCAACTTTGCTGGTCAAGTAGCTGGGATTGCTACTATTCCAGCCTGCTATAGACATTGAATATACATTTTGACTAGAAAGAAGTATCAGTGAGTTTATGTTGGCACAGACATAATAGAAAAATCATGTATTGATTGAGGCCATTGTTCGAGTCCAGGGTGTAGCTTAACTTCTACTAATTAGACAGGACTTGCCAACTTTCCGTCTGCTACTGTTGTCAATATGTTTTTTCTCTGTTTAAGGTGCTTGATGTATATACACTCTAGCTATTAAGCTCACTGATTGTCATTTTCTATCATTTTCGGTTATGCTGAATGTAATATTAGAGAAGCGAAAGCTCGAGGCAGACAGAATCAAGGAGAAATATCCGGATAGGATCCCATGCATTGTCGAAAAGGCTGAAAAAAGCGACATTCCGACTATTGACAAGAAGAAATATCTGTATGTTGTTCAATTCAGATAGTACTCAAGTTTGTTATTGATGTACACTAAAAACGTAGTATTAACCATCTCGTCTGGATCCTTTGTAGAGTGCCTTGCGATCTCACAGTTGGACAGTTTGTCTGGGTAAATTAATCTCATAGCTTCAAACCTGCTTAATCCAACTGACAATACCTTATTGAACCACATTTCATGGTCCGTTCTAGGTTATTCGAAAACGCATTAAAATGAGTTCCGAAAAGGCAATTTTCATATTTGTAAACAATGTTCTGCCGCCAGCTTCATCACTTTTGAGTGAGGTGTATGCACAACACAAGGATGAAGATGGGTTCCTCTACATTGTATATTCTTCAGAAAACACGTTCGGAATGGCTCTGCCTATGCGAATTTAGGCTTTCCCACTTTATTTTTCTTACCCCCATTAAACTCTTCTTTGTGCACTCTTTATCGATGCTGTTAATTGTATTTTGATCCCTTTATCAGCTACAGACTCTCCTTAATAGCAAAAATTGCAGTATTATTCTGTCAGATCCTTTAAAAATGAATAAAATTGGGATCATAATTTGCTTCTAAACTACACTATCTGAAGATTTAGAAGGCTTTATTTGCTGAAAAGCTGTTTATCTAGAACCATGAACAATATAGAGCCAGAGTCCATCAATGATGTGTATTGGCAAAGTGCAAGTATATATTTAGAGAATAGATTGCAACATGCATTCTATTGTTGCGCTCTTGTTGGATCATTACAATCTGTATTAAGCATGAGCGCGCAATAGTTGCAAAACATTTTCAGCACTCGCCCCAAAATAATTCAGCTTGACCTTGTTGGGTAGTCGTCAATGTCTGCAAAAACAGGGAAAAAAGGAAAAAAGGTTGAAAAGAATCCACAGCCTGCTAGCAGTGGTGAGACCAAATGTTCTATAGCACTATTTACTGTTAAACTCCATTAAACATGGCTACATTTACCAGAATACTAGATGTATCGAATGGTTACGCTCGACCATTCGGATACAACCCAGTTGTCCACAGCTTTATTTTCCCATTAAAAGCTAAAATTTTATTGGGTATTCACTCAAACGCCATATACTTATTCAGCTAACCTATTCTCACTTGTTGCTAAATGGGTGAGATATCTGGATAAATTAGAATTGAGCAGTGTCAAACCTGGACTAGATGAGCCAACTCTGGAATATTTTGAAGCCAAAGTACGCGACTTGACTGAAAAGAATGCTCGTGTGTAAGACTATATGAATATGCACACACTGCAATCGCAATGGTATCCCATGTAGATTCTTTGTATTTATAGTTGTTGCTATACATGTCAATTTTAATTTGTAGCAAACTCAAATGTGAGGAATTGATCAGGGAGAATGAAATTTCAGCCAACGCACAAACTAAATTCAATCATGACAAGGTAACATCAATGTTCAATCGTTGACCTTGAATCAAATCCATACTTGGAATATGCAAATATAGCTTAATAGTTTAAATTGTATTCACTAATTTTTCAAACCATTACTGATACAGCAAGATATTGTAGAGTTTTTAAACATTAAAGTCAGTGAGCATGAAAAAATGATATCTGTGTTGGAGAGCAAGGCACATCAGCTTGAAAAAGAGAAACAGGATTACGAAATTCGGACAAAATCTGAAATGAGTTCATTAAAAAGTGCTATGCAGTCAGAGTTGGAAACGATGCAAACTCAATGTACAAAATACAAGGCGGAATTAAGCGAGTTAACGGCATTTTCTGCCAAAAAAAAGGATCTGGAACTTCAAGTCATTCACTATAAAACCCTATTGGAAAAAAAGGAATGCGAGTACAGAGACACCATTCATAACATTGAGCGCAAAGTATTGCAGGACAAGGTATGTATTTGGGTAGTTTTAGTATAAAGTGCAGAATTAGGATTTTAATGATCGTTGGATAATATTGGCAGAATCAAATGAAACGCGAAATGCTCCAAAAGGTAAACGAGGCAGTTGCCAACTTTAGACGAGTAGCAGATCAGCAAATGGCAGAAGTATGTATTTGTTCATTGTATACCCAATCTAGTACTTTTGAATATAGTTTTGATGGCTTAGTGTTTTGAATCCCACATTAGACTACCAAGCGCGCTATCAGAGAAAACATGGCAATCACGTCACAGCTCAAGAAAATGAGTTCAAAAACTATTGAACTTATTGCTGAAAACGACAGCTTGTCAACTAAAATGAAACGATTAAGAATAAATAACTCGTTGCTTTCTGAATCAGAGCAAGAACTGGTTAAGCGAAATCAGGCTAATCAACGGGTCATCAAAATGCTTGTGGAGAAGCTTAAAGGTGAGCTATGCAATCAAATCAAAGATGTGCTTTGTTTTTACATTATGAATATCGATTAAATCTTGTGTCTACTAATTTAGAAAGCGATCAGATGCTTGAATTGGCATTTGAATCCGAGCAAGTTGAGCCATCGAATGATTTTTCAAAAGAAAATACATCAGATGGACACCAAATGGGAGGTGTGGAATATTTGACCGAAGATATGAAAGAGGTTGGTTATTCGGTTGTATTTGCATTTTTAATCAGGTGTTATTTGCCATACAACACTAATTTTTACACTAGGAAATCGAAGCACTTCAATATGATTATAATATTCTTGCAGCTCGCTTGACAGAGGTTGCAAACGTGACTGATGAGATGGAATTGACGTTTGGAGTAAACTCTAATGCTTTACAGAGTGAGGTATTGAATACCGCGCATTCAGAGGAATACTTGCAATTGAAAGCATCGCTTGTTGCTACAATCAATCGGTTTGTAGTTTTTAAGATTGCTAGTACTTGTTCAATCGCTGACAATAAAATAAACCTATACTCACTAAAGTCGTTTCTAATGCAATACTTGACAGATTAAAAGTTCTAACTTGGTTTGAATCAAGCGAGATGCAATCCGAAGAGGTAATTACGCTGGTGTTTTTGAAACCCACACCAATGATTTCTAACCATGTTGTTTTATTACTTTATCTAGCAAGTTTTTTCTGACAAGATTGAACCAAACAGTAGTCCACCTCAGCACGGTAAGCCAGGGAATTTGAAACACTATGCTTTGATATTAGCTATTAGGTTTTTTTAATTTATTGTATTTTGCTCATAACTGGTAAATTCAACTGGTGAACCGATTGTTAGACACTCAAGAAAGAATAGTAGAAAACAATTCAAATCTTGAAACTTTTCCACAAACCAGCGCTTCGAGAGTTGATAACATTAAAGAGTCGCATATAAATGTTGAAGATAGCCCATCCAATGCACATGGTCAAGATGATCGTTCAGATGACGAGCCTGTTCAGAATGGAAGCGATTCCGACAGTATTGAGGATCGTTGCGTCAGCTTTCCTCCGATTGGCCCAACATCGTATACTTGTAAAGTCAATACAGATGGGAATTCAGACAATGGAAAGAGTGGACAGAATCAGAATGCAGAGATGAGATCCAATCGAAACAGGAGAAACATGGATCAAGTCGTTGGATTTGGTAAAGTGCATATGACTGGTTACCAGAAAAGAGTGGAAAAGAACTACATGAATGTGATTGCCAAGATCCCATCCAAATACACAGGTTTGACCATAGTATCGGATAGTGGAAGGAAAGATGTGGGTGTACAAACCAAACCGTTACCGTTTGGACAGACTCCAACCAGCCAGTATCTTTTAGGAGAGTTACGACCATGGGGAGCAGTTGCACGATGTCTCCCAAGATCTGGAGTCAGGTCATACCAAGCCAGACCAGTTGTCAAGTCTATTCAGCCAGAATCGTTTATTTCAAAAAAAAAGTCAATATCAAGCCATTCATGATGTGTTGTTGAGCATAACCATTTGTTTTATTGGCTTGTTAATTATGATTCAAATAAACGAGTCTTGCAGCGAATACGGTTGTGGATTGGAGTTGAGCCAATACAAGAAATCAGTCGATTGAATATTGTCTTCATTCCTCAGCAGCTATTCTAGAGTCGGATTACTCAAGCCAATTATCATCTGGCCATGTCTAGTAATTATCCACCGTCACTAGTTAGTATAGCTGCTGCTTCAAGCAGCAATACTTCAATCTCGCACTGGCCAACCATGTACGAGGCATTCAAGCGAGCCAAGGACTCTCGTCGACGGGGACTCACTGACAAGTATACTATCGATGGATTTATTTCAGCAGGAACTTATGGCCGAGTTTTCAAGGCTAGAAAATCAATGCAGAATGGCAAGGATAAGAGTGTGCCTCGAGTAGGACATGCTGGTCATGGCGATTATAGCACTTTGAATGGTGCTGCTCAAGAGTTTGCTATTAAAAAGTTTAAGCCTGACAAGGAGGGTGAAAGTGCCTTGTCCAGCGGCATTTCACAGTCTGCTTGCAGAGAGATCGCTCTTTGTAAAGAACTGCATCATGAAAACGTTGTTAATCTTGAAGAAGTCATGCTTGATCCAAAGGATCGCTCAATATCTATGATCTTTGAATACGCAGAACATGATTTGTTGGTATGTAGTCGAGATGTGACTTGGGTTTATAGTAGGCTAAATGATCGTCAATGCATGTGCAATACTATGGTTAGCAAATACTTCATTTTCATAGTCATCATGAGCGTAAAGTCATTCCGGAATATACTATCAAGTCATTTTTGTGGCAGCTTTTGAATGGTTTGGCATATCTCCATGCCAATTGGGTACTACATCGAGTAAGGAATCGTTTAACCTGTTTGGAGTTTTAATACTTGTCGCTTTAAATGCGTAGCATGCAACTTGACTCGATGTCATTGATTATTGTCAACCTGTTCATTTAGGATTTGAAACCTGCCAACATATTGGTCACTTCTCAAGGCATTATTAAAATTGGTGAGATATTTGACTTGGCTACACATTTCAAGGTCTTGCTGGATTTGAATCAGTTAGTATATTGATGTGGTTTAATCTGATGTTTTTGATGTTAGCCGATCTTGGACTTGCAAGAATATTTCAATCGCCTGTCCAGCCATTATTTCATGGAGATAAAGTTGTAGTAACAATCTGGTAGGCCATTTACATGGTTTAACCGCGTCTTTTGATGCTGTTTAATGACTCGAAACATTTTTATTGAATGTTAACATGGTTTGGGAATCAAGGTATAGAGCTCCAGAGTTATTGCTAGGATCTCGGCACTATACAAAATCCATTGATATATGGGCAGTGGGATGTATTTTTGCGGAACTTTTGATGCTTCGACCTATATTCAAAGGAGAGGAAGCCAAGATGGACAACAAAAAAAACATTCCATTTCAAAAAGATCAACTGATCAAGATATTTGATATTTTAGGCATGCCTACAGGTATGTTTTATTCCAATTCAATGTGTTTAAAAGGTATTTAACATTAAACTATTACATGTGCCTGTTTTAAACGCTATTGCTGTTTTAGTGGAAAAATGGCCAGCTCTTGTGTACATGCCCGAGTATGGCAATCTTAGAGATATACAAAGATCCACTACTCCTAATCTTCGCCCCACATATTTTCAAGGCTCATCGCAAAGAAGTGAGCTTGGTTTCCAACTACTTCAAAGCACTCTAGAATATGATCCTGAAAAACGTACCAGTGCCGATGATGCACTGTCACATGCATATTTCTTGGATGATCCAAAGCCAGGTGCAAAGCAAGTATAGATTTTAGTGAATTGTACAATTATATAGTTTGACGCATCTAATGCCAACCATGGTTTTTTTATTACATGTTTAATAGTTCGTTTGTTACTCCTGGAGTAGATCGTAAAGCATTCAAGTATCCAGTGAGAAGGGTAAGAGTGTTTATTTTGTTTGAAATATAACTGATTAGAATGAATATTGCATACTCACTTTAAGCTTTTTATAATATGATCAGCTTCATGACGAGAAGCAAAATTAATATATTTTGGATGATTGCATGGTTATCTTGATACCATAGCAAGTTTAATGGTCAAGTTTTCAATAAGAGATTTCTATTCAAGATAATTCACTTTGAATAAATGGATTAAAAACACATTATTTCAGTATTGATTTGTGATGAGAATTTAGTGAAACTTTATGAAAAATGGAATGATTTTCAAGTGAATTTCAAGACAATTTCAAGTGATTTTCAAGTGAATTTTGGAAGCGAAATTGAGGAAATCCAACACAGAAAAGTTGCATTGACGTGAATACAACAGTAAGACATTGCAGTGGTCGAGTGAGTGTGTTGAAACAAGTCAGTGATGAGCATTGGCTCGTATATTGTTACACATTAAACTCTTTAAATTCCAGATCACTTTGAGTTTGATGTCATCACTGACTTGACTGGTTATCAAGACAGTTGATGACCATGTTTTTGTATTGTTACGACTGTGTAGTTGTTTCTATCCCTTGCATTGGTCTTTAATAATTGTATTTAAAACTTCTTGAAATAGTCATGAATCAAGACGAACCACCAGGAAGTTCTGAAGTTCAGCTAGTCAACTATATCAAGGATCTAGGCTACGGTGCTACATATTCCTCCAATGTTATCTTGGCAGTACTGGAACAAATTGGAATCTATCCATCTAATGCTCATACAAAGATCACTGAGTTGGAACTTGCAAGACTGTTGGCTATGATGGCTTTAACTCACACTGGCCTTCCTGAAAATCCTGCTCTTCGTGCTCTTGTTTCTGGAATATTGAGCGAACCTGAAGTGGATCAACTGCGTAACATGACCACTTGGTGTATCGATCTGTTCTTCAATGTTCTTGTAAAAATGGTTCGTTTTCATCTACTTTTAACTCGTTTTATATTCCATGCTTTACTGTGCTGCTGTTGACCTGGTCATCATATAGACTATTGCTGGCTAATTCAGTCGTTTGAAATCAGTCTGTTTTTAACTTGTTCATTGATTGACATTTACTATTTTGGTTTGATCTTCTTTTTAGAATCCTGCAATAAATTGGAGTAATGTTCTGCGTAAGCTTGATCATCCCGATACCGCTTTTCCAGATTCAAACAGTCTTGCCATTGTTCTCAAAGCATCAAAAGCTGTTCTTCAAGTAGGTTTACTTTTATAGTGTATCGCGTATTGAATTGCTTGCTTGTTTAAATACTAAACTCTTCCCATTCATGTTGTTATTGTTAGGATATTTATCTTTTACCTACAAATGTTTTTCTTGAGCGTTGGACAAATCAAAAGGCTCAAGTCAGTTTCCTTCGTTACACTATCCAAATGGCCTCAGAGCTGTTCACTCTTGTTGCGACACTTCCAAGACGAGTCGTTACCATGGAATCCGTTCCCCCTGGAAACCTGGGTCGCTCTGTTCTTTCCGCTTCATCTACATCGCCATGGAACTCTTTGGATCTAATTCAATCCCTTATGGAGCTTTCTCAAACCCAATACGTGGATGAAGTCAAACAGCTGATCGAATTAGGTATCCAACACAGTCCTGGTCTCATGCTTTTAGGATTTGCTCGTCTTTCGGTACGACATCATGCTTGATCATATTTGAATGCTTATGGATATCCCATGTGCTTGACAATCAATCATCACTCTTATTTTTACAGACAACATGGAATTCAACCATCAAGGAATATGGCCCCAGACTTGCAGTGATTTTCCTCATGGGTCATCCCCATGCTCCATTTTTTTTGCCTCGTGTGTGGCAATTGACTCCTGCATTATTTGTATCGGGTCTAGTATTAATGCACTCCAAGGATCCGTCATCTATTTCACGAATCCTTGATATTGCTCAAGAGATGAAGGTACACCAGTGTTTACCTTTGCAATATAAAATGACTTTATTAGTAACACCGATTGTGTACGTTTTAGGCTCTTTCACAAATTTTGGAAGCTAAACCATACAGTTTTTCAATCGATCTGGCAGCATTGGCATCACGTCGCGAATACCTCAATTTGGAAAAGTGGCTGCAGGACCATATTCATGAAGAAAACACTTTGTTTGTTCGTGCTTGTCTGGATTTTCTCAACGAGAAAGTGGTCATGCAGCTTTCTCAGCCCGATGCTGCTCATGCAGCTCCGCTTTCTATAGAGGTGGTAAGTGCCTTCTTGCGTGCTTTACGAGCCAACACAAGGTCAGTCTTTGCTGCGTGATGCTTGGTTGTGCTGTCATGGCTTGTAGTATGTATTGAATTTAAACATTCACATGTTCATATCACTAGTACAATGACGGCTGAAAACGCCGAGTTGCTCAAGGAGCTTTTGAATATTTGCCTACAGACATATCCCAGACTTTCAGCAATGATTGACGAGGTACCTTTTGTTGAAACCACATCGTTTCCGGCAGATATCGAGGCAGAAGCCAATTCCTATTACGAAAAGATATATAAAGGAGAGCTTTCAATTGGTCAAGTTGTTGATATGCTGCAACGGCTCAAGATCTCCAACAATCCTCGAGATCAGGAGACTTTTCGCTGTATGGTTCACAATCTGTTTGATGAGTACAAATTCTTTCAACGCTATCCGGAAAAAGAGCTTACAGTTACCAGTATCCTTTTTGGCGTTTTGATTCAAAATGAGGTGGTCACTTCCATGGCTCTTGGAGTCGCTCTTCGGTATGTGCTCGAAGGTCTTCGTCACCAAGTTGGTTCAAAGCTTTTCAAATTTGGTGTGCAGGCTCTCTTGCAGTTTTTGAACCGACTGGTTGAATGGCCTCAATACTGTGCATTGCTATTGCAAATTGAGCATCTTCGTGATGCACATCCTGACATTATTCAAGCCATCAAGAATGCCCAAAAGCAAGTCGTGACTGCAAGTACAGGAGCAAGTGATCCGATTAGATATGCAGATACTTCCGAGGCCAAACCAATGGCAATTTCCATGAAACTTGATTCTCAGAGCGCCGCTTTGTCCAGTGCAGATGATGGCCTTGTTTTCAAAACAGTCAATCTTGATCCTTTGCCAGAAGACGTTGTTTCTGAATTACCCTCTGAAAGTATTCAAGATAAAATACTGTTCATTGTAAACAATGTTTCACAGGACAATGTGGAAAGCAAAGTCGTTGAAATGGGCGAGCTTTTAAAACCTGCATACTACTCGTGGTTTAGTGAATATTTTGTTTTAAAACGTGTCAGCATCGAGCCCAATTTCCACAATGTATATATTTTGTTTTTAGATGGTCTCCCGTCTTCTAACCTATATTGCTATATTTTACGCGAAACGTTGCATAATATCAGACTACTCCTCAACTCTGAAAAAACGCTGACTTCTTCTCAGGAGCGTTCTCTACTCAAAAATCTTGGTACTTGGCTTGGAAGCATTACGCTTGCCAAAAACAAACCAATCAAGCATAAAAATTTGGCAATCAAAGAACTACTTTTGGAAGGCTGTTTAAGTAATCGATTGATTGTAGTCATTCCTTTTGTATGCAAAGTGCTTGAACAATGTGGTACAAGCAAGGTGTTTCGGCCTCCCAATCCTTGGCTAATGGCTATTCTCAAATTGCTTGCTGAGCTCTATCATTTTGCTGAACTCAAACTCAATCTCAAGTTTGAGATTGAAGTGCTATGTAAAAACATTGAAAGCAAATGTGAAAATTTCAAACTTAATGTCAAGGGTAAGTCGAGTCTTGTTCATCTGGCATTTGCTTTTATTTTTGGTGTAGCTTTTTAACACTATCTTTTGCAATGGTGGTGCGTTTTTAGATATGCAGCCCACAGATATTCTTCGTATTACAATGCAGCGTATTGCTGCAAATGAGGCTGATAATACTACCAATCTTCAATCCCGAAGTATAGCAGGGTATATACATCCCAATGCGAGTGTCGATGCCCAGTCTCGCCAGCAATCACAAGGCCCTACTGATTTATCAGACGAAAATGGAGTCATGTATCCCAATCTGGCTGCATATATCACATCCAACCACAATATTTCTCTGTTCAATACACAGCCGTCTTTCAAGAGAATTGTTCATATTGCAATCGATCGATCTATTGGTGAAGTGATCATGTCATCAGTAGTTGAGCGCAGTGTTGCTATTGCTGTGATTGCATCTCGGGAGCTTATTACCAAAGATTTTTCCATGGAACCCAATGAAGACAAGATGCGTAAAGCTGCACATCTGATGACTCAGAGTCTCTCTGGAAGTTTGGCATCGGTGTCTTCTCGTGAGCCTTTGCGTGTTAGCATGATATCAAATCTACGTATGCTGTTGATGCAGAACGGATTTTCTGAACAAACTGTGCCAGAACCCGTTGTTCACTTGATTGTCTCGGACAACCTTGATCTTGCATGTTCTGTAATGGAAAAAGCGGCTTCAGACAAGGCCATATCGGAAATTGATGAGAGTCTAGCTTCTTCTTACATGAACCGTCGCAAGCATCGTGAAGTAAGTGTTGATGTGGTGGCAAATTATGTTGCTTGATATTGCTTATGAAGATATTGATTTTATAATTTCAATCCATAATTACTAGCGCTCCAATCAACCTTACTTTGACATGGCAGTTTGTTCAGCTTCGCGATATGCTACTGCTTTGCCTGAAGGAATTCGACCCAGACCTGGAGGCTTGCTAATGCAGCAATTGCGTGTATATGAGGATTTTATTCGTATTCCACATTTACAAGAGCGACAATCTCGAAATGGTGCACTTTTGCGTAGTGATGATCGTCATGGGCCCGTACATGCACAATCATTTCAGCATGTTCAGCCAGAAATGGCCAACGAAGGAACTGCGAATGCAATTTCGATTCGGCAAATTGTTGAAAAGTTTAATCTTGTTACTAACGATCTAGATAAACAACTCAAAGCAAATGCACTAGTGTCTCTTGAAACATTGCCTGCTCAGCACAACATTCGCTTATTGATGGCAGAGGTTCCGAGTCTACTAACACAGACACCTTCTGTTGACGAGTTTTCGCTAGTCTTTTCCCAAAAGATTGTACAGCTGTTGTATAAATCGGACTCTGTTATTTCTCGTACTGTCTATATATTGATTTTGAAGAGATTTTGTGAAATCTCAAATGCACTGGCCAAGGAATTGAAAGATTGGTTTTTATATCACGATGACGAGGTATGATTTTGATTCTTGGCTGGTTTGAAAATCTGGTATTTTTTTGTTTGTCCAGATTTGGTTGCTGATTTTTGATGTATTTTTTAGCGTAAATATGATATTCAGGTCAACATTGCACTGCTGCAAAGTGATTTACTAGACGTGGCCGAGTTTGACATGCAGCTTGCACGCCAGGTGGAGACTGGTCGGCCAAATGTAATTGAATTTGCAGCATCACTTTTGACCACATGCTTAATTGAACGACGAAAGTTTGCACTCTATACCGACTTTTTGTTTACGATACAATCCTTCCGGAGACTAGTTACTCAAGGAAAAGTATCATCCAGGTATGCTTTTTTCATAGTATTTTAATAAGCAATGCCTTGATATTTTGTAGATTCAAGTATTTATCTTTATTCAATTAAAATATATCTAGTGTTACAACCCTGTTGAGCAATGTCGAAAAAGGATCTGCCATAATGTCTGCAAAAAATCTTATTCTGCAAGATCCTAGCAACGATGCTGTGCGAGAACATTTAAGCCTGGTGTTTCATGAATGGATTCAAATTTTTAACCATCCATCCAGCAGTTTGGCAACGCATCTTGATTTTGTCACTCAGGTATTTAAACACGATTTTTTTGTTTTTGGCCAACATCTTGTATAATGCTCTTGATCGATATATGTTTATCATTCAGACTACTTACAATTTTTTTGATTAACAGCTCCAAGATATATTAATGGTTGATTCCATCTATCCTCTTTTTTTCCGTGTCTGTACGGAGATCAGTGTTGATCTTTTTGACGTCATTAAATCCTCAAACGGAGCCATTGCCCAAGAATATCAAGGAGTGGATGCGTTTTCCCGTTTGACTGTCTTGCTTATTTCATATTATAGAGATTCTACTGGTGTAGACTACAACAAAGCGCGTCTTAGTTTTACTGCTCGGGTTTTATCCATCATTGTGCTAGTTCTTATCCATTCACATGAGCAAAATCAGCTGCGCTTCAATCAAAAGCCATTCCTTCGGTTGTTTTCGAGTTTGTTAAATGACTTGCATCTATTTGAAGCAAGACTTGGAGGCATTCATGCTCATATTTTTACGGCAATCAGGTAAACCCATGTATATTGATTTAGCTGTCAACTACTGCAATGTTTAAACTCACAGCTATTTTTTCTAGCAACACATTCCATACACTGCAACCTAATTTCCTTCCAGGATTTGCATTTGCATGGCTTCAACTGATTTCACATAGACAGTTTATGCCTAAACTTTTGCTTGCAGATGGCCAGCGGGTGTGTAATCATATTTACGCTTGAATATTTGTTATTATTGCATCAAGTGGGATACAGCAATCATTGCTTGTATATATTGATCTTATGCAGTCTATGGTTTCTAATTGATCATGTTGGTTGAATGTCAATGTTTTATTTAGCTCTGGCCCTATTACCAAAGATTACTAGTCGAACTGTTTAAATTTATTGGGCCGTTTCTTCAGCAAGATCAATTATCTGACACAACACGTCTTTTGTATCGAGGAACACTTCGCGTTGTATTAGTACTCTTGCGAGATTTCCCAGGATTTTTATGTGACTATCATGTCAGCCTTGTTGATGTTATTCCGCATACCTGTATCCAATTGCGAAATTTAATTCTCAGCGATTTCCCTCGAAATATGCGATTTCCTGATCCTTTTACTCCTAATCTCAAGGTTGATTTACTCCCAGAAATCAACCAGTCTCCTCCAATACTGTCCGACTATACGTGTAGTCTCACTGAGAATAATTTGAAGCAGGATATAGATGACTACTTATCTTCCCGTGGTCCAGTGTCGTTTTTGACCGAGTTGCAGAGTAAACTTTTGTTAAAAGAGCCGTTGTCCAAACCTACCTCCAAATACAATGTTTGTGCAATCAACGCACTTGTTCTTTATGTTGGAATTCAAGCCATTGCACAAGCTCAGCAAAAACAACAAGCAAGTTTTCTGGTTCCTCATAGTGCGCCAATGGATATTTTTCAACAGCTTGTTGTTGATATGGATACAGAAGGTATGGTTGCAGCAACTCACAGCTGATGTGTTTGATACTGGTTCTTGACTTTAATCTTCATTGTATATACTAAACTATACGCCAATACTTTAGGACGTTACCTGGTGCTATGCGCCATTGCAAACCAACTTCGATACCCCAATAGCCATACTCACTACTTTAGCTGTGTGCTGCTATACCTTTTTGTAGAAGCCGGCCAAGAGATTGTTCAGGAACAGATTACAAGGTAATGTGTAGATATATCATAATCGCGTTTTTAGCCTTGTAAGACGACAAGTTTGTTTCTAAAACCAATACTTTGATCCTTCATTGATTGTATATAATCAATTTAACAGGGTACTTATTGAGCGGCTTATTGTCAATCGACCACACCCCTACGGATTGCTGATTACAGTCATTGAGTTGTTTAGAAACCCCAGATACAGCTTCTGGGACTCTACTTTTGTGACAAGTGCTCCAGAAATTGAGCGTCTTTTCCAAACCGTTGCAAAGTCCATTAACCAGTCAATGTCACGTGCACCCCAATAAATTGAAGAAATGATCAAGTTTGAACTGCTGTATTGTTATTTACCGCCATATTCACGCAACATGAAATGCTAGACTAAAATATATGATAAACAGTCTCATTTAGTGCCAATCTTACTGATCGTTGTGTTTATTCTTGTACGAGAATACAGCAAATATTCACATTTCTGTTCCAATACATTCCACATTCCTGAAATGGTTTCTTGAACTAAAGCGCAAACGTATCTGAAATTAAAATACAAAGTTTCAATAGGAGGAATTAATTTCCAATAACGACGAATAGTTAACAGTTGTTTATTCCAGAGAAAATCTGCAAGATAAATACAGAGTGTTTTATTTTGCGTGAATACGGCTGTGAATGTACATTAGCACGCCTGAAATCCAGCTCCTGTAGCTTCTCTGTCTCGAAACGCATCCTGCATAGTTATACGAGTTTTGTAAGCCATCCAGACACCAAGAGAGGAAATAGTCTGCTGTTGTTGAGATGCCGCTGTGGCCACTAGTGCACAGGGCTGATGTGATTTAAGGGCAGCCATGACTCGATTCACTTCTTCCTCTTGATTAATTTTTTCGGCTCCCATAACTGATTCCATGGTCGTTCGTGCCATTGATTTCGAGGCAATAGCCGATTTTGCATCTATCAAGTGTATAACATTAAAAAGAGGTGAATACGATCATTCCAAACCAACACGTATTGAACAATTCTACGCTATTAAAACGTGAAACATGACAGGTGGTCATTAAATCAATGTTTGCAAAAGTTTGGGTAGAAACAACCTTTGAATCCTCGCGCTAGCAATGCCTTGGCCTGATACTCTTGATACAGTGAGTCATATGGATGAGTGCGACCAGCTACGGCACGTTTTAAAGACACGGAATGAATCTTGCATGTAATAGATCGAGCACAAGGAAGTCCATTGTCGTGCATTACTCCACACTGTAAATCCAAATTAATTGGGCCTGTAGTAGTAAGGTAGATTCATGAAACAGCATACCCACTCCAATTTAGAAACTTATGTTGCATCACTTGAAAAATGCTGCCAATGCGTAGTATCATAGCAAACATTTAAAATCTATTCGTACCTCCTTTTACTTTTTTGGTCGACTCTTTTGAAGATTCAGCTTTGGGAGTCTTTAAAGATGCAGGTGAGATCCCTAAGCATTAGACACGATATAAACAAGACATTATTTTGAATAAAGGTTAACCCCATTAAAAAGCGTACACATAAAGCTTAAAGGTAGCCAACCTTCTGAAATAACTGTTACAGATGGCGATTTATCCAAACCAAAAGAAGTCAATGTCCTACATGGTGTTATTTCTGAAAAAACAGACGTTGAGGATGACGAAAGTGATGTAGAAGGACCTCCCGATAGTGTGAATCCAGCAACAGACGTAGAGGTTGATCCGTTTTGCTTCTTCTTTTTTGTTACTAGACCATTAGAAAACTTTGCAGTTTTAGACTTTCCAGATAAAGAGGCTTTTTTACACGTTACTAGAAAAAACAGTTTGAATGTTAGCTCAAATGCATGCATAGACTTGATTAAAATACAAGCATTTTGGATTAAACCATGAGTGACAAATTCCTACCGAAATGTTTAGAAAATCCACTATGGAGAACAGGTCTTGAACATAACGAACAAGAAACTACTATCAACTCTTCTTTAATAGGAATACCAATTGCGGTTGGTGATGCTGGCTCACAGTACAGATCTTGAGTATAAATGAAATCAGGGTTAGTGTATGATCGCATCTGGGCCAGGTTTAAAATCAATGGGAGCATGCTTGCCCAAATAAAACATGTTGAATAGCCGACAAATAAAGTCAAGCCAGATTTTGATTTCCAGCATATCGTTACTGCCATTGAATTATCTCCAAATATCAATCAAGTGGTTTTAAGATGAGCCAAATCGAGTCAAGAGCAATATTGGGATCATGACAATGATTTGACTGACAAAGTCAACATGCAACACTCATGGCTCTTGACTCTTGTGTGCATAGTCAACTCTTTGACTAAATCATATGCAACGCAAAAGACATAATAAAAACAAGATGCTGACAAGAGTAGTAGGAAATACGCTACAACTCCAGAGCAATATACGATTAACAGAGTGCGATGATATTAACATGGACAACTGACTATTGCCAATATAAACAGCAGTGTTTTTGTTCATGGATCACACACCATCAGCGAATCCGAGGTTCTGTCGAAATGATGCCCAAGAAAGATGCTCTTTGCCTTTGAATGCAGACATCTAAACTTGTTGACGAAATCACGAAAACTTGAGTTTGGTTAGAATCACCAAGACGCTTGTAATGGTTTCGATGGTATTTGCAGCAAGGATTGCACTGAAACATTCGCATTGTTTAATTCTTATCGAATGGTTTCTTTTGTCATTTTTATGGTTTCATCGTGATTCATCTCATAAGAATCTTCATCTAAACTTGTACAAACTCAATTCATCTTTTATATTCATTGAATTGTTTTATTGATGTTACCATACTCGTTGATTTAATAATGAATCCATCTTGTTTAATACTCGTCATTTTCATTAAAACCTATCGATTCTTGTGTGCGTACTTTAGGTTCATTCCAGTCTTGGATTGATGTAAAACCACTCTGACCAAGTGTATTCATACAAATCTAAACGTATCTGAAATCACAAAGTCTGAATTCAAAAATAAATTCGGTATAGGTTTGTCAGTATAAATGCAAGGCATTGCTATATTTTATAAATCTATCCATGCATTACAAGGTTTATATAGAATGATGGATAAATATGCCCGTTAAACACACAATATCAACCTTTTAAAGGCTAAACCAACAACTTACAATTCCCCTTTGATTCTTCCTTTGGACGTAGAATAAAAGTTTGATGGAATAATTTGGATCGTTGTTCATCACCAAAACGAACATTTCCTGCATTTCAAAGTAGTATTGGTATCATAATATATACGCAGCAAGTATAACTAATTTAATAGTATAGCAGTTTATAATTGATCATCAAAGTAGCAAACCTGATATGGATACAATGATATCATTAAAGTCTTGGCCTATCATAGGCTGGCAATCATAAGATAATATTTGGTGATCTAATTTTGCATCGAGTTTTACAAAGTAATAGTAGATGTTAACTACATATATACTCACGTAAATGAAACACAACAAGGATGGATAGTGCAACACTATCGAGTAGATACCTGTTATTGGAAACGACAAGTATGTTTGAGCAATGTTACTCGCACCCTGTATAGGATTGCCATTCCATAGTAAAACAGACACATTGCTATAAAGCTGTCCTATCATGTGTCGCTGACGATCAAACATACTATAAAAGGTAGACACAAAAGTATCTGCAGCTCTTGAAGAAACATCTAAAACCTAAGCATATGTGACATGACGAATGAGCGGTTATCAGTTGACTAAACTGGACCCAATCCAGCCATCTGGAATGAGATTCAAGTTGAAATATATACAGCATTTATCAAGAGCAGTTGCAATTGATAAACCTCAAACTCGACCTGCCTGGTTCTGCATTGTCTGTTATAGAAATATATTATTTTGTTATAAACAGTTTATCAATCGTGGCAAACCAACAGCTCCTGAGGGCTTGCACTCGACCCAATTAATCTTGGCATATCTTCAACTAGTAAATATCAATCCAACATTATCGCATTTCAAGAATAAACTGCGTAAAGAAATCAAACTCTTCATTGCAAAACACAATCAAGCAGATTTGTTCTCGGCTTCGAGAACCTTGGCATATGCACCGCTGAAGGGATTCATCTTTCTCTCGATTGCAAGAGCATCTTCTGCTTCCTTCCATTCCTTTGAAAATGTCTTGGGCTTGTTCTTAACTAAATATAAGACATTCAGTGTTGGTTTAGAGCAAGGTTGGCAAGTGTATTCACAAGACTGGCCAAAAACTAGTATTCATTTGCAAAAATATAAGCTTTAAAATTCAATTACAAACTTACCAGATTCCCAAACAGCCAGCAGAGTACCAGCTGTGGCAAGGAAAAACACAACCCACGAGGCAACTTTAATTCTTAAAACAGGATCGGCAGGAGTTCGAGCACCATAGGGTCCATAGGCAATAAAGTAGGCTATATCAAAATGATTCAAAAGTGCAGGTTTGTTTCCAATGCACACGTGTGAGATGGAATAACAAAAGATAACACTAAGCAATAGATCAAGACATCATGGTTCTGGAATAGAGAATGTGTAACGATATTATAGATCTCTAAACAAGGAAATAGTGACACATGTTGCTCAACATAACAAGGCTACGATCTTGGAATAGTGTAGTAACACTGTTACAGCAATTTCAAACTGCCCTTTCAGTACATTGCATTACAAATCAGCACTAATTGAATTCCAATTAACCCCAAAAACATGCTTTTATAAAAGACAGATTCAGACCCTTTCATGGTCAAAATAGAGCCAAGTCACAAACTACTTTGTATCAAAAATGAGAATTAATAGAACAAGGTTGGTATGCCAGTAAAGCCAGATAAGGCACTTGTGACTAAACTAAATGTACAGATGTGAATAAGAAAAGGACAGCCTGTAATTCACCTGCACGCTTCTGTTCAAGAGTCAGTGCTTTCCAATCTCCCTTTTGCAGCTCAGCGAGTTGGTCTGCAATGGCACCTTGCTCAGCCTCGGGAAGCTTGACCCAACGAGCCTCAATATGAGAAAGAGCTGAAGGTGTCAAAGAAGATGAAAATCGCTGCTGATAGGGAGAGCGCTGGATCACAGGTTTAGCCTGACGCAGAGCAGAACGAATAGCAAACATGGTAATGCTAGTGTGATGTTGGTTGTACTGCAACTGCTGATTCGAATTGAAAATGATTCAAAAAACAGTTCAGATTTCGTCACATTCAGTCCACGTGACTCACTTGTTCTAATATGGTCAATGCTGGTGTCAATGGGCATGAGAACACAATGTATTCATTGATATTTTAGGCCCATTTCATCATGTTTTTAAATCATTCTGATAACAGGAAATAGCACAGATCGTTGGAAAACTGGGCTGTTGTGATGGTACACGAGACACGATCAATAGATAGTTATGCCATTCAAGTCGCTGACAGTTTTTAAAAGTTGAAAATCAAATACAAATTGCTTTAAATTCACCAATTCAAGTTTGCAAAATAACCAACAAGAATTCTGCAATCGAGTAACAAGACTTTGACATGAATAAACTGTCCATAATACAGTCAATTTATTAGTGTCAAATAGTATTCAACTGTAAAGTCTCGAGTTTATTTTTGAATTCAAAATTGTAAATCTGACAATTCAAGACCAACACAAACAAAACCCTAATTACTATTTCAGATCTTTACCAACTCATCCACGTTGCATGCCATTGACTCGAAAACAAATGTGTATTCAACCAACTGGTAATATCTCGACGTGTGTCATGATTATTTCAATTATACTATTGGTCATGCACATACCAGTTTAGTATTTTCTATTCATCCAACCAATCAAAAATAAATCAATCGCATCAGTGGTTACATTTAGAAAACACAACACATAGTGGATTCACACTTTATTCTGCCTCATCTGTATCATAATACAGCATACATCTCGACAAATCTTGAAACAGCAACTCATCACATTCTTCACAACCTGACAAAATATTCAGTACAACAGCCATCACTGAGATCCTTGTGGTGAGGTTGCTTGTACAGCTACAATATACGGCGTGGCCTGTTGTGCACTCGGCGATGTTGGTGGTAGCTGCGTATTCTGCGGATCTTGTATACCATATTGAACATAGGGTGATTGCATATACATCTGAGGTGCGTGGCCTTGCATCATCATCTGATGCTGCTCATATGTAGGATACTCTACACTACCCGAACTGGGTCCACCACCTGTCGTGTTCGGTACACCTGCCATGTCTGACGGCATTGTACCGCCAACTATCATGACTGGCGCGCCATACTGCACTGCTTCGCCAGGACTCGAAACCCAGCCCATAGGCGGCATTGGTGGCTGATGAGAATATCCCATCACTGCTCCTGAAAGTTTATCAAATCATTGTATTAGTCAACACGCTAACCAGCGCTCGTGGTCACTTCAAACATTAACCATTCACCACAAACTGTTCATATCACTGATATCAACTTACCGGCTGGGTGCATTCCTGGCATAAACCCATATTGAGGATGCATTCCATACATCATTGCTGGTGCTGGCATTCCTGGATGAACCATTGATGGATTATACATGACACCATGTGGCATATACTGGTATCCAATCACAAAGTCATCCCAAATAACATTTCAAATGTGCGATGCCATTCAAACAATCAACACAAATATCAGTATACTTGAATCTCAAACAATCAACACCATACAAAATAGCACTGACCATTGGATCATACTGAGGCTGTGGTGGATATGGACCTGCTCCAGAATAAAACTCACCACCTATCTGATGAGCATCATAATGCCCAGCTAATAATACAGCCAAATAGCATCAGAATATATACACTTTACATTCCAATTCAAATCACTCAACATACATGGAGCATATTTCTGATATGGCTTTCCTTGATATGGCTTGGTATGCATCCGTGCATTGGGTGTCCCGTTTGACTTTCCGCCACGTCTGTTGGGATAATTAAAATTCTGATTCCATCAGACTCGCCATGTCAGTAACGTGCTATATGCATTCAGATAGACAAATGTCCCATTACGTTCCGACACGCTTACCTTTGGATCTGATGTTGGTTTTACACCAGACACTGCTGGTGGCTTTGCATTAGATACTGTTGTTGGCGTAAATTCAGAGGCCGATACATTAAACTTGAATGTAGATTTGGATGTCGACGTCATACTGGTGCCATTGGACGGAGTCTCTGACACTGTTGATACTTTGTCGCTTATATCTTCATCCTTGGACAATCGTGCATTCTCAGACACTGATTCTTGTGATATTGATTGCTTTCTTGGCAAACCCGTTTCACTCTTTGGTTCCTTTGTTGATGCACTGGTCTGTGTGGATTGTGGTTTTAAACTGGCTGACACGACTGTTTTTGGAGTTGGCGTGTGACTGTTGGCACAACTTGACAGTGGTTGCTTTGGAACCTTTACATTCGATTGTGCTGATGCAGTCACATCAGGCTTGGCTGATCCAGTGACGCATGCAGTAGGGTGTGTATTGAGCTTGGTTTCAGCATTTGTCTTGCAAGTCGTGGCTAATGATGCACTTGGATTACTTTGACTATCGTGTGGTGTATTCGACGTGGTATCTGATACGACAGGATTAGGTTCTGATTTGGATACTGCCAAATGCTTGACAGATTCTACATTTGCCTTGACATCTGCTGTGTTTTTCTGAGACACCAATGCATTTTGTGTCGATGGATTCTTTTTGATGTCATTTGATGGCGTACCTGATGTTGCATTTTTAGTATGTGCATCCGACGCAGCATTACGATTGTTGGTTTTACAACTGGCACGGTCACTGCTGGTTTCCGGTTTGTCTGATTTGTTTGATTTGTCTTGCAAGAGTTGCGACTGTTCTATGTTGTTCGACTCTTTCTTGGCATCCATATGTAGAATGCATTTGATATCTTCAGGCATTGGTGTTTGCAGTTTGAAACTGTTTCCAAACTTTTTAAGATCGTCCAAAAGCCCGCCTTGTTTGGTTCGATGAATTTGCTCTCTTCGAACCTGCCATTGTTTTCGCTCACCTCCAGCAAACTCTGAAAATAGTTTTTGTACTGTCACTGTAGGATCTGGCGTAGATTGTGGTGCATGACTATGTCGTGCATTCTTTTCAACAATACTGGCAAATGTAGTTCCAGTTCCAGCTGTAGACTGTGGTGCATTCTTTTCAGCAATACTGGCAAATGTGGCTCCGACTGTAGACTGTTTGTGTGTTGATGCTGGTGCGACAGTTGACCGCCACGATGTATTTGTAGGTTTCCTATTGCCTTGGGTTACATTTCTCAAAACAGATGAATACCTATATCGGTGCAGTTGATATTAGCTGATCTGTATGCATAACCAACAGTACACTTGATGTATTTGTGTACTAATATTGATTGACACACCTGTCTTCTTCATCCATTGTGCTATCAGTTGGACAAAATCCGCGTTCTTCTGCCACATGTAGATTACGAGTTGGTGCCTACAAACAGTTGAACAACAAGTCAAACAAGTCAATTTCAATGACAATTTACCAGAACATTGAACTCAACAACAACAACATTATTCAACATTGAACCCAACAACAACATTATCCAACAACAACAACAAAATATGCCACGCGTAATCAAAGCGATTCATAGTTCCGACTCGTCCACTTACTCGTTCAATCTCGGCTGCAATACGTGCTGCTTCGGCCTCTCGCTTAGAAAATCCTGGCAAACTCTTGTCTACTACCGTGGTATACATGTGTTCATCAAAATCAGTGGTTACACCAAACAGTCGTTTATTCGTAGCAAACTGGTCCCAAGTTCCTGACTTTGGCACATCTACCAATTAACAGTCAGTTCATTACCAAACATTGTCAACCAATACAACTGATCGATATCCATCACTGACTCATCTCACCTTCTAAACCTGTCATGCTTTGTTCATTGGCATTATCTGATGTCCATTTGGTCAGATTACGGTAGCGATGCTCACCTGCTCCACCCGATATCGCCGTATCTGTTTTAAAGTGATGAGACACTTTGGTCCGTGGTGGACGAGCTGTCTCAAACGAGGCTGCTGTAATCGATACCACATCTGCTCCACGAATGTTGAGTTGTGCAATGGCTCGACCTGTTCCTTTGCTATGAAGCACCCGTTTTCTCGCTTGTCGTAGACTGACTGACAAATCAACTGGATCTACAGTGTGGCAGATACCCTCAACCTCACTTCCATCTAATGTGGTCACCAGAGTCTTTACGCCCTGTTCATTGCAGATTCAATCAGTAAATATTCACATATCTCTGCAGTTCCACTCTCGACAAACACCATTGGACACTATCGTCACTTACCACAAGTTGCAGCACTGCGTTGAGTGCTCGTTCTTTTGCGCTCATTTTGGCGGATGGACTTTTCTGTGTCGAGTTTGTGCGAGATCCATTTGTCTTTGCTGCTGCAACTGATACTGCAGGCGTCATTGAGTCTGACACTGCCATCACTGGAGGTCCTGCACTCCATGCATTTGCTTTGGTTGCTTTCCTAATCCAATACATGCCAATTAAAATCAATATTGTTTGACAAGATTCAGTGACAATCTGGTCGCTTCGTGTACTTGACATTCTACTGCATAGTGTATACTTGATCGTATATAGATAGTCTACCATAAAACAATCACTTACGGTATTTGTGGAGTTGGGCCCGACACATTTGAAGAAGGTCGAGTTTGGGTCTGAGGTTGTGAACGCATTGCATTCGATGTCGGAGTCTGTGATTTGTGTTGAGTGGTTCCCATTGGTGTCGATATCGAACCACTAAAAGGACCTGTTGTTTTTGTCGGAGAAGGTTTACGACCCATTGTTGGAATTTATCAAATATATATAACTGATAGTAAGATTGCAGTAGCAACGGCCTTGATAGATTCGATCTGCACGACGATATGAAATGGATTCACCATGACGATATGAGTAGGTTCGTCATGACAATATGTGTAGGTTCGTCATGACAATATTTGTAGGTTTGTCATGACAATATTCGTAAATTCGCCATGACAATCCAAAGCCAGTCGATTGATATACAATAAAAAGGATTAGAATCATCAAAACCATGACTGTTTTACAGCAGTATTCTAATCAACTGCCCACTATGGTTTATATAGCAGTCCATATTGTATTTGGACAAAGTCATCCATTGATATCATACCAAACAACCGACGTGGATTGTATCCATATGGGATGATCTTATTGGGACTCAACCCGACACAGTCTAGGGTTTGCATGTCGTCTGTTACGTTGGTTACGGATAACAAATAACTGTATGCTAATAATTACTAGATCGGTAAATGATATACACAAACACTTCTTAATGCTCATTGCATCACCATATATACTGATTTTTCAATACCAAACTGCAAGATTCTATCAAATAAAAACACCAATCTATTGTCCAAACCAAGGAATTCGATTCAATCAGGTCATATATAACGGATACTACAATATATTACCTTCTATATAGCAGAATACAGTTCCTTGAGCTTTCCTGCAGTGGAAGATGGTGCGGCTATTGCCCAGAATATAACGTTGATATCAATATAGTTTCTGCACGTTTGAAGGCGCAGAAATTTAAAATCAACCCAACGCGCCGAGTCACGTGGATATGGATGTCATTTGCATTGCGTGTTATTGCTCACGAACAAGTCAAATGTAATGTCTTGGTAATAAACTGTTTCACTTGGATTGATTATATCACACATGTCACTTGTATTGACTGCATTGACTGTATTATCACTTGTGTAACTTGTATCACTTGTCTCGTGTTCAAATCTTGTCCATGTTGTTGATGTGATCATCTCGATTGTATCAAGTGTCCATTTGGTGTTGTTTACTTTCAACTCTATCGTGTGGATATGGATCTGGTGTTGTTTTATTACCGTTTATTTTCAACTCAATCGTGTAGATATCATCATGGTAGTACCATTTCAAAGTATGCGATCCCATCACTGATTTTCAAACTATAGGCCACTGATCTAGTATTTAATATGCATTGACATGACAAGTGGTTGCATCATGCAATCCATACCACTTTATTCATATATTGCTGATGGATCATGTACGTTGTTCAGATCTGATTGGTTGAAGGATATGCCATGACTCAGTTGACTAGATTTAAGCAAGTCGTGATACAGCCTTGGTTGATTACAGGATGTGTTCAAACAGCATTACTTGTTCAAGTATCAATATGGGTTGATGGATTTAGCTGTTATCAGTATCAGCTCTGCAAGTCAAACGTGGTTACTGTTTTTGAATTGATAATCTTGTCGAGTATTTCAATTGGGTCAAAGGGTTTATTTTAATAAAGCAGTTCAATGCTACATTCGCAGACAATCTAAACTATTGATACTGCGGGTGTTGATGACTGAGCAAACTACAAACACTGCAGTGCACCTGCCAACAATTTGACACTAAACTATAGTTTAGTCCAGGATCAGTTTATTAAAATTGAAACTGTTCGAGTTTCTGGCATTTAAGCTTCTTGAGCGTATCAATCGACTTTTTTGTTGCCAAATTACAGCAGTGAGTTATAATTACATGAATGTTGTATTGAGTTTGATGCTTGCAACAATATTTTGATTGTTGGATTTGGTAATCAGCGTAGTTTTATCAAGTTTTGATTTTTTAAATGCTATAGCCGTATTCGCGTAAATTGAATGATTAGCTAAGAATACCAAAGTACATAATAAACGTTCAGTCGCATAATGGAAACTGTGCTTAGAACAATTGATAATGTTTATCAAAGTCAATCCATAGTAGAAAATTGTAACGAATATTTAACTATTGTTTATTTCAAAGCAAGAGATAATCACTGCAAGATACAAAATGGATCCATTTTACGTGAATACGGCTGTAAATCGACCAAAGCCGTTTATTTGTCCTCGCTTGCTTTCTTACTTTTCTTCAGAGTCTTTTCTGCCGAGGCTGCTAATTTAGCCTTTCTCTCGGCTGCTGCACCAGCATAACCTGGAAATTCATAATCAATACCAAGCTCCTCTAATTGCTTTCGTTTTTTTGAATCTCTTTTCTCCAGCTTTGTCTGAATAGTATCCCATTCCTCGGCTGTTTTTGGCTATCAGTAGAAATATCAAATTAGATGACCAATATATTGGAATTGAAAGTCGACAACACGTTTGTAAACTAACCTTGTTTTGTCGATCTCGTTGAAGTTTGTTCCATGGAATAACCCTGAACTTACGATCGCAACCTTTGAAGGTATCAGCATGTAGCTTATCAGCAGACACCACTTTACCTAAATTATTGGTTTGACAAGATATGAATTAGTTTGATCTGAGCCAAAATAAGATAAAAGTCAATTGCTTACACTTGAGCATTCGATTAAACATCAGATAGTTGTCCATTGTGTCTGCTACAATTTTGGCAACCTCGATATCCTTGAATTCAACAAATGCATAATGCTTGGAGTGGCCAGTCTATATGGGACACACGCATAATAATATTAGATTAGCTCACAAAATAGTTAAACAGGCTGATTATTTATAAAATATACAGCAGTAACGAGTGTGTGAGTTTCCCACCTTTTTGTTTCGGGAAAGCCGAAGTCGAGTAACTTCTCCAAACTGTGAAAAGTATGAAAGCATTTCGGCTTCATAGAAACCGTGTGGAATATGACCAAGATACACAACGCCAGGAGTGGTTTTTGGCACCCCTTTGACTTTTTTGGTAGCTGTCTTGAGCGTTGATAGATCACTTGGTTCCAGAAGCACAAGATTTTCTCCATTCTGGAACTCGGTTTTTTCAGAACCCGCTACATCACTCCTTTTCTTTGAAATTGATTCAGTCTTGCCATTGGAAGTATGCATACCCTTTTTGCCTCTATATTCATCATCAGAGCTGTCTTGATCGTCACTGCTGTCTATTCCTTTGATAATATCTGCATCACTGTCCACATCCTTGGCTGAATCGTCATTTTTTTCAAAGAGAGTTTGCACATCATCCTCTTCAGCATCAGATAATTCATCAGGCATAACAACTTTTATGCCATCATCCTGCTCTTCTAAAGAGTCTGATTCAATGGGTTCTGGCAGAGTTTTAGTGGGCTTTGCTGTTTTCTTTGAAGCTGATCGAGTCTTGGCAATGGTTGGTGTTGCCGCCGGCTTTGTTTTTACTGCAGACTTGGTGATCTTTTTTGAAGACATTTTAGTGGCAGGTTTGATATTCTTGTCTTTGGATTTCATGTTAAAGTTTTCAGGCAGGAATTAAAAAAATAAAAAAATTGATATTCAATAAAAGTTGACAAATCCAAGTATGACTTGCTGCTGGTGATACCAGCAACAGCTTTGTCAGGAAAGATCATAAATACTAATAGAGCTTCAAGAAATAAAATTGTATCAAAAGGATTGCACATCAAGCATTCATACCTGTCATGAAACTATTCAACACCGAGTATTAGACAAGACTGAATATATCTGAAAAAAAGAGCAGCTCCAATCATCCTCAGGTGACATTTGGGCTGATTCAAAACAAATGGCAATCTCGACAACCTTGCAGTCAAGAATATCTGTTTTACCATCATGAAACTCACATTCTACTTTGATACTGTATCGCCCTACTCATGGTAAACCCCGATATTTATTTTTAATTCAAAATACCAAAGTTCCATCAAAATTGTTTGATAGATACAGACTAGGCAGAGTTGGGTAGTGGTATCCACTCGAGTGTCCATGTGTTCAACTCAGAGTAGATTCAATTGTAGGTTCGCCATGGAAATACTTTCAAGGTATCAGTCAATTTGGGATATTGAGATGAACATGGTTCCGTTCTATCTTGCTGGGGTGATGCACGAGTCTGAAAACCAGCCTCCTGGTATGAACAAGTTCAAGGCAAAGTACATGTACAAAGGTTAGTTGTTTGGCTTGTGAGTGAGATCTTTGGTAGTTTACAGTGGGATCATTTTGATTTTTAAACTATTGATTAGAATGCCTTTTGACAACAGTTTTGCATTGATTTCCATAGATTTGGTGCGTAATGGCAAGCTTTACAATGTCCCACTTACAGCAATCCCGAGTAAATTTCCAGACAACTCTTTGAAAGCTCAGCGAATTTTGACTGCCGTTAAGCTATATGAGCCAAGTAAACTGATTTCAGCCAGTAGAGCAATTTGGCAGTGTTATTGGCGTGATGGAATGAATCTGAGTGATGAGGATAATCTCGTCAAATATCTCACCCCAGTGCTTGGTTCTACAACTCCCTTGTTTGTATCAAAGCATGCATCCGACTTGCATGTAAAAAAGTTGTTGACAGATAACACGCAGGCTGCTACTCATGAAGGTGCATTTGGCGCTCCTTGGATTATTGTCGAACATCAAAACAATGGAGTGTCAACTCGAGACTCATTTTTTGGAAGCGATCGAATTGAACAGATTGCATTGCTATTAAAAAAACCATACTACGGTCCTCAACCCACAGATAATCTCAGTGGAACATCCAAGCTCTAATAGACTGGCAAATCAAATCAAATTTATATTCGACTTTGAAGCTGACAATCATTGAGACCTATGCTACGCCCGACTAAAAATCTTCAATAAAGTTTTGGGATTCCTTTTTAATCGAGTATTATACCATTATTAGTATTTCCAGACCTGAGATACAACTATTTGTGCAGTGACAGATGCGCGACCAATCTTGATGCAAGTTAGCAGTAGACTTGAAACCAAACTATACATATCTGCAAAGTTTACCAGATATTGTAGTAGATTATAGGCTTACAAAAATGCGAAATAACACAATTTGAGACCAATGTTTTAGACTTGCCAAACAACACAGCGGAGTTTACAGTAATTAAATGTTGAAATAAGTTGGATCTATGTACGAGTCATCGCTAAAAAGCGGATACTAGTTTATAATCGTTGCATCGAGTTTCAGCTGGTATATTGGATTGAAATAAATGCACTGATTGGACAAAAAATGCCATTCAAGCAATAATCATCAACGAACTGGAGATATAGTCTGAATACACATTTTTCAAAAACAGGTTTGCCAATCCTTTGTCAAGGACTCATCCTCTTGAATGATCAACAATATGAATAATCGACTAAATTCTTGTAAGTATTTAAAGATCTGTATTTCTTCAGTAAAAGTTTTCACTATCCGATGCATACATTAACCAGCTGCAGTAGTGGGTGCATTGCAAAACAAAGTAATATTGTCTCCTTTTAGTAGAATTCGCCCAAGTTGTTTCCGTGCTCCAGTCTTGGTTGATACCTCCTCTGCATCATCAAGGACCAAGTTCATAAACTCGTCAAATCCCTACAGGTAGCGTATATCAATGGATAAAGTCAGTAAATTTCAGTCAAATATAGATCAAACTTGACGAGACATGCAGAATAGCTTTCTGTGATGATAGAGTCAGATGCAAACAATGTAGTGGGATATAGATTGATCATTGAATCCAGCCAGTCTAGCTGTACTAAACGACAATGCAAAAGCACATACCAAGATTTGTCCCTCGATCCTGATCTCGGTCTGTTCATATAGCCAGATTTGCACTCTTGATTTCTATCCATTCATTGCAAAACGATTAGTTATGATGTTTGAAAGCGCAAGTCAAGCATTATACACTGCAGACTATTGAAATGATTAGAGCAGCAAGTACCTGCTGCAACATTCTGAAGATCAGGTTTATGGGCTGCACCATAATCTTTTGAAGTTTCGTTGCCATCTTTGCTGCACAGTAAATTCAAATAAAGAGTTGGGATATTCACTAAGAGAGTTTTGGGATCAAGGGCTAGAGTCGACTCGCCGAGTATATTGTTTAGTGTACAAGACAAGAAGCAAGCGTTGTAAAGTGTTGGAAAAGTGATTTAGATAGTCACGTGTGTTGAAGTTGTTTTATTCTGCCAGCATACTCATCACGTGTTTTGAGTTGTGTTTTCCGAGTTGGATTTCGACAAACAATATTTGCTTGAATTACCATCAAAATGGCCGAGTGGGATCCAGATGCAGATATCGCCTTGGTAAAGGCAGTTGATTGTCATGGAGAAAATAACTGGGAGGAAGTGTGCAAAACTCTTTGCTTAATCAATGGCATTACGTTTCCTGCAAAGCTTGATGCCAAGGTGCGTTTATACATATACTTCACCTCCAGTTTATCGGAGTACCTAAATGAGCGTATAACTATCCATATTGTATTGGATATACGGAAATATTTTGAAAGGGTTAAACTGATATGCAATCAGCGGTGAAAGTTGATTATGCATTCAAAAACTGCCATTCAGATTAGACCACTTGTATAATTGATTACTAGGTTACTAATATTGATAAGAATATAGAGCTGTGAGGATGAATACAATCGGTTATTGACTGTATCGAGTCCCATTAAAGATGAGAGGTTGGTTCAATCTTGCATGCTCTATAAATTCGAGTATACTTTGTTTTTGACATGAACATTGACGGTTAGACTAGAATCTGGCGAGAATATCGTCACAGATACATGTAGGTGTTATTTGCTTGCCCTTCAACTGGCTTACTATTTGGCTGTTACCATGAATTTGATCTTGTCGAGGTTTTAGAAAAACTAACTCGAGTTTGGTGAACACAACAGCCCATACTCTGACTCGAAAGTTACTTTTCAAACTATCTGCTCGTCGAAGCGATGAAATCAAAAGGCAGTTGTACGAATGCGAGGTTGAATACAGGTAGTATAAGATGATGATATTTAAATCTTTGAATGCGCCTACTAAACATTTGGTTGATTCACGTTGATATTTCTTCTAGCCAAACGTGCATTGATATTGACAGCATTGAGAATGGAGCTAAAGATGAAGTTTTGGAAGACATGACAATCGATGAATTAGCAATAGTACCAAACGATAAGGTTGAACTTGTTTTAAAAACTTGTTTCATTTGCTGATACTCACAGGAAAACATAACTGATGCTCACACAGGAGTCTGTTGAAACGGTCTCCGAAACAGAATCATCTCTCAAGGCTCAAAACATTCCAGAGGTACTAGACAAAGACAACCAAGCTGATGATGATGCAGCCCAATCATCCCCAACAACACCACATCCACGCGATCATAGCCTTACTGGTAACGTTTGTTGGAATAGTATGATAGATTGGCAAGGTTTGTAAAACTGAATCATTCTGTTAGAGCTTAAAGAAGAATCTATCGTTTCATCTACAGCAACGGCAACTCGAATCTACTCTGAAATGGATTCTATAGATCCAGATTCTGGGACAGAATATTCTGGTAAACTGTTTATGATTTTGGCGCGTGGCAACTAGATATGAAATGGCTAACCTTTCTACCCATACATCAACAGATGAGCCAGAAAGGAAAAGACTTCGAATAGACGAAAAGTACAAAACATGGAAAAAAACAGCTATGCTTATTTGGAACAGGATTGCCGATCATCGCGCAGGAAATGCATTTCTAAAGCTTTCAAAAGAAAAACGGTATTCTGAAGTTGTCAAGCAACCAATGAGTCTGGATCTAGTAAAGACTCGTATTCGAGAAGGGGTAAGGACTAAATCCAATTGGCCAATTTTATCGTACTATTCAAGCTGTATTGTTAGTGTATAGATCGACATGTTTCCCAATCGTGTAGTTTTATGATGTGAAAATC